CACAGTGAGGGGTAGGTGTGCATGGAAAATGCTGTAGGTACTGGAAAGACTGCAGGGCTGCTGTGCACCTTCCAAGTTGACTTCTAGATAACCTGCCTCTCTTTGCTCCTTCCTAAGACGCTCACTCGGGTCTCCCCATCTTTGTCCTCATGTGAGGAAGTCAGGCCCAGAGAGCTGAGTGGCATTTCTGAGGCTCAGAGACACTCAACATTTTATCTGATTCCTAGTTGATGCCTTCCCCCACCCCACCCCTTTCTTCCTTTCTTCCTTCCTTTCTTTCTTCCTTCCTTCCTTTCTTTCTTTCTTTCTTTTTTTTTTTTTCTTCTTCTTTCTGAGACAGAGTTTCTTTGTGTAGCTTTGGTTGTCCTGGAACTTGCTCTGTAGACCAGGCTGGCCTTAAACTCACAGAGATCCACCTGCCTCTGCCTTCCCAGGGTTGGGATTAAAGGCGCGCGTCACCATTGTTTGGCTGTAGATAGCTTTTTGTTTTAAATGTGCTCCCCCCTTTTTTTTGGTGGAGGTACATAGCACACATATCTATCACAGGAAGACATCTGGAATCCTGAAGTTCTGAACTGTCTGCTTCTCCTCAAAGGATTGATCCGAAGACAGTAACTACAAGTTTTATGACCTTACCTCGGAAGTCACATATCATCATTTCTGCTATATTCTGTTAGTCACTCAGGCCAAACAACAGTGGGGAAAAGGGACCACTCCACTGAGGATCACTGGGATTACTGCCAATGGTCTTGGGGACTGAAGTAACTTATGATATAAATCATTTGACATTATGCATCCCTGAAAGAGGAGCTTTGATGGTTAGTTTTGTCAAGTTGACTCAATCTGGAATCACAGGAAAAGGTAACTCAGTGGGGCATTATCTTGATAATGTTAATTGACATGGGAAAAGCCACACACTGTGCGTGGCATCATTCTCTACCTGGCTTTTGAAGTGTTTTCAGAGTGCAGAAAGAGAGCTGCACACTAACATACACACACTAAGTCACTGCTCTGCTCTGGACTGAACGTTGTGACCAGTGACTTCAATTTCCTGCCATCTTGACTTCTCTGCAGTTACGTCAATTACAAATAAGACGAAAAATAAGTTGCTTTTTGTCAGTATGTTTCATCACGCAACAAGAAACGAAGCTAAGACAAGGGCCTAAGGAGACCATAGACCATGCTTCAATATCATCCATCCCCATTCACAATTTATGCTGCTATTCGGAGCTGATTCATGTTCTGCCTTGGTTCTGCAGTTCTGGCTGCAAGATCTCTTTAGAGACAAGTCAGAAGGGACCAGACTATCTGGATCTACTCACTCTTTTTGGGAGAATGATGGCAGAGCCAGGGTCTCAGAAGGGCACAGATACATGAGGGCAGACACACCAAGTGCTGTGTTAACCCTTCAGATCTGTCTGTCATCCTCTCTGCCTCTATCAAGTTTCTCTTTAAAAAATATTTGGATAGAACGGCCATCCTGTTATCTGTGGTTTCCCTTTCCACTATTTCAGCTGCTTCTGGTTAAGAAGGGAGAGTAGAATAGAAGATATTTTGAGACCACACCAGTGTAACTATTTTTGACATAGGGTAAATCTAAGTAGCAAAAGCTGGCCTCACAATTTTCCTGCCTCAACCTGTAATTGTTCTGTTTGCATTAGCCGCTATTAGTTGCTTACTGTGCTTAACTAATAAATTAAACTTTATCATGGGCATGGGCACTTAGATTAAAAACACTGACAGTGTAGAATTTCTTCCAATCAAACCATTTCTCACTAATCCATTTTACAAATTACCTGAATCAAGCAGTTACTGTCTTCCATTTGTCTTGTAAGCCATCGACTTCTACATGCCAAGACTTGGCAAATAAACCCACTTCTAGCTCATCCAAACATTTCTGCTTCCTCCCAGAGTCCTTTTATTTTTAGCATGTAATGCGCTTTGTTGTGCCGTCACTGTCACACTGGCTTCATCCCCTAGACGAACGTCATCCTCCACTGGGTTCCTCCCAAGGTCTGGATCAAAGAGCTTCAGTATATTGTTTGCTCTGAGCCACACTGAAACTCATCGGAACAGGGCAGTGGCGATTCATTTTCCAATGATTACTGAATAATTCTCCAAGGCTAGATGCCATGGACTTAGGGACTGACCCAAGAGGGGTGACTGAGAATGAAGAACCAACAGGTACATGTTCAGAAAAGCTGGGAGTGGGTGGGTCAAGTGCATTGATGGACACACGCCAGAAGTAGCCTGGTGAGCTAAGCTCAGTATGGAGTCTCTGTTAAGGATCAGTCTCAGGGATGAGCAAGCACACACAACACTTAACATCAGTACTTGGACCAGGGAAGTTCTTGATTCCCATGGTTCTGAGGCGTTGGGGTCCAGTGCTGATGTCAATAAAACACATGCAATCAGGGCTTTCTCAGCTCCCCACACCTAGGGGCCCACTGAAATCCATCTCACCCCCCCCTTTTGGTTGTTATTGATGTTGTTGTGAGATAGGATCTATTACGTAGCCCTGGCTGTCCCAGAACTATGTAGACCAGGCTGGCTTTAAACTCACAGAGACTGGCTTGCCTCTGCTCCCAGGTGTTGGGATTAAAGGCATCCTCTTCTTTATTAATAAAGTACACCAGTCTAGCCTGTCATGTCTCTTGTCACAGGAGCTTTTAGTGGATCTGCCAATCTTTTCTGGTCAAAGTGACTACTTCAGAAAGTAAGACCCAGGAGACAGGCTAGGGGTGTAACTCAGTTGATAGTGTTTGCTTTAGCATCCATCATAAAGCTCTCAGGGTTCTGCAGTCAGCACAGCATAAACAAGGCTTGACGGCACACCACATACTCCCAGCACTGCACTGTTAGGAGGATTAGAAATCCAAGGTTATCCTCTGCTATAAAGTGAGCCTGAGGCCAGTCTGGGATACATGTATCAAAAAATACAATCCAGGAGGAACCTACCAGAGAGTCTATAGTTCTTTTCAGGGAAAGCCAGACAGAAGTACTTTTGCATCTAGAGTCGGAAAACTAAAAATGAGGCTGGAGCTGCTGCACCCCACAGCTGTACTCAGTAGTCAAAACGTACTCAAACAAGACCACAGAGCCAAGAATAAGATAAATACAGCCGAGAAAGTTTGAGTTCCTGGATTCACTCCTGCCTGAGGCTACTTCCAACTCTCTTTGGTATGTCTTCACTCAAGCCAATAGTGTTGGGTTTCTCAGTAAAGCGGCCTTCAAAGGAGTGACTCTCCGGCCCAGACTTGTGAAGAATCAGCCCCTGGGGCAGCACGTGCTGAGAGAAAGCTACAAAGGGGTGTGAAACACAGTGAAGAGCCACAAAGAGCGCAGCAGCTCTTCAGGGAGGTTGGCCAAATCCCAGCAACAGCATGGCCATGGTTTTAATTGGAAGGTGGGAAACAGACTCTCTTGGACTTGGCAGGAGTAGAAGCAGGTACCTTAGGAAGGCAACTTGACATTCTCTCAAGGTTTGAAAGATTCCTCCTCAATGTCAACAGCTCTACTTCCAACAGCATCATTCTTCCCTTTGGTGAAAAGCTGGCAAGAAACTCACACACTCGTATCATCAATAGAGAACCGGATACACACATTTTGGAGCTATGTGCAAACTATTAAAGGAAAAGAAACCCAAGACTATATGAAGCCGTGTTTGTAGGAGGTGCAGAGAAACAAACCTATATTCATCAACAGATAGAGGAGAGAAGGCTTGAGTGGGTACAACAGTTCGAATCCTATATAAGGTGACCAGAGAAAGCCTCATGCAGAACAAAATGAAAACCCAAAGAAGAGGAAGCAAGGAAGTCAACAGCTTTTGGGGAAAGGACTAGCTAGTGAGCGTGATGCTCTAAGGCAGGAGAGTGCTGGATGATTTGGGGACCGTAGGGATACTAGGGCAAGAACAAGCCGTCAGAAACCAGCAGATGGGATTATGGGTCATGGAGAGGTAAGGGCAATGCTTGTGGATTCAGTCCACAACCAAGAGTATATGGTCAATTTCACAATGATTGTGTTGGCTGCCCGTCATGGCTGGGGGAGAGGAGGCAAGGGAGAAACCAGCAGGCCAGCAATGGTCTGGGCAAGAGAAAATGGCTTGATTACGAAAGCACAAGTGGTCGTGTTCTCAGCCCGGTGTAGGTGGCGCACGCCTTCAATCCCAGCACTCGGGAGGCAGAGGCAGGTGGATCTCTGGGAGCTCCAGCCTGGTCTACAGAGCGAGTTCCAGGACAGGCTCCAAAGTAATACAAAGTAAACCTGTCCCCACCCCCCACCCCCAAAAGAAAGGAAGTTAGAAAGGAAGGAAGGAAGGGAGGGAGGGAGGGAGGGAGGGAGGGAGGGAGGGAGGGAGGGAAAGAAAAACGTGGTCAGGTTCTAAATGTAGTATTTGGAGATGAAGGATTTGGACAGGATAGAGGCACAAGAGCACTGCTGTCTGTGAAACTGGCCAGGCTGGAGACCAGCAGACCCTAGAAGGCAACCCTCTCTTGCCCCAGCTCACTGCCAGCCGCTGCAATCTACTCCTCAGAGGAAGCAGAGGACAGGGCAAGGGAGAGGAGGTTTGAGGCTTTCCTCTTTGAGGGCCCCCTATATACGCTCAGCAAACCCTGCCTGAATGAGGTGGGAGCTCACAGCCATGCAGGGGCTGCACGGGTGGCCGTGGAAGGGGAGAAGGGACTGGGATGGGGACTGAGTGTTTTGATACACTTGATGTGGGGAGAAAAAAACGAAGAAACTCACCACAATAGAAAACTCACAGGCACACATGATATTCAAATACTAAACACTGCATTTTCCCATGTTTTGAGTAACATACTTGAATCGATGTACTGGCGATCAGTTATGCTGAGAAGAAGTTAAGGCAGGAGAGGAAACCTGGCGCCCAGTGATTTAAGAATGGAGAGGTGGGCATGAGAATCAGAAACAGCAGAGGGGCCTCCCCCACAGGAAGAAGGACCAATGAAGGGCAAGAACACAAAGGTGCCACGCAATTCAGAATAAAGTTTATTAAATAATATGTACAGCAAAGTAGTAATTCAACAAGTCTACCAAATCAATCCACTGCAATAAAGAAAAATAAATGAACAGAAAAACCTGTGTCTGCATAGTACATGCGCTTGGTGTGTATTGAAATGCAATACCTTAATAGGTTACATATGTCAGGTTATTTTTTTTTTCTGAATATAATCTTTTATTTTTTTGGTATTAACCTATTCCAGCATAGGATTTAGTACTGCTGCAGATAAATAGAACTGCAAAAGGAAAACAGTAAATTATATTATAGTTGTCTTCTCTCCCCCAAAGAACAATTATATATGTCAACAATTTCCAATGTCTAGTTTTGTGCTAAAAGTCTGCAGGTGAATGATTTGAAATTCCTTCATTTAAATAAAAGTGAAAAAAAAAAAATAAAACAGCCCTTCATGACTTCCTTATTTTACTCCCTTTCTGCTCAAGTTTTAAAAATTATTTTTCTATACAAGGCTACACAAAGTTAAATATACATTACATATTTACAGTCCCACTTCTCAAACATGTGATATTTTTTTTTTCTTTTACCGATCTCAGAGAGACTGCAAAAGGTGAGTAGTTTAGGGCATGTTACCTGGAAGCGTGGCTAATATATCAAAATGCGTTGCAAGGCATGCTGCCAGTTAGTTGCACTTGCTGTTAATAAACCTGTATAAACATTTCAGCATAAAAATAGATAGGTACTTTGTATTACTAAATGTGTGAAGACAAAGGAGTAATTGGGAATCTTCGCTCTTTCTGGTTTTGTCATATGTAGGAAGCTGGAAAGAGCTTATTAAAGATGGGCACACCTGGATTTGGGGAGGTGTGAGGCTGGCAAAGGATGCAAATGTGGCTTTTACAAAATGGTTTTTATTTTCTAGCTGTATTTAAAGGGGTGTTTGAAATTACCTACCAAATCAAAAAGCACCCCCAAGGAAATGTAAATACAACTATTCATGATTGGCATCTAGGAGAGAGCAAGGAATGCATTCCAAATGGGCAAAAATGCACATAGGCATTTATTTATTGTGTATAGATTTGCTATATTCCCCTTGAGAAGGGCAAGGAAGAAAAGAAAGAAAGCAGTGCTACTGGCTGGTGAAGCAGAGCTTCCAAAGCAACAGGTCATGGCATCACCAGAGCTTTCCTGCCCAAAGCAACAGGTCATGGAATCACCAGAGCTTTCCTGCCCAAAGCAACAGGTCATGGAATCACCAGAGCTTTCCTGCCCAAAGCAACAGGTCATGGCATCACCAGAGCTTTCCTGCCCAAGAAGCTGGTATGCCCTCAAGTTCCCCACCTTTTCCCCTTCGGATTACAGGCTCTATTCTGTCAGTTAAAAATGATGTCTCCTGGAAGAGATAACACACTCCTCCTATCGGCCATTTATTTTTCAGTGTGACTCAATGAGTGGCAATTTCTTTCCTGAGAGCCTCCTTGGAGAACTGTGGCTGACCAGTGGTGGGGGCAGCAAGTAGGATCCTATGCCATCTGGGACAGCAGTCACTCAAGACAATGTTGCCGACTTGTAAAGACTCCAGGCTTTGGGACAGTGGTTAGCGTGGTTATGAACTAGATGCAGAGAGCCAGGGGTTCCAGTGTATACCCCTATCGCCTACAATTCCTGATGTTCGTGACCTTGCATATGTGGGTAGAATAAGAAGAGACTCTGAAAAAAATTCCAACTATTCCCAGACATAAACTACCCTCAGACAAAGGTTCTCCCAGCATCCTCATCGTTCAGAAGTGAGCCCAGGGAGATGAAACTCTGACGATGCATTCTAGGGTTACCCCTCTCCCCCAGAGAAACTCATCCCTTCTCACACCCTCTGCACGTTTCACAGTCTCTCTAGACTGGGTTCTTTTTCCTGTGTTATCCACTCAGCTGAACCGCTGGCAGGCCCAGCTCTGGGAACAGGCCATACCTATCTTTGTGTCAATTAGGGATCTAACAGAGAAACAGAGTGGTGACTCACACCCAGGTGTCAAAGGGTCCCCTCTTCATAGCCAGGGCTCACAGGACAGACTCCTGCTTGCCATTAGGGGGAGCAGAATAGCCGCTTCCTGTGTATGATACCTCAGCTCCGAATGGGGGCCTCGGCATGTGCGACAGGACTCCCTGGCCGGGGGTGGTGGGGAGGGAGAAACAACATTCAGGGTGGTCTTTGACCTCCTCCATAGGGACCCCTCCCAGGTCTGAGAGAGCCTTACCATGGTACCCCAGCAGCCAGCTAAGAGGGCTACTAGAGACCAGTCTGGTGTATCAAGTCCACACTAAAGCAGAGAAGAAAGTCACATCCAACCCTGCGCAGCCAGTGATGGTGACCAGGAAAGGAGTCTACTCCAAGTGACCTCCGGAGCCCCAAGGTCACTGGCTTAGTCACATGGAAGCACAAATGTAACCCATCTGCCTGGCCACCTGCTTCCAAGCTCAGGACAAACACGGCAGTCAAGTACAATGTCACCCAGCAGGCTGAATGCCAGGATGCCTGGTCTGCCTGCATTTCTTTACCTGGAGTCATGGTGCTGAAGGGAAACCTCAGAACCCAGACCAGCCTCTAGCAGCACTGGGAGTCTGCTGGCTCTGGGACAGCCAGGGAGAGAGGCAGGGGTGGGCAGTGATGCTCAGACTTGAGGCCTGTGGAACATGGCTGGGGATTGACTTATCTGGCCCCAGGGGCCCTTTGAAATGAGAGTGGTTAAAGACTGAGCATATTTTTGGCTAATGCTGCCTGTGGACACTACTCCATATCAGATTACCCAAGCAGTGGGGGCTGGAGCAGCTCCCAGAAGCAGCCATGTAAATACCGATTTCCTCGGCACACAGTTAAGCCCCAATACATGGTGGGGTTTAAACACACTTCTTTGTTCCTCTTTTTGAATTCTTTACCAAATGCATTACTTTTCCTACTGACACAATATTTTAAAGAGACCAGTTCATGAATGATGCTGCATCCTCTGAGAAAAATAATCTCTATGGTTTTCAGTCTTCTTATAGATACAAAGGTTTTACATAGTTGCCTGGAAAAGTACCAAACTGCCTCGTCCTTCTCGAAGTACCTGCAAGAAACAAGCAAACAAAAACAGACACACAGTGAGAAGCACGCCGAGTTCAGAGAGAATGCTGGAGATTCTGCACCATCCCTTGGTACCAATTCCACACTGTGGTTTCCATAGCTACATCATTTGGGCTATGAAATGATGGGGGGGGGGTAGGGAGGGAGGGCAAGCAAGATGCACTTCAGTTAAGTGACCCAGACTTTAAATGATGCTTCTCAGGTCCCTGAGCTGAACTGATGTTGGAGGCAGAATCTGAACCCAGGTCTTCTGACTCCCTGCCGCACTGTTCTTCCCAACGCTCTGTCCTCACTGACCAGGAACGTCAGGCTGTTAAATCTGTACTCAGTCACTTCTGAAAATAACTGAGCTGTGCAGGGAAGGTACTCATCCCAAGGTAGTTCCTTCAACCAAGATGCCTGCCTTCAGAGAAGACTAGTGTCTCTTCCCCATGGGTTACAGATTGAAGCACTCCTAGAGGAACTTAACAGCAAACGCATTCTCAACCTTCTTTCCCTCCCTCTTCCCCTCCTCCACTCTTGAGACGCAGTCTTGCTGTACAGCTCAAGCTTGCCTAGAATGTGATATCCCCCTGCCCCAGTATCACTCTTTAGTCGGATGGACATCCACACATGGTAACTAAGAACTGAGCTCTTGAGAATTTGGAATCAGCTTCCAAGGTCTTAGAATGAAAACAATATAAAATATATCACTAACACTGTTAATGTGCTCAAAAGATAATATCCGGATACTTCAGGCTCATAAAACATCAAAACGAATTTTATGGGTCCCGCTTTACCTTTTCTATGTGACCCCTCTAAAATTTAGAATTTTACACTTGGCAAGCCTATGACTTCTATGGGACTGCAGTATGCCCTGTGGCCTCTGGCTTCCTGATAAGAATTTCTTTTGTAAAGAACCCCAAAGGGAGGCCTGGCTTCAAGGGGGCCACAGCATTTTCTAAGAGAAGGATCCCTGTCTTTCAAACTGTCTTCCTGTTTACATCATGCTTCATGTCTGACCACTCCAGTCTGAACATGCTTCAGGAAGTTTCTTCCAGCGAGATCAGACAAGAGCTGGTGTTGGAAAGAACGGGGGACTGAAGCCAAGAGCGAACCAGTGGTTCCCAGGGTACCAACAGCCCAAACAGAAATGATGCAGGCTGGGAAATAGTGGGCAGTCTGCTTTACGCTATCAGAGTGACCTTGCAAAAGCTATTAAATCCTGTTGCCCCTCACTTTCTGAATTTGTTAAGTGAGGCTAATTTTTGTTTTGCAGGTGTCGTGAGAGAAGTCAGCAAAAGCACATCACACATACTGGGTTTGCAACAGAATCTCATGCTGGCCTTTCTCTCCCATTCCTGGAAAGGAAATCTTGCATTGCTCTCTCTCTCTCTCTCTCTCTCTCTCTCTCTCTCTCTCTCTCTCTCTCTCTCTCTCTCTCTCTCTCTCTCTCTCCCCCCTTTCTTCCCCCTCCATCTCTGTGATACTGGGGAACAAACTCAGGATCCCATGCTTTAAGCAAATGTTCTACCACTGAGCCATATGCCCTTTATTATTAGAGCTGGTTGCTTTTGTTCAAGTTATTAAAAGCCCAGAGTAAATAAAAGGGTCTTAGGAACATTCATACATGTGCTTGAACTTCATGGTAGACACCTAGTCTTAATCAAATGTTTCTTAAGAGCTTTAAAAATTCATTCTGTGAACATTCAACATGCACACAATAGAAATACAAACTGAACCCAATTAACAGCCATGATGAAGTAGACACCTGCTGTCTTGTGTCACAGACACTGGCCAATCTAGGCTTTAGGCCTTACTCTGTAATATTCATACTCCCTTGAGAAGGAGTGGTCCAGCACTCCTACAGGGGCTGAGAGATTGCTTTCTGTGCAAAGAAGACTGTTCTCTAACCTGTCCCATCATTCCTAGTCCTTCCCTCAATAACCACTAGGAAGAAAAGTGTGATGGGATTCTTACCAACAAACCATCCATCGTCACATTTCTCCATGACATCAACAATATCTCCATCTCGGAGTTCCAACTCATCATCGTTCTGTGGCACATAGCTATACAATGCTTGGTAGCTACACCTACAAACCAGACAAAGGGCCAGTGAGTGGCTCAGTTGCTGACGGGATTTAACAACCATCTATAAATCCCAGTACTGTGAACCCAACATTTATATGACGTTTCCCATCTGATGAAGAAAGTGTTTCACTGATTGGTTCTCTAGCAGTTTAGCATGTGAAGAAGTGAGTTAAATCAATTAAGACCAACAAGGGTAGGGAATTCCTGAGGATCACTAATAATTAATCATCAATCTTGGTTTTCCTCCATTCCTTTATTGTCTGCATCCCTCTCTACTCACTTTACTACCTTTAAAGTCAACCACACCCATTCCTTATAATAGGGTGATATAGGTGAATTATTAAGAATAATCAGCAGTTGTTCAGTTCCAGGAGTATTAAATTCTGGCCATATACATTAGAGGACAAAAGGTAACTATAAAAACAGGTGACAGACACAGATAGGTGGGAAAATGTATTAAAAAGTAAATTTCCATCCATGTGGAATGGCTCATGTTTGTCGTCTGAGCATGTAGGAGGCTGGGGCAGGAAGATTGCCCTCAAGTCCAAGGATACTTTGTAAAACTTTGTCTTAAAAACAAAAGCAAAACAATAGTAATTAATAACAATAATATAGCACATTCCCATTGTCTCTCTGCTTAACAAAACTCTGAGTGTTTCCAAGAGTGGGGCTCCTTTTCTGAAGACCCCAAAAGTTTTCTGCTCCTGTTCCACCCCAGCGAGAGTTGGAGATAAGGGTTTTATTGACTTGCTCTTTGGCCTAGGACATCTGGTTTGCACAGCTCTGTGTTCTGATAACAGCAAAGCTTGCTGTGAAACTGACATCAGCTTTAGCATCAAGGGGAGCTTTGTTTTTCCTTCCTTCCCTTGCCAAATGCTTCCAGGGCCTCTAATCCGCACCGATGCCACAATTCAGACTATTCGCCATTTTAAAACACCACAGCAGCACCCGAATTTTGTAAACAAGCCCATCAAATGCTGTTTCCAGGGATGTCAGTGAATGCCGATGCCGAGGAAGAGGGACTAGAAACAAGAGCCTGGCATTGGCTTTAAGAGCCAAGAGGCTTGCCTATGCTGAGTGCCACACATAGGACACCTGTCCTCACTACTCTTTCAGGGTGTTGAGACTTTGGTGGAAGGAACTGGCTGCCAGAGGGAAAGTCTCTAGTGAGGAATTAAGAGACAGAGATAGATTTCAAGCTGGTAAGCGAATACCTTTTTCTCTCATTTCCGTATGCGTTTCTACCTAACTACAGCTGGCTATCTAATACACACCCTCACTAACATCCTAAACTGCCCTTAATTTCCACCGTGGTGGCTTCACTACGTTATATTCTGAAAAATAACTCTGCCTGTCACTAGGCAAATGGTGGGGATAGACTGGAGAAAATCTATACCATTGTGGCAATGGTCCTCCTTAACTCTAATGTCCACAGCGGCTCTGCTGGTTCTGGTGCTGTGTATTCTTGCCTCCACTTTCCAAGGTGGAAACTTATGTGACAAAACCTTAGCCTTCCTCCCTGACAGACAGGGGTCTGTGCCTGTTGCTGTGTGCAAGGACCCTTTCTCCTGGCTGTGCTGAACCCTCTTCTTCCACTTACAGCTTCTTATTTGTTTCTTTCAACTTCTGACATCACTTTCTTTGCCACAAATACGCCTAAAACTCTCTGCCCTGTCCCTAGCATCCCTCACCACACCCATCCTACCCTACCCCACCCCACCCCACCCGTGTCATCAAACTTACTCTTCAGCCCTTTCTAACGGAGCATTCACTACTGTTACACAGTCACCGGTCATTTTGCAAGTTGTCAGAGAGAATGCCTGGTGACCCTTCTTCATTTTCTACCCCGGTCTCTCAGAGGCAGGCAGCAGGGCTGGCCAGATGCCATCTATGGGCTCTGCTCTATCAAAGAGAGCGCTCCTACAACTGTGCCTGTTCCTGCTGCCCTTTCTTATTCGCCTCCACTGTTGGTTACTCTCTGCCCTGTCTCTCTGTTGGTAGTCATATATTTCCGCGGTTACTATAAGCTCACCCCGTTCTAGCTAAGACTACCATGACTGGCTTCATACCTACTGACCAACACCCCTGTGCCTTGTTTCTGAATCCCATCCTCCACCTGTTGCCAGTTATCTCCCTAGAGCAGATATGATTGATATGCACCTCACTTTAGAAACCCTCGGAGGCTTTCTGGTGTTTGCTGAATAAAATCTGAACCTATTTCAGCCGCAATCCAGAATCTGGTCCCGTCCTAACATCTTTACTTTCACCTCTATCTTTACTTCCACGAACCATCTGCTAGCCCCACAGGCCTTCCTCAGGGTCGCCAAACACTACCCACTCCATGCCTTTTTCTTGAAGCTCGGTTCAAATCACTGTTCTTTTTCTATGAACAGAATTTTCTCCGGTATGTATAAACCATAGGACATATCTAATACTTTTCTGAATGACTGATATATAAATCAACACTGTTCGTTCATTTCAGCTCAGAAGTAACTGTTCCCTTTTCTCTGTTCCATAGCATTGATATTGAAACTGGTTAGCACAACTCTCATTCCCCCTTGTATGGCCATTAATTCTTAACCCATCTCTTTCTCCCAGTAGCCCATGAAGTCTTTTATTCACCTACCACCTGTCTTCACAGGATGACAGGAAATATGGCCTTCCCTAGAAATCCCCAAAGAGGCCATAAGCAATTAGCTCATTCCCCCTAAAAAGCTGTGACAGAGTCAGCCAATCATTTTCCAAAGTGGAAAGTGCACCAGCAACATAAGAACCAAAGTTCTTAGACTGTACTTACAAATCCTGTGAGGTCTGGCTCCTGTCTGGGGTGACTCTCCGCTGCTGGGCTTGAGGTTGCTGAGAAACGATTAAAGATGATTTACGGTCAGAGGGGGGTACCTTGTGATGGAAGTCAAGGGGATGAGAGACAGTGCTGCAGTAATGAACAGATTTCTCGGCAATGTTTATGATCTCATTGCAAACCGCTTCCTGTGAGGTGGCCCCGCGATATCCAGAAACCCCCATAAAACAGTCAATGTGGGGACAAAAAAAAAAAAAAAAAGAGAGAGAGGAAGAGATGTAACATTCCAGATGAAGCACGTAAGTCCAGGGAGAAAACAGAGTTGAAGATCCGGGTTAAAAAACAAAAACAAAACAGAGATTCCAGTAGTGGAGTGCAGGAGGGATCCAGGTAAGCATGGAAAGACAGGTAAGAGGAATTTGGCATTTAGTATGACTGTTTGTAAGAAGCAGCAGCATAAAAGCCTGTAATTAGTGAGTAGCTGTTACAGCTGGAATAATCTCAGGCTAGAAATACAAGAACGAATCCCCCAGTCATGCACTAGCTCATTATTCAATCCCACCTTCCGGCACAGTGGAACTGTCTCTAAATTCCTCCGCTCTTTTAGTGGCATAGAGGGTGGCCGAATCTCTGACATCAGCCGTGGGCTCGTGAAGACCACAGCGGTATGTTTACCAGGAGTTACTCTGGTCTACACGCTGCAGTCAGGAAGGATTCCCTTTAGGAAAGCCACAGTCTCAGTCAACAGGCATCTTACCACATAGCTCTTTTCAGATTCTGTGAGATCAGGTCCTGCGCTCAATGAGTGATGATGAGAGGGCTGTGATCACCAAGCAAATCAGAAGGGAGACATTTTAGCAGATGTCACATTGGAAAGGTTTCAAAATAAAAAACGTGAGCAAATACACGTATCACACCATCACATTCAGATGACTCCAGATACCTGTGGCCCGTGGCCACTGAGTTCCCATGACAACATGGCAGATGCACAGGAAAAATGCAGATGTACAGCGTTAGAAGCAAGCATCCAGCAATGAAATGGGGAATGGGAAACGTGGCCACAGTGAGGTGGGAATGACAGCACGGGGTCCTCAGGCTGGCAGGACAGACACAGGGAAGGGCTGCCTTTAGGGACAGCCCTGCTGCGCCCACCCCAACACAGTCTTGAGCGCTTCGATCTTAGTGAACAAGTTTCAAGGGAGGGGCTGTTGTGTCAAAGGTGGTTTCAGGTTCTGGTTGATGGGGAGCCAATGGTGGGACTATCAGGACCCAGAGTGGAGCATTCACAAAGACTACACTACTACTGAGGTGTTCTTGGGTAATAGATGACGTCTCAAACAAGACTATGTGCCTCAAAAGAGTCTGCACATGGCATAGCCTGGTGAGGTATGAAACGAGTTTCCTAAAGCAAGTGCTATCCAACAGCAGAAATGGATGACTGGGAGATGGTGGCATCGTCTCCATCCACTAGCCAGGGTGCTGTCGAGCATTGTGTCTAACTGGAGCACAGACTCTGACTTTGTTATCTGGGCTGTGCCAGACACTGGCCACTGCTAACTGCTGATGACACTTCTGGTACTCAGCCTGTGGAAAGCAAGGTTGCAGAGGACCTCAACTGAGATTCTCTGCCCTCAGTGCACCAAACTGGGTCTCACCTCATGAAAAACAAAAGTTCTCATTAAAAACAGAAAGTCCAAACTCCAGATAGTGGCCTGATGGCCTCAGGCCAGATGTAGACAACTCTTGGGATGGTGTCCATGGCTTACAAAAGTCCCTGGCATCTTTACCTGGCAAACAGTGTGCTGCTCCAAAGCAGATCTGGGAACTGAATGCGAATGGAGTGGCTATTTTATAAACACACGGAGGTCCAATGGCTCACACTTCCCTTGTACTTTTACTCACTTTTACTAGGAGAGGACAGGGGAGGGAACTTTAAGACCAGATGAAGTCCGGGGCCTTGTACAAGGAAGCAAAGGCTGTGAACACAAGAGCTGAGCCCTTTTGTGACTCGTAAGCCACCTCCCCCAGTCAGGCTGAGACAGCTGACAATAGGTTATCAACCCCCAAATTCTATCTCTTAACAGACTTCTCTTCCCGAATGCTTTACTCAAATGCGCAAACGCATTTCCTCCTGCAAGCCGCTTGGTGCATCTGGTATTAACCCACAGAACCACAGTGCTGGAGAGCTATCAGTGGCTACGTTAGCAGCTCTGAAGAAAGGGGAGGAGGATAGTCCAGCTTTAACATCAGGAGAGTTCAGACAACCCCGTTCCTGAGAGGCAGGGAAGATGGGTTCCCACTTAGTGTCAGATAAACAAAGAAAGTACTCAAGGTAATCAAGGTCAGATTCCCTTTCTCCCTGTTTCCATTTAACAAAGGCATGGAGCTGGAATGTAAAGCTGTGGTGGGGGCGGGGCTCCCATGTAGCTGGAAACCGCTGATACCAGTTACCTGGATCGGCCCTTCCCTTAGAAGGCTGTTTGCCCTCAGAGGATTTTTTCCCTCTAGGTACACGCTCTCCCTTTTCCTGTCCCACTTTCCACTTTCTAACCCTTTGCTGTCTGTGTGCACAGGAGACACAGTAAGCCGTGAAATCTGCTATGAATGAAAAGAGACGGCGGTTTCCAAAGGAATGCAAAATAGCTCATTGAGTAATTTTTGAGTGTGTTGGGTTAAATGGTCTCTGTTTTTACTTCACGTATTCTGTTCCACTGTGGCTGCTACGACATTTTCAATTGTCTATGTGCTTCACATTCCCTTTCTAGTGGCAGTATCCTCCTTCAGTCAGTTCTTCAGTCTGTCCTTCCTGAAGCCTGAGAGTAGGTCCACATGTTCTCATCAGGGCCCAGCTGGTGCTAAGAATAAAGAGTATTAGCTCATGCTACGCACATCTTGACTTCTGTAGCCACATTCCAGCTTTCCATGTGCTTGGAAAAACAGCAACCAGTCCAACGTGCAAGGTGTGCACGTATACACATCAGGCAAGCACACACCTCCCCCTTCAGCTCCCCGCCAACTGTACGCGTGAAATAGCTGCGTTGTATGGACTCACACTGCCTGCCTGCCTGCCAGCTAGGGTGCTCTCTCCATCGTCCCCAAGAACAGTGGGGTGTCCTTGCTCTGCCTCCCTGTTGCCTGCCTTCAGCTTGTAGTCTGTCAGAAACCTGACCTTAGCTTCCCTGGAGCTGCTAATCCCCGCTGGACCCAGAACACCTGGTGCCCCTGCAGTTACCCAGCATCCTGTCCCAGCTCTGGGGTGTGCCAAAGGCTGAAGTCCAAAATAAGCTACACGCACGCACGCACAGAACCCTGGAAGAGTAGATGGGAGAGACACCCAGCCCCTGCATGGCCCTGGTCCCCACATGAACATCAGGAATCTGCTGTTATGTTAAGAGGGCTGGACCTGGGTCTCTGAGATGGCATTACTCTAGTTATATCATGCCTCCTTGGATTCCACCCCACCTTACAGCACCTGCACTGGCCTCCTAATGGGACAATGAACAACCTGACCTCCTAGACAGGCTTTCATAACGACCTACTTCTTAGGAAAGATTTCAAATTCCAAAATATACAACAGGGCTGTGCATGATTCATAATGTTCTTTCTGGCCCTGGCTCTATGGTTCTATCTTATGAATAATTTGGAATGGGTAGCATTGACAAGGCTCAAAGGAGGCAGCTCCTATTAGATAGATCACAGCCCCTAGACAGCTGGAGAGCTCACTTCTGTCAATGCGGGAAGTGAGGTGCTGCCCAAAGATAGTGATACAAGGTTGACCATTCATGGAACATGGGCAACTCTGCCAGCGGAGTGCGGAGACCTGAACAACTCAGGCTCCTGGGTTTCTGCTCCAGAGAACTGCAAAGAGGCTTCTGACTTCACGGAGTTCTCCTACAGCATGCAATGAGAAACAGATGGCAATTCCAATATAAAGCTAGTTACTAACAATTACTTGGGCTCCTCATGGACTTACTGTCATTTGAATCTGTTTCTAATGCTCAGCAACACTCAGTCTTCTCATGGCAAACTAAGCCTACCTTCCCCATTTCTGCCGTATCAGGGAAGATGGCAGGTGCGTACGTGGCTCAGGAAAGCATTTCAGGGTACCTCATGCTGGGTATAAAGAGAGGCATTAATGTGTTTCCTAATTTCTTTTTAAATTAAGATTATATTGGTTGAGGAGACTGCACGAACCGTACGTAGTGTGCATGTGAAAGAGGGCAACTCTCGGAACCACTTCTCTCCTCCCACGCCATGGGTTCTGGGGATCGAACTCAGCTCATCGGGCTTCATGGCACATACCTTTATTATCCACTAAGGCATCTTGCTGGTCCCCAGATCCCTAAATTCTTAAATGATACAACCCAAACAAAATGAGCCTCCACCTACCTTTCTCTCCCACCCCCCCGCCACCACCTTCTCTGGGGGGGGAGGGGCATGTTTTGTTTTGTTCTTGCAACCCCAGCACCACACAAGAGTCACTGCCTGAGCTGAGTCCCAATTACATGGTCTGTGGTAAGTGTGCTTTCTGCAGTCTATCTGGCCATCTGTTTCCTGGACTCTAAGTTAGGCACATTCACCCCTTCCCATCAATCCTTTAGGTGCCTTGCCAGAGGGGGACTTCACAACCACTGCGCCAGTCAACGCGGTGCTGGGGAAAGGTCCCCTCTCCAGTACTCCGCTGCTGGCCCCTGCATTTCTACAGAGGCACCTCTATTTCTTCGGGCACCATGTAGGGGTGGACACTGCAGCTTCTGGTCTTGGTGAAAGAACACTAGCAAGTTATTTTGTAAGAACAGTGTCCAGTCTCTCCTCTTCTGATAAACTGTTAACATTGGCTGGCTGTGCTTCCAGACTTCCCTTCTGAATGAGTCAAAGGAAAACATTTCCCATCTTTGAACATCTTAATATTTCTGTGTGTGTGTGATCTTAATGCTTCTGACTTCCCTTTTGCCCTTACAAGTTACATCTCGTGTTTCCCGTCCTTTTCTGATTTCCATTCTCCAGCCAGGTCCCTGCCTTTGTTCTTAGCTTTCTGGGAACTGACTTAGTTCCTACTTGGTTACCATAGCACATCTTTCTGTCTCTAGGTAAGTTGCTCTTCTCTTCTCTGTGATCCTCCTGCCTCTATTTCCTGAGTTCTGGAATTACAGGAATTCAGGGTTTAATACAGAAATTTGATGAGGTTTCTCACAAACGTCAAGCATTCTTATACACAAATCTAGATTCCAGTAATTGCTTCTCCCTTGGGGAGAGGCAGTCTCTACTTGGTGGTGTTAATGACCAATATTTCCCACATGGACTCCACTTTGGTTGTTTTACATAATATTAGCCAAAATTATGCCAAACAGAATCCCAAAAACATGCCAGTCAATCCTGACCTTCTGGACAATTTGTGTATATCTATGTGTGTTTTTGTCCAGTCAACAAACTTGTCATTCCAGACCCAGTAAAAGCAAAGTGTTTGTTTGTTTTTCAGTGGCGAAACTCTGCACATCTATAATAAAGCCCGTAGTTAACATTTTATATGTTATTTCTCATTTCAACTGACAGTCACATTGGATCCCATCACAGAATACCACAGCTGAAAGGAAGCTCAGCTCCTACGTCTGCATCTTTTGTTTATGGACAAGGAAGTTGCCGGGAAGGAGATGTGACTCATCCACAGACACTCAGCCAACTGATGGCAGAGCCAGAACTAGAACCTGGAGACCAGTGTCCTTCCCTGTTTCCCCTGGACACCCTGGCACTGATTTATCCCTTCTGTTGTTCAGAGAAAACAAACCTAAAAACATAAGCAGCCGGCCCAAGGTAAAACATTCTGACAGTATAAATGACTGAGACATCAGAGCATCTTCCGCAAGAGGTCACACATCCCGACAGTTGGGATGGGGGCAGGTGATCCAGGGAAAGAAAGCGGCAGAGTAGGGACTGACTGGCAATGGTCAAGGGACAGCAAGGAAGATGGCTTCTGTGCTGTTAAAAGGTATGGCAAATGCTGGAGGCACAGACAGGCATAGGCCCAGCTATGGTCCCAGTCTCCTTGGTAGATCTCACTGATCTGTTGATCTGTAGGCACACCTAGAGTACATTTGTACTTCCCACCTCTGGGCTTTTGGATACCAGTCACCATCCCACTATATCTGTGGGAAAACTGCCTCTTCTTTAAAACCCACAACAAATGCGACTTGTGATCGCCTTCCTCCTCCTACACCTATTATGGTTTCCTGTCTCGAACTTCCGGGATAGACTGTGTCTCTCTCTTCTGAACAGGGCTGACTCCACAGTCAATAGCATAAACTCTTCTAGTTCTGATCAGTTATCTTTTAATCTTTTCTTTGACAAATATTTACAGAGCACATTCTATATATCAGGTGTTGTGGTCCCTGACTGTTGGGCCTACTGCTCTACACACATCCAGGCACAAGAGCTGGGGAGACTTTGGAGGATGGTGCTGCTCGTTGTCTAAATGGCCATTCCACTAGGAAGCCTTCTGGGCCCAGGAGGAAAGACTTTCCTGAGAGACAGAGGAAGTCTGCAGTGATGTCTAAGCCTTTTGGCTCCCTGCGACACTTAGCACACTGCTGGATACTAGGTATTTAGAAGAAGGAGTAAATGACCACCGTGTCTTAGCCTGCTTTTTCACTTAGTATTTTGTTTACTGGTTGGATGCTCGACCAAGTAAGTGCAAAAAAGTACAAACGGAACTTGGGGTTCGTCAAGGGGAAGACCGGCTGGCAAGTTTCTTGATACTGGAATGCATTTACCCAAATAAGTGACACGGCCTGAGGTCATGTCCTGACAGGGCCACTAGAGGACAGATGATGAGGTAAGTCCTTTCCACCTTTAGCTTGCCTGTCAGCCAAACAGGCCCCAAGAGGATGGAGCCCTTTATGAAGGACCCATCCCCAGAGCTGTCTTGGGTGAAGCGAGAAGTTGTAAAGGATGTGTGTACACATCATTAATTCTCAAACGGACCAAACCAGACCATGGCTCCCACATATTCACAGGGAAAGAGCTTGTGCCAGGAAAGCAGGAGGAAGGGGAGGGGGAACAGGAAGTGATACACCTGGTGTCCAGACACTCGCCAGGAAAGGTGAACCAACCCTCAACAAGCCTGGCCTTCCCATCAACACAATCTCTGCTGCCAGCTACTCCACTTGTCCTTGGTAGGAAGCAGGAAGTGTGCACCCTGGACCTCACTGGTGCTTCGGTACTGTGCGAACTTCCCGTCCACACCGAATCCTGGAACAGTGTGCAGTGATGAGTCACGCCTGCAATCAGGACTCCGGGCACCTGAGGTTGATCGACATTTCGTCCTTTTCAACCGGCAACTTCACTACAGCTTCCAGCAAGCTATCTTTTTCTCTGAAGCAGACAGACACTTTTCTTTAGCGTACACAGGTCAGGAGCCCCTGTCCCCAGAGCCCCGTGCTAAGAGATGGGACAACCATGTACAGTAGCCATAGCAGGAAGCCCCTGTTTAACAGAGACTGAACATAATGCAAGTACCCCATTGATGGCCACTATCTTATTAACCATCACAATAGGTCTTCCAGGGAGGAACGGACTGTCTGCTTCTACCCCTAGTTCTACTCCTACATGAGCAACTACAGAGGCGCAGGGCAGGGGTAGGGATACAGTGCTTGCTAACCTTCTGTTGACTGAGCCCAATTCCACATAAACTATCCCACACTTGATCACCCTCAGTGATCTCCACACCATGTGAAGGCCCAACTTGGCATGTCTCATGCCTGTATGTTCCTGTTACTGGCCTGGTGACATAAATATGTCTGTCACTGTCAATGGATATGGGCTCCTCAAGAAAGGGATTTAACACCCTCTGAACCCTACCCATAGACCACATACGTCAAGCAGCACACCTTAAATTATACTCAGAGAACAAACAGCTCCAAGGATAAACAGGACCAAAGGTCTGAGGGAGGAGCACAGTCCACTGTGGATACTACATACAACAGACATCAACAGTTTAGACAGCTCTATAAAGTCCCTGGTTCTAGAAGCAGGGTTAGATCACCCACCATGGCAGTTCTCTCTTCTTTTTAGAAAGTGCTTGTGCTTAACACCTGCATGCATTCTTTCAAGGAATTTTCTGGACCTGCTAGGAGGGAGGTTATCTTCATTTCAGAAGTCAGAAACTGAGTCTCTAAGAGGGTGAACAATTTCCATAATGGCAGTTAGCATTGGTACTCAACTCTGGTTACTATTGAAATGTTGCCCAAAGTCCTTTAATAAACAACACAGGCAAAACTGACTAATGACCTGTCTAGTTATCAAATTCATGTCCCTTCAAAACTCCCTAAATCTACCTTGATTTATATGCTGAAATCTTTGTAGTTCACTTGGAAGAACCGCCATGCAAAACCTATGATACCTACTCAGTGACCCCAAGCACATCAGAAGCCCTTCCAGCCTGCACCCTCCCCATCTATGAAGAACCAAAACGTCTCTGCTCGGTGTAAACATGGCCCTTTAGTCCCACACAAACACAAAACAAGACAAAGACCTGACAAAATTAAGCATCATGAGTTATGGAAACAGTGCATCTCACAAGAAAACCACACCACACCACACTAAAGCCTGGTGTTCTCAGCTGTGTTAGTCAAAGCAAGTCAAGGACTATCTTTAGGGCATGAATGGGACACAAGGAAGGTGTCCCTGCTCGTGGGCTTTGGTACCAGGGTAGCAGATGTCAATGGAGGAATGAATACTTTCAGATCATCTCCGGAGGCTAGAATGTTTCCCTGAACTATCCCCAGCCAACGTAGTCCACAGCTCCTCCATTCCCTCTTGGCCATCCCTTTGTTTCCAAGGCAAGCAAACAGATCTCCCAGGCACCCACTTGGCCTCAGTTAATGGACCAGAGGTGAGACATCTGGTATGTTCCACCATGCCAAGCAAGAGGCCAAGGCACCACCAGTCATGCTTCAGGCCTACCTGGCTTACACCACTCTGAGCAGCCTTCCTGTCAGCCTCGATACCTCTGTGAAGCTCTGGTGGCCCAGCCTCCCATGCTGGGATAGGACTACCCAGAGGCTTGAAGGACTGGCTGTCATCAGCAGTGTGGAACTCTGAGAGTCTCTGCTCAGAACTCAGGCACCTGACCACGTCTGAAGGTCTCAAGCAGCTCTTCTTAGAGATCTTGGGTCCACCAGGGTATCTCTCACCTGCCTCGCTCTCTGCTTTCCTCTCATAACGTCCATCTTCTCGCCAGGGCTGTCTCTTGCTCTGGCTGCTAAAGGCATCACTAAGCTCTGAGATGACCCTATCAGAGTTCCCAAGTGGTGGCTGAGAGAAGCCATCTTGGTGGGTGTGAATGCCACCATCTCCATTGATGTGAAGAGGAGCCTGGGCACCTGGTGCCAGGGAGTAGGCTTTGTGGGGTGGAGGCAGGGCCAGCGGGGAGACCACTGACCGACTTGCACAGGGGAGGCTGAGTGGCAAGGAGGGACGGGCCCTCGCTGACAAGGCCAAGCGGTCCGTGTCATAGACAGAAGCCTCAGGCAGAGGAGGCAAGGGTGGTGTCATGGCCAGAGAACGCCTGCCTGGGACCCCGACAGTCAGCGAGATCCACTCAGAGGTGATGGCGCGCATCTCAGGGGAGAGGGCTCGGCGGGGGTGGGGTAGAGATGAAGGGGCTGGCATGATGAGCTTGCTGTGACTAGTACACTTCCAAAGGAGAGACAGAGAGAAGAAAACAAAAGGAAGAAACAAAGATAAAAGTGTCAGCATAAAGGAGGAAGGAGGAAGATAACCACAAGGGGCATAAAGAAGAATGAAATAGAGAGGATGAGCAGGACACCCCGGCGTCCAAAACAGAGATCATCTGGAGAGGCTGGGAGAGAATCCTCCTAGTGGCGGAGTGTGTGCAAGCAGGGTGGAGACAGGAGAGGCATGTGGCATGGAGGCGGGAGAGGCTCCCATTGGACAGCTGTCTGCAGAGTCCCATTTCAGAGGGTGGGAAGTGCCCCACCCCGGCCCTGACCCAGAACTGCAGGGTTAGGTGGGCAGCCTCTGTCCAGGCCCTTTTCTTCCTCAGCTCTGCAGAGTTCTCCAGATAGAGGCAGGGACTGTGTGGTCATTTTGTATTACAATTACTCATGGCCACAGTTGAGTACAAATTCCACATGCTCTTCCGGAGCAGAATGCCCGCTCCAGTCTCATACCCTCTCATGTGAGAAGGCAGAATGTATGGCTCACTGGTTAGCAAATCTAATGCTAAGACAGCCAAGGGCTGTCTGCTGTGCCTGTGACCAGCATGGGGAGGGAAGGAAATGGTAGAGGGTGAGATAGAGGGTCAGCACCACTGAGTCCCACAGTCTCCAGCCAGCCTCCTCCAATTTCATTCCACAGGATGCCACCTGACCATGTTTCTCTTGAACTCAGAGCTCTCGCTTTACTCAGCTTTGGGAAAGTGGGCATCATTTGTAATAACATCTTAAACAAGTATGCTCATAATTAATGTTCAGAGAAACAAACACGTTCCTATGCTTACAAACTACTCCCTTTTGACCCAGGAGAGACTGATACACTCTAAGTTTCTCTTCTAACTTGGGTCTGGAGAATGCTAGCAAGAGGACTCTGAACCATTCCATTCTAAGCGTAAGGACGTGAAATTATCTTCCAACCCCTGTCATCTGTAAGACAATCTCGATGGACAATAGTACAAAGGGAAGCATGCTAGACTATTCGAGGGTGGCCTCCACACCAGCAGCTTCACAGGGATGCACAGACTCATAATGTCACTCCCCCCCTTCCCACAGTAACTAACTTAAACTCTCCCTTTCCTTCAGATCGTTAGAGTGCTAGAAGAATGCCATAGGCATGTATGAAAATTTGCCCCAGACTTCCCTGATCAAGGCAGTTCTTGATTAGAGCCATCAGAGAGGCTGTGTGCCATCGACACAGCTGAAGATGCAAACTCCAAGCTGAGGATGAAAGCTTAGATACCTGTGGGCTCGCAGTGGTACTGCGACTTGGAGAGGAGGAATAAGGCAGGTCTATGTAATCCACCGGGTTTTTCACCAATGGCCTCTTGAGCACATCTACATAGGTGATCGGGAAGATGCCTTGGCGGGATGTCCCAGGGATCCTCCCTTCATACCAGTTCTCATCCACCTGTCGGAGCAGCGTAATCCTCTCACCCTGTAAGACACAGCCAAGCAAGAATCCTTATACCACCACACCGCAGCCTACCTGAGGTCCTTGCCTGTATCCTGCACTGTCCTGTATCCTTCATCACACTCTATGAGCAGGAGAGCCATCTCTACTGGCCATGGATGGAATACTGGGTTGGGGATGCTAACACGGTAGCGCTTCCTTAACCAAGGAGCTAAGCATTTCAGTAAAGAGCTCAGATGTATTCCCTCAAGCCAGAAGACTACTGTAGTATCTTAGGCAGTCCCATATAGTCTTCATCTGCAAGGCAAAGCCTTTGGAGGGTTGTGTTTGGGGTTGCTCTTTACCATTATATGATTTTAAACTAATTTTATTTGTATGAATGTTTTGTCTGCATGCATGGAAGTGTACCATGCACTTGCCTGATTCCTGTGGAAGTCAAAAGAGAGTATCTGGAGCTGTAGTTATGGGTGGTGGTGAAACACCATGTGGGTATTGAGAATTGAACCTGCATCCTCTTCAAGAGCACATTCTTAATCCTTGAGCCACCTCTATAGTCTTTACTTTTTGTTTTGTTTTTTTGAGACAGGGTCCACACTCACTTATGTAGCCCAGACTGGCCTTCAACTCCAAACAGTCTCCTTAATGTAACCTTCTGAGGGCTAGGATTACAGGTTAGAGTCATCGCACCCAGGTCAGAAGGGTCTCCCTCTCCTTCTCCCTGTCTCTCCCTCCCTCTGCATTTAGTGGTTGGGGTGTGCTGGTGGCACAACATGCAGGTGGAGATCAGAGAACAACTTGCTGGGTTTGGGTCCTCAGTCTTGGGTGCCTTTATCCATCTCACCAGACTCTCAGAAAGGTCTCTTTATTTTCCTCTATATTTTTTATGTTCTGTACTGAAAAGTTAGAATAAGAATAAACATAAAGCATAAGTAATCTTCCTCTATCATGATATTCCTGGGGATTACCACTGTTAATATTTTGACATAGGTGCTTCCCAGATTTACCTCTATGTGTATGAATTAGACTTGCCCAGTTTTTCTCTATAGAGTATGAGTATATATAATATTTTGATTTTTATACATGCTATTTTTCAAATTCCATTTATTATTAATAATACTGTGGGTATGGTAGGTATGAGGGGACATGTGCACTTACTTGAATTCTGGAGATTGAATTCAAGTCTTAAGGCTTGCGTGGTAAGTACTTTACCAGATAAGATACTGCACTCTGTCCCTATATACTTTTTGATACTTAATGAAAGTGAACCTTCTTTATCAAGAAACACACACACACACACACATCACAAACACACACAAACTTGCAATATAGCCGGGATGCCCTTGGACGCATTATTATCCTCCTGCCTCTGCCTCAGAGCACGGTAGGATTGCAAGTACATGAAAAAAGCCTCACATAATTCTTCATTTGTGTAGATGTTTGACAACTTAACTGACCACTCCAGGATACTCTATTACCACATATATAACTATTTAATCACAGATTCCCTGTCATGATGCAGTTAGGAAACTTTAAGGTTTTCTTTGTATAAGGTTGCTTATCTTTTTTTCAAGGCATGAACTAACTTCTTTTGATCCCCCATCAAATTAGTAATTCTAATAACTTTGGAAAGTTGGAGAATTATGACATATATAAAATGTCTAATCAGTGGGAAGAAGAAACCTGGCTCCCATCCACCACCCACAAGGTCACTGTGACCACATGAAGCATGCTGAGTTGCTCTGCAGCAAGAGCAGTAGTGGCAGCTGCTACCACCTGTGGACTGAGCACTGACCAATGGCCCAAGTCATACATCGCTGCTTCTTTCAGGTCCCTTAGGACACCCTAGGGAGGCTTTCTGTCCCAGTGTTTTTGATGAGGCAGTGAAGGCTTAGATCGAGGAGTATTCAGCTCCACACAAATTGTACTTCTGATAACTTGACTTTTGGCTTCAAAGCCTTTGAAATTTCCCGATTCCCCACTCTAGTTTCTTTCTATCTATCTATCTATCTATCTATCTATCTATCTATCTATCTATCTATCTATCTATCTTATCTATCTATCTACCTACCTGTCTATCTCTCCTATATCTCCATATCTATATCTATTAAAGCTAAATCAAGTCACCGACACAACGCTCATCACTAAACGTTGGTTGAACACAGTTAATATATGATGTCTAAGATGCTGTAAATACTGTCTTTAATTGGTGAAGTCAGTGTGGTTAAACTCTGAATTGTGTTATTTAAAAAAAAAAAAAAAAAAAAAAGCAGGTTTTCCAGAGGACCCAGAACCTACATGGTGGCTCTCAACCTTGTATAATTCCACTTCTAGAGATTCCAACAGCCTCTTTAGCCTTCACAGGGACTGCACACATATGATACACATGCAAGCAAAACACCCAAACACACAAAATAAAAATAAATAAAATGTCATCTCAGAAAAGCTTCTGATTCCCCTTACTGCAAATTTTGAACATTTCACCATATTCTTAAGGCACTCTATTGCAACATCACAATTACCCAGATAACAGCACCATTCAAAGGCCCGAAAGCCTGGATGAGACATGGAGCTTACCTTTCGGAAGGACATTTCTACTTGTGTATCACCATTAAAGTTAAACTTAGCAATGGCTTCTCCATATTCCAAAACCTGCACAGGCGCCAGCTTTCTTGGCTGAGCCTTCTCAGCTGGAGGAAGAAGCTAAGAACAGAAAGGAAGCAAAAGGGAAAGGCAAGGAGAACAGACGGGAAGAAAACACAAGGACTTGGTTAGAAAACGGCATTTCAGCCACGGCTGGGCTTCTTGCGAGAATGGAGCTGTGGGCTGTAGTACCTCGATGTAGGTGCGTGGGAAGATCCCCACCCGGCCATGGTGTTCACCTTCGTACCAGTTCTGGTCAATCTGTTTGTAGATGTAAACAATGTCTCCCTTCTGCAGAGGCAGCTCCCTGTTGACAGAAGGTCATAGCCTTTTAGCAGATGTTTCAAAGCGTGCCCAGTGAAGTGAAAGCACTTCAGGGTTCTGTAAAAGAAGACTCCACACAGAGTCAAGGGTGTGTGTGTATGTGTGTGTGTGTGTGTGTGTGTGTGTGTGTGTGGTGGTGGTGGTGGTTTGAAAAGCAATAGCCCCCAAAGACTCATGTGTTCAAATGCTTGGCCCACAGGGAGTAGTGCTTTCAGGAGGTGTGGCCTTGTTGAGGAAGTATGTGACTATGCTGGCAGGCTTTCAGGTCTCATATGCTCAAGCTACACCCAGTGTCGTTCAGTCTCCTGCTGCCTACACAAAATGTAGAACTCTAAGTTTCTTCTCCAGCACTATGTCTGCCTGCAAGCTGCCATGCTTCTCACCGTGACAATAATGAGCCAAGCCTCTGAAACTGTAAGCCAGCACCAACTAAACATTTTCCTTTCCAAAAGTTGCCATGCTTATGGTGTCTCTTCATGGCAATAAAATCCTAACTATGACAGGGGACAAAGTCACAGAAGATGGGGGAGGCTCCGTAACTGGAAGTGAGAACTCCAACTTTCAGGAAATTATATCACATTGAACATTTTTTTTTCTAATCTTTTATGGAATGGGTACCAACACATAAACTTACTACCACCAGAAAGTGCTCAGAGGCCTAATTAGTTTGTTGTAATTTTCTTAATGCATTTGGGAAGGGGGGATTCTGTCTTAGACTTGCAAGACCAGCAGTCTTAACTTATATCTATTCAATGGTGAAATGTCTCCCTTTGGATACTTCCGTTGCCCCTTGAATGCCTCAGGGTATGACATCCTGGCATTCGATCATCCACTCAATCACCCTTGCAGCCCCTACTTCACCATCCATCCCCATCAGCCTACACTAGAAAGCTCTGAAGTCAGGCAGAGCTGAGTTCAAGCCAAGTTCAAAGAGTTACTTAGTTCTGGGACTTGGACAAGAAGCTTGAGCTCTCAGTGACACCATTCCTTTATGTGATCACAGCAGCTAAACCAAAGCTGGAGAACACAGCTGTAAACTGCTGGTGAAACACCCAGCACCCATTGTGTGTTCTATAGCCATGCCTTCCTGCTTAACATGGAAAAATGGGACTTAGAAATGACAATAGATGTTTTTCAAAAGCTGTTTGTGTCCTTCCCCTAACTCTTCCATACCCCTTTCTTGGTTTGCCTCAGCTATGACAGTACGCACATCTAATGACGACTCTTTTTGTTTTCAGGAGAAAAACAAATTATGAACAAAATGAAAACAGAACACAATTATAATTTGAAATTTCTTGAAGAAGAAAAATGTCTAATTTTCTTTTTTGCACCAAACCAACGTCACGAGGTTTCTCACTCTAATTTGGAAGGGGTGTGGCAGCTCTACAGTACGCCAGGATGACCCACATGAGCGATGCTGGCTAAACATCTGGAAAATGTATAAAACATTGACTCTGGGCTGGAGAAAAGCATATGAGAAGGCTTTTGTGGATCTTGTGTTGGGAGACTGGTCCTAATCCTAAATAAACCCATAAAAAGAAAGTCTCAATTTAAAGAAAAAATATTATCTCTTTGATTAAACTGCAAATGAATTCATATATCTTTGTTATTCTCTCTAGCTGAAAAATGAGGATGGTAAATAATATACCGAGAGTATTGACTTCTGCTACATTGTGCAAAACATCCTACTGGTTCTACCCTGGCTGGTCTCTGCAAGGGAAGCATTTCTAGTTGCATCTTGGCAATAAGGAAAACTGAGGGCGAGAGACATGGACAACTTGGCCAAGGTTACAGAGACGTGAGTGGCAGAGTCAGGACTTCCTGGTTCTCAAGCCCACACCGCTATCTCTTTCAGTAAACTAAGGAATTCGAGTAATACACTCAAATCCAACCAAACCAGCATTCTTGAAACTTGAACTAGCCTCTCCTTTTGTGTTGGAGGAAATGAAAATCATGGTTGAGGAGCCTTGAGGCATCACTCATGAAAGGAAGCCTCCTGTCAGCCAGACAACGGGGTGTGGCTGGCCATGTTATCTTTAGCTGCCAAAGAAAATGCGTGGTCTGCTTTAATCCATAATTTGCTAGAAGGCTTGCAAGTCCTTCTGGAACCTGTCTTTGGTAGCATTTCCAAAAATGTGTTCCATAGAAAATAGAAGGGTTTCCAGGTCACCTAAATTTAGAGAACCCTTGGGCCAAATAAGCAGATCAGCTTCTGCCTCTGAGAGAGTCCCTTGGCCCCCAACATGCCAACAGCAGCCCATCTCCCCCAGGGGGAGGGGTCCCAAATAAAGTACACGTGGTTCTCTGACTCATTTCTACAACACTAGTTTTTTGTTTTCATTTTTAGAACACCTTGCAGGATGAACATCCCTAGGAACACACCTAGAGAAACGCTAGCATCCCGTGGGCTTTCTCCTTCAGGAACGCTATATAAAATGGGCCAAGTTATACTCCTAGAGACGGGTTCTGGTGCTTCTACTAACAACTGGGTCAGATCATGCTGCAACCCAACCAGGCAGAGCACCTATGCAGGTAAAAAGAAGGTAAGAGGCAGCTTTGGATGCTGTGATGCTGGGTTTGAACCCTGACTCTATCACCTCCTAGGTGGGCTAAGTCTTTCTTTCATATTGGTTTCCTAAGTTTGGGAAGTGGGAGTAATAGTGTCTACTCCACAGGACACAGGCCTTACTCTTGCGAGTTGAACGAATCATTGTAGGCAATGTAACAGTGCCTGGCGTATAGTCTACTCTTTGTTGTTTTTATTTCTGTCTTCGTTGTTTCCCCAACTCTTTGCCCTAAGCAAACGAGAGGCAGTCAAGAGGAAGACAGGACCAGTAGCACTTACTTCAGTGTCTGAGCTTTAAAGTCAAATTTGGCTCGGGCAGGTCTCATCTAAACACAAGAAATAACAAAGCTGAGTTAAAAACCATGGCTGATGAACAACAATGAAAAGGATACATTGTCACAGGTTTCTAGAAAGCGAAGCAGAGAAATCCACTCTAACCAGTTCATTTTGGTTTAGAAATCACCTGACTTCATCAGAATGACAGATGGACGTTTAGCTAGCTGTGTCATGCATGAAAATTCCCCTTCAAGAAGGCCACATTTAGGTAAGAGATGGTTTGAAAAGCCCCTCAGGCATGCTGACCATGACTACTGTCAGCCAGCAGTCTTTAGGCAAGTCTTACTGACTATCTGACTCCTTGTGGGACATCTCCTATTTGCTTGGTGTAAGGTGTGAACTGAAAATCGATCAAACTCTGGTTCACCTGTCATGATACCTTCTATTCCATATGCTCCTACCGTCTGTGACATCATTCAAAAAGCCAGCTAGGTGAAACCCTGAGTATATCTCTACATTCTGAAACTTCATCCTGGCTGTGGCAACCCCTTTCTCCTAGACACTCAAGCCTGGAATGCCAGACCTAGCCATCTCCACATTCTCATTAAGTTTGTTGGAAAGTCACGCCTGTGTCTGCTTGCCCTCAGTCTAAAACCCTGTTGCTCTGGGTCTGACCTCTGGTTCCCACAGACACAAAGCTTCCTTTGATTTTTACCTTCTCCTCACTCTAGTCTACTGTCACCCAGGAGCACAAATAACATTCCTCAAATTCCTCACTTTGGGGGGGGTTTACTTTGATGTTGCCTTGGGCTCTGGACTGTCTAGCAGATCAAATCTCTACCTCTAACCTGGGGAGGCTTGTGGATCACATCCCCCCACACCTAAATGTCTATCTCTGTTACACCCCCCTGTGCCTGAGCTCCAGCTCAGCCTGAAACTTGTTCAGGTTCACCTGGCAAGAACTTCATCTTTATCTGCTTGTAGATCTTTCTTCTTCGCCGTTAAAGTTCCTTATGGGCAAATGAAATTGTTAAAATCATATGCACAAGCTATTTCTATAGGTATAACTCTAACCTCTTTAGCTGCTATGGCCTCTGCCTAGGGAAACCATGGGGGAAATGGAATCCCCGAGGTAAGAAAAGGCAGTGAAAAGCATCATCAGGCTATTCTAGTTGTTCATCCTTTGGTCATACATATGCTCTACATCGCCAGGCTTCTTGGTTTGGTTTTCACAGACATCTTCTAGGGATCATATTGCACCACAGGAACTTTTGTGTTTTGTTCTGTTTTCACTGGAGCCCAGGCTGGCCTTGAGCTCTGGATCCTCCATCCTCCTCCTCCCAAGCTGAGATCACAGGTATGTGCTGAAACTGGTTCTCCATAAGAATTTTTCATCCTGTATTTTTGTGCTGCTGTTCCCGTCTATCTGTATACATATGTGTTACATTAGGGGACAACCGAATAACCATCTGATAGTCAAGTAAGCATCATATAATGCTAATGCCTATATTTATGGCGTACTTTAACAGTTGTAGGTAAACAAGAGCAGAATGAATGTGAGAGTAAGGATAAATAACATGTTCATAATAGAAGACCCAAAGTCCAAAACTATAAGGAGAAAAACTTCATAGAAATCACAATAGAAAAAAAAAAAAAAAAAAAAAAAAGGTGTGGGGAAAGAGATGGGTCACCCATGTCACCCAGCCATACAGCTGTGTGAACATTATAAAATGTGTACCACGGCACCACACTCATTGTCTGAATAACCTCAAATTCCTGAGTTTGCTAATCCACATTCCAGGCGCTGGGATTAAGGTATGCGCCATCTCACCTGGCTGACTTAACTATATGTGAAGGCGATCTTTCCATAAGACATGGGTTGTGCTGTTTCTGCTGTATGCAGGGAGAGTGCTATACAGAATTAGTGACTCCTGCTGAGTGAGAATAACATGCATCTACACAGCACAGTGTACCCACGCTTGCTGGTCTCCCTGCCTCAACTGTCCTTCAACTAAAGGATGGTGATTCTTTAAATTCGGACCTTAATACATCAAAGCATCACACTTACAACTTGCAAATTGTTAGACCCACTCCAGATCAAAACCTCATAGGTGGGATGCAGGAGTCTGAATTTTGGTTTCTGCATTTAGAGGTTCTCACGCAATTTGGGAGACACCACTCTGGAGGGGACCCAGGTCAATTAAGGAGCGTGTGCCTGCCTTGCCACAGCTACTCCAGCTGAGCAGTCCTGGTGAGCCCATGTATCCCTAAGGCAGTTTTGCAGGCTTCCTTCTTCCTCACATACAGACAGGCCTGTGCTTGGGTCTAAACTATCAGCAGAGCCTTTGGAGCAGGGCTGTTCTAAGAAGGATCAATCACACTGAACACCAAGAGGCTGTCACTCACAGAGGACAGAGACTTTCTAACTTGTTTCCTCTATGACATTTCCTTTTTCCTCCAGACTTTAGAATCTGTCCTGTCCCCCAGTTTCCTTTTTTATACCAATCTCCGTCTCTCTCTCTCTCCTCCCAGGAAAGTTTCCCAGGAAACTTTCATTTCTTTAAAACAAACAAGCAATAATAGCTAAGGATGCCTCTGTCACTGGAAAGACAGAAACATTAGTTATACTGAAAGACGATAAAACTAGGTCTGGTGTTACTTCCTCCGGTTCCAGAAAAAAACCCAATCATGCCAAAGACACACACACTTCTCAGAGAAGACCGTAGCTTCGGCATGGCTACATAAGGTTATATGGCAGGACATAAACTCTCACTCAAGAGGGCAGCTTTTGATCTACCACACTGACCTTGATGTGGGAAGCAAAACCCGGATAAAATCACTACACTCTTGCTCTTCATTCCTGGTATAATATTAAACTCTTATGGTCTAAGCTTAGAAATGAAATGAAGGTAGCAGACGGAGTGTCTCTTCTGAGTGTTCTTAACCTCTCCACAGGTTTATCCTAGCTGCGGAAGTCAGTTCCAAACCTCAGTGAAATGATTCAGCACCACCGAGCAATCAGTACTGTCCCCCGAGTGTTTAACAGCAACACCACTAAGTGTGGGGGTCTTTGTCAATGCCATACAAGGTCACTAGGTGACTTTAATAATGAAAGCTTCATTAACCATCTCTTCACAGAAAACTCTTGGGTTGGGCACACCTGAGCTTCTGAGACACATGGCCAAAGGGACACAGTTACTAAGCAAAACACAATGCAGCATGTTACCATGGTCAAATGCAAGATGGAGAGAACTGGACTCATGAGGCAGCCAATGCTCTAAGCATGCAGTAGGAGTGTGTGCCAGCAGCAGATCCCAGTCCCACAGCCAGGCATGCTGAACATACAGAGCAGAGGACATAGTGGGGCTCATTCATGTCTATTCACCAGTCACAAAAGAGCCAAAGCAAGGCTAGGGAAGCCAGGATGACAGACACTGTTTGGAGAACTAAATTGGCCTGCAGAGGGAAATGCCAAAGGAAGGCAAATATTGCTTTAGGTCAAGCAGCAGTTGGCGGCGACCAAAACAGACCTCTAACCCAGATTTCCTTTTTGCAGTATCATCTATATTGAGGAGGTCCCCAAAGCGCTCATTAGTGATAAATTGATGATGTGTCGGGATGACACCAGTGTGACGTCGAGCTGCAATATCGGCCTCTTCTTGCTCTCGCTTAAGTCGTCTCTGGTCCGCTAAAAGTTTCTGCCATGAAATTGCATAAAATGGGCAGTGAATTATCTGGTCCAGCTTACTGGGTAATGGTCATATAAGCAACTAAGGAGGAGAAGACATTAAGGGTCAGTGTGAAAGGGACTTACAGCCACAACTCCTCTGTTCCCATGGTAATTATCCACTATATATTTTGTAGGAAGAACAGAGTACTGCCCAGAAGAAACTGGGGGCATTGGGATATTGGGACACATAATTCTATATGACCTGTCTGTCTGGGTGACAATCCTAGGCTCAGTCCAAAGCCTGAGCTTTCTGGCAACAAAGGCCAGGTGACCCAAGGGTACACAGTTTAGGCACTATAGTCATGTTTGGAATAACTGGCATCTCTATCTGCCTTAGGCAACGAATGATACAGTCATTCAGTATTGCCAAGATAGGATCGGGGTGTGCTGTTTCCCCACCCCGACTATGCGGGGCCTCTCAGACTGTGGGTCCTGACTAGTCAGCGATTAGGTCACTTTTTTTTCTTCTTCTTCTTTTTTCCTTTTCCATGTCCTCCACATAACTAAGCTGCCCCTTTCGGAGAACGTGGCACCTGTTCTCCTAGGACAACCGACTCTCTCCCCTGGGCATACATTTCAGGAGGCCTCAGGATATACAGCAAAGTCTCTTCATGTGACTGACAGAGGGTCTTGATACTGTCTCACTGACTTGTTTCTACATTAGGTGAAATGGAGCTGAGTTTTAGGGAATGGTGTAGATATAATAGAAAAAACAATGGCATCTGGAATTGGAAGAAACAGATACCCCTTATTAAGAAAATTAAAAGGTTGTGAGGTAAAGTTGGGGGAGGGGTATAGGATGAGTTAGAGGGAGCAGGAGAGGGATTTGATTCAAACATGTATATTTGCATGACATTCTCAAACAATAAGTAAGAAATATATTTTAAAAAGAAAATAACCATCTATTTCTCTTCAAGACTCTTTCAAGTAATCCAATGTTGCTTTTCACCAAATACCATTCATGGCTTATTCTAATGGCTCAATAAAAAAGAATTTTAATGCCTTTCCTCATACCACTGCAATTTTCATTCCTGGGATTAATATTCCTTGTGGGAAAGTATTTATTAGAACTGGTAATTCTTAACACGCTCAGTTAAATGTAAGACTTCTTCCAGCAGACAGTTAAATGACTCATGTGACATTCAGCTCCAAAGTATAATGGCCCAGTTTTCCTCTGGGGTCTACAAAAAGCCCAACTCAACAAATAGCTATGGGTCTTCCAACACTCAGAAGCCTGCAATAAAGGGTAAACAAGACGAGAGAGTGCTTTGCAAAGCACGGTGTCACAGAATAGGTGACACAGGAAGGTGGGGCTTTAGTTTCTGGCTAAGCACAGTGGGGAGGTGTCCCTGTTCAAGCCAATACCCTTGTTGAATAAAACAAGAAGGTTGGCTTGGTGACCACTGAAGGCCCTCCAAGAACAGATTCTCCTTTTCTGAAAGGCCATTATCACCAGTGTCAACAGGAATGGATTTGCATAAAAGGGTGCAGATTAACATTCTCCTGGACTGTTTCTATAGCAGTGAAATGGACATCCTTGAGGCCCTGCTCAAAAGCACTGGTGCTCTGGCTGACGGTTCATTATCTGTGGGGCAGATACTGAATGGAAAAGGCCAAAACCGTACTTAAATTTGACTCAGCAAATCCACCAGATCTGTGGTTTAACCACATAGCCCATTTCCACAAGGAAACACAAACCACTTCACGATCTGTGCACCAGCATCACCAAGGACGCAAGCTTCGCACGCTGAGGCTGACTATGCAGCTTTCAATGAATTTGCTGTTAAACCAAATTAGTAAAACATGCCTCTTAATGAGACTCACACACCAAACCTTTCATATGGAATACTAGGGCTTTATTACTAAAGTGGAGTTTTACCTTTCCTCTCCTGGCATGAGAACTTTGTCTCTCTGACACAACAAGTACAGAAAAGTCTGGAAAGGAATCTTCTCTGAGTCCTGACACACTCATCATTTGTGAGTTTTGGATTTGGTGATTTAAACAATTCTGGGCATCAAAACACCTCCCTGGCTTCTGACAGACAGATGTGCTGTCTACAGGAGAGACATGTTTGCTTTCTACCGTCCAACAGTAATGATTATAATCAGAGTCTTCAAAGTCAGCCTTGTCTTAAATCCTTAAGGAAACTCCACCTAAACTCTGGGACCACTAGAGCCAGACGAACATAGGAAAAGGGGATGGTGACAGTTGTGATATTCTAACCTCCTCCCCCACTGCCAGTAGTTCAAAGTATCTGTGCATCTCTCAACAGATGTCAGGAAAGTGGACACTGAACTTATCTAATCTATGGGACTCCCCTTCCCTTGGAATGTGCAGCCAGAACCTGCATACTGGAATGCTTTATCACAGCAAAAGTGACAATTCTGCCCACCCAGTTGATATACAGGACAGCTTTTTCCTATGGTCCCAGGACTGGCTCCATTCCAGCCCTGAACACCATCCCACACAGAGACATTTCAGTAGCTCCAAGAAAAAGTCCAGACTCTAAAGTTCTTGTGCGGAGTTTGCCAGCACTGATGTGGCATCTCCCTTCTGAATTAAAGTTGTCAGAATTACAAGCAACTTCTTCAAATTGCGTAGGGAATGTAGCGTGGCCAGTACTCTTGTTCCCCTATTTCTCCTTATGTTTTTCTCTAATTTTCAGTATGCTTTGTGCCAATTATGAGCGCCTGAGAACAAGGTGGGGGGATATATTGTTGGGAGGAAGGATGAAAACATAAACTCTCATTTCCAAGCTTCCTGGGCAAAGTACAATATAGGCCGTGTCACCTCCCTGCAATAGGCTGGAGGGAGGTGGCATTTATAACCCAGTGACCGGAGAGAAATCAGTCAGCCCTGCTTTCTGGGAAAGTAGACCACAGAAGAGCCAATGGAGCCCATATCTTTAAAAACCTTGTCCATGAAAAGCTATCATCGCTGGTCACTGCACCATATCACCCTTCTGATAGGTTTCTAGAAAGTTCAGGTCCTTCCTTTTTTTTTTTTTTTTTCCCCTGAAGAAGAGTAATAAGGTTAAAACAGGAGCATTAATTACCTCTTTATCATCATGCCGTCTCCGGATAAATTCTTCTGCGGACTCCAAGTAATCAGCTGGTATAAAATGTCTTGGTGACTCGGAATCTTCAAAACAACACAGCAGAGTTAAAATGGGCCACAGTTTAGTCGGCAGCCAGGTTTTTTTTTTTTCTATTATTAAGGTCGAGTTTGTAAACATTGCTGAGTAATGCTCAATAACAAATTCTGAAAGAAAAACCCCAAGCCCCCACCCCAACTGCTCTTTGGATTTAATACAAAGACGACTCACCAGAAGGCCAAAGGTGAGCAAGGAAAGGGACATTCTTTTAAGCATCCCTACAAAGAGGCGTGCAGGCTCTAACAGGGACAGACCATATACACTCACACACACGGGGCCACGGAGAGAGAGGCTGCCTCTCAAAAAACCACAGGGAGGCTGGGATTGGTGCGATCAGGGGTTTGAGAGTTCAAGTGAACCCAGTTCTTGGATATGAGCTAAACGGCCAATTTTTCTTTCGAAACAGTTTGGTGGTTAGTCTAAATGAAGTGGGAGTTTTGTTTTTTAAAGAAGTGCAGCCACTACAAGCCATGGTTAATTGCCAAGCAAAACAAATAGGAGCAAAAGACGAGGCAGAAGATGAGCACCAAGGGCACACAGAGGGAGGGACAGAGCAAGCCAAGTGGAGACAGGGGAGGTGAGACTGGTCAAACACACAAAATGCCACCTCCACGGGCCGCTGCCAGTTCACTTTGTGGGTTGTTGTTCCTGTCCATGCCATGGTCTGAGTAGGGCACGGGGTTTCCGTTATTAATGGCCCCTGTGCAATCCTCCAGGCCTGCGGATCTGTCCAGAGAGGGCTCTGAGTTGTGGCTAAGCCTTGCCATGGTGTGTCGGGAAGACAGGCGTGTGGGGACCATGGGTTTCGCAGCAGAGTGGGGCTGGTCCAGAGGGCCCTGGCTGGGGACATCTGCCTTTTGGCCGGCAGGGGGCCCTGAGGAGTCATTGGGGGGAGGCTGTCTAGGGTGGTGTTGGAGGGGTGTTTTCAACCGAAAAGGGAGGGGGCTCATCAGGTAGATGTTTCTGAGGAGACTGTTCCTGTCCCCCTTGGAATCCGAGCGCCAGTCTGGCTGCCTGGAGCACCGCTGCTGCTCATGCTTCCGGATAGTGGTGAAGCGGGTGTACGAGGCTGGGCAGGTGCCCTTGCACTTGTTGAGGCGATGTTTGGGGAAGTCTCCATGAACACTGCCCCCGCTGCCCTCCCTGCTGTCATTGGAGACATTTGAACAGCGGTCTAGCTCATCGGAACACAGAGAAAGGGGCTCAGAAGGCACCAGGCTCCGGAAGCTCAAGGCATGGTCCGCCATATTGCTACAAGTGGGGGATGCATAGACACCTCCAGAGTTCATCCCGTCCATCTCTCTGGGACGGAGCTTGGTGGACTCAAGGAGGGACTCGGCTGAACGAGCTGAAATCAGGCCGCTCCTAGACAGCACAGGTGTGGGGGATTTGCTCAGCTGGCCAGAGAAGTCCAGGGATGGCATGGAGCGGGACCGCTGAATGAGCTGCTCAAAGGCAGTGATGCGGGAGGACACTGTGTGCTTGGGGATGTGCTCTGAGCCCTCTTGGCTAGCGCCCAGCTCACCCCTGGCTAATGCCAGGCTGCTCCTTTCAAAGTGGGAGGCAAGATCCCGCACACTTGAAGAGGAGATGGATCCTAAGGAGAGGCCAGCTCGGTTGATCTGGTGCATGTCCCGATAGAACATGGAGAAGTGCAGTCCGGCCTTCCTGGAAAGAGGGCAGGGCCTCCTGGCGCTGGTGCCATACTCCTGTAGGCTCATGGTGCTACTGGACCTGCTGTCGTAATCCCTCCGGGAGCGCATGAGCAGGTTCTCGATGCTTCCCCCAACCCGAAGTGGGAGGCCTCTTTTGGAATCATTCAAAGAAACACAAAGGTTCTCACAGCTCTGAGCCTTCTCTGAGGGCAACAGGACACTCTTCTGTTCCTGCAAAAGAGCGCTGGGAGCAGAGAGCCTGGGTTTGAATTTAGAAGGAAGGATCTCCGAAATGCAGGCTTTCGCAGCCGACAGGGGTTTCTTGTGCTTACACCCAGGGCCTAAAGCATTGCTAGTGTGAAACGTTCGGCTATGGACTGATGATGAAGAAATCATGTGAGCATTCCCGCCTTTACGATCCACTGGTAAGCATGCAGAATAAAATAAACACACCCATTAGGTTAAAGCTGAAAGCTGCCTTTAAGAAGGGGGAAAAAAAAAAAAGGAGGAGAGGTAGCATGCTCATTTGTCATAAGGGCTTTCAAAAGTCTCCAATTGATGTCCAGAAGCAAAATAATTTGTGCTGCAAAGCAGGTGCAAAGATGCAACGAAAGAGATGGCCACCCTGCCGGTTAGGAAAGGCTGAAGCTCGGCTAACTCTAGGAAAAGGGTATTAGAACAACAGAGAGAGAGAGAGAGATGTTTCAGGGAGAGCAAGGGTGGGGGTGGGGACCATTAATACCAGAAAGAAAAATGGCCGGCAAGAAAATACATGAGGGGGCACAAGAAGGCTCCAGGGCCCAGACATGGACCTGAATAGGCAGAGCTGTCCCTGTTGCTGGAGGTCCACCCGCTGCCAACACTCAGGTCACAGGCATGTAGGAGACAGACAGACGCCTGTGGTCTTCAGCCTGTTGGTTACCTTTAGTGGAGGCTGAGCTGGAGGGTCGCTTAAGCCCACTCAGGCCCTGGAGAGGGATGTCGCCACCTTCCAAGACACTTTTATAAATCTGCCTTTCGTTCTCCAAGCTAGTGAGGACCCCGGGGGTCCCATCCGGTTCTCTCTTCACTGCATGGAAGTTGGAAGAATATATACTACGAACAGGTAATTTAAAAAAGAGAAAAGGGGAGGGAGGAAAAACATACAAAGTTAGCTTGTTCAATATTCTTCCAAAAGGTCTGTCTGTCACCAGCTGAGAAGAAAATTGATTTCTGGTCTCTGCTGAAGCTCTGAGCTTTCTTGGGGCTTGTTCATTTAGACAGAGATCTCTGCAGATTGGCAGGCCACCGTGCTCTGGGTGCGCAGGGACACTACCTAAGCAATCAAACTTCCAAGTTGTAGTGGCTCCATCCATTTGTGCTCTACAGAATAAACAAGGGCCTGTGATCCCAGCACCTGGGAGGCTGGGGCTGGAGTTTTAAGTCTGAGGCCAGTGTGAGCTACACGGTGGATCCTATCTTTAAAAAAAGAAAAAGGGTAGGTAGGGTAGCAAGGAGCTGAGTGATTAAAAACACAGCATCACAACCAGGGACATGAGCAGAAGATACTGAGTACTGAGGTGTGCACAGAAAGTTCAGGTCTTCCTGTCTACCACCGATGGGATTTTTCATGTTACATAAACCCAACCCTTCATTCTGTGCAAAGATTCAGCCTCTGAGTCCCCATAATTACAGATAACAATGGCCAAAAAGTATGATGTGGAAGGTGCATACACACACACACACACACACACACACAAATGCATGCACACAAGCACACCTCTTCTCTCAGTTTTCAGATAAGGAAATGCAGCACTGGAAGATTAGGTAGCCTGTCAAAGCATTCAGGTCCAGCAGATTGCAGAGCCAGAACCCCAGTCACACCATTGGATGCCACACAGCTTGTATTCTCTGATGGTGTCTTAGAATACTTCCCTCTGGACAACGAGGCAGTGGATCGCGCACTGCAGGGGTCAAGGGTCTCATCATCATCACCACCAAGTATCATCTGCCCAGAGCCACCCCAGGAACAAGTGGTATCAGAACCCAGGAGTCAAGGAAACGAGTCCCTGAGATGCAGTAGTGGCTGCATCTTACCGTCCCTAAGGGCCCCCAGCGCAGCAACAGTCCTGGCTGATGCTTCTAACTAGGTCTCATGCTCACCACAGGCTAAGGGTTTTACAACTATTTCAGGGGACCTGCCTGAGGCTCCAGGTCCTTCCTATTCTCTATGGCCTGGATAAAGGGATTGTTCCTTGTTATCTGAAATAGGAAAAACAAACAAACAAACACTGGAACCCAAAAGACAAGAAAACCAAGTCTTAAGGTTAAAAACCATGTAAATGAAGCAAGCACCAAGCAGCCTCTGGGTTCATCTCTCACTTGGAGAAAACTCAGAGAGATTCAGGCTGGACTGACCTTTTCCCCATTCTTTGACTTGACTTCCAAGAGCTGTCTGAACTATACTGCCCTTGAGGATACCCAGTGAATGTTCTGAATGAATAAAAGCTTACACTTTCTAAATGTAAAAGTTGGCATACTTTGGGTTGAGTGATGCATGATATGTCTTGGTATGTAAAACCATTAATTTAGAAATTCTTCCTAAAAAAAAAAAAAAAGAAAGAAAAAGTGACTTAGAGATCCTCACATTGGTGACCAGGAACCATAATTACAGTGGAAGGGGCTTCAGTGTAAGTAATCAGGGTGACCCAGGTGGCTATCATCACAGGGACCCCACAAACCAGGTACTATTCATACTGCAGAGAAAAGGGTTTGGCTTTCCCATGCTCGGGGTCAGGCTTGGAGACACTAGCTCCTGTCTATGTAGCTTTGGGTCCACAGGTTTCACTACAAAATTCTCCACCCTCCCATCCCCTCTGGAGAAAAACTCATGGGCTGTTAAAAAGGGGGACCCAAAGGGTGGTTCTATAGATACCACCTCAAAACTGTAGACGTTCATCTAAACTGGCTTTTAAACTTGTTTGGGTTTCTTAATTAAAAGTCAGCATAATACCATATTGTGTTCCTTTTATACAAATCTCAATGGCAGAACTATCCACATACAGCTTTGACTCCGACCTCCAGCTAAGGGAACCGAGGACTTTGTCGTGAGGGCGGCATTAGAAAGTAACTTGGACCACCTGTATGTTCTGAATCACCTCAGCCTCAGGCAGACCTCCAACCCACCTTTACTTTCTCACAGCTGCCTGGCCTGACCTAGGACCTCTACCTCAGCAGCCCTCAGTACTCCCCCACCCGGCCTGTCTGTTCTGTGTCCCACCCATTTCTTCCTGCTTCCCACAGAATGATAGTCTCGCACTCAGGAAACCTCTGGGAATGCAGTTGCTACAGCCAAATGTTTTCTTTCTGATACCAAAGCTAACAAAAGAATGTTTTCCCCAGATGCCCAAGGTACAGCCAAGGTAGCTTATTTAGAGAGTCCCAGCACGTGTTTTTGAAGACGCCATCGCCAACAGCTTCCCTAACGTTGGGTCATTTGTTCCACGGCATTTGCTTATGGTCACATATCTAAAATGATCAGGCTTGAGACATCACACTGGCTCATTGTCTGAATGAAAGAGCTACAACAGCCAGAATTAGCAGCTATGGACACCAAACAAAACCGGTGCAGTTCGGAAGCTCAGCTCTGAAATGCCAGTGCTGAGTCAGATTCCGGTTCAGAGTGGGCGAGCCGGGAGGCAGGGCAGAAAAGTGAGCCTCTGGCTGAGATACAGAGCTGGCCATGGGGTTTCAGGAGGTTTCAACAAAAACACACGCACTGGAAGAGTAACGTGAGAGAGAAAGCTCACTCCGAGTCAGCCATTTTCACGCGCACTAACAGAGTGGTCTGGAGGCAGTGGACAGGGTTTTGAAAAGCTGGATTCCAAAAAGGAACGCACCCGCCGAGACAAGCTTATATGTAAGTTGTTTAAAAGCTTGCAAACAAGATGGTTTTCTTGGCTTTGGTTTCTTTCATTTGTAAAACTAAAGCTGTTTGTGCGACTGTCTGGAAAAATCCACCATGGAACCAGTACACCTTTCTTAGACTCCAAGCTGACTGCCAGGCACATCACCTGGATGTTCTTGAGACATCTCCAACCCAACACATCCCCACCCACACCTGGTTTGTCCAGCCCCCTGCCCTTACTCAAGCAGAAAGCCTAAGGCATCAGACCATTCTCCTTCCTTCCTAGCCTGGCAGCTGCCGCACTAGTCCACATTACCCCCTAGCTCTCTCTACTCTGAGAAAGCTGTCCTTTCGCCATCACTATCTACGGTCCTGCTACACGGAACCCGCCCAGGCTCCAGCCCCAACCCCCTGCAGTCACTGCTGGTATTTATGTCTAGGAGTGATACATGGCAATTCAATGTGTGCTAATTGACTAACCAAGTACTTATCGAGCGCTCTCCATGTGTCAGTCACTCTCACAGGTAGAGTTCAGTGAGGAACATAACCGACCAACGTTTCTAGCCCAGGAGGGATGCTTGGCAGTTAAGAGCACACCCTGCCCTGGCAGACCTGAGTTCAGCTTCCAGATGTCAGGAAGCTCACAACTGCCTATAACTCTAGCTCCAGGGAATCTGTCACCCTCTTCTCACCTTCAAGGACACTGGACTCTTGTGAACTCACAAAGACACACACAATTTAAAAGAAAACAAACCTTAAATCTTTCCTGTTCAAAACCATTTGACAACATCAGGAAGAAAAACAGGCAACTGCCATTGATGTAGTTTTGTGGGAGTCTATACAGTTCTCCAAAGTTCCACTTTATAGAACTTTGGAGTAGATAAAAAAATGTATTTCTTTAAAAATGTTATAATAATGCTCCTGTCCCGTCCCCCCCCCCCCGGCTCTACAAAGCCTTCCTTGGTCGTTCACCCTCCACGCAGTAAGAGGTGCCCACTCCTTCCTGGACCCCACAGCCTTACATTTGCCCTCATTGGGTTCAAGTTCCTGCTAACAAATCTGTTTCAGATCACAGTGAGCCCTGGCAGATCGGTAACTGCAATAATCGTCCTAAACCTGGGGCCTAGTAAGATAGAATAGAGGACTCCAAATGCAAATTCCTACACACATAACCTTATAGTGTATTTCTAGGGGCTGGGGAATCTCCAATGTTTTATATAGTTCTTCAGGGTGTGTTTTGTTCCCAGATTAAGGAAGAGGCTCTCTGCGTTTCCGAAAGAGAAGCTTTTCCTTGAGTGCCACCTGGTGGCTATATAAAGTAAAGCTCTATTGGTTAAGCAAAGACCATTCTAATGAAAGGATAAGCAATGGTTAGGTGAAAATTACAACCTTAACGATCTGTTAACACTTGGAGAATTAAGAAAAAGATAAAACCAGGCATGCACTATGACAGTAACTATAAAAAATGCATTTGAAGGACAGAACTGGTCACTGTATTAGGATACTGGGACTATGATTGACTATATTCCCACCCTCCTCAGGCCCCCAGTCCTGTGGCTGCCATCATCCGCATCCTCATCCTCATTTGCTTGTTTCTCTGTCTTTTGAGTCAATGTTTCCCATCCCCCAGGCAGGCCTCGAGCTTTCAATCATCTGGCATGTTACAACACCCAGCTCTGTTAAAATTCTCAATGCTCATGAACAAACTTCTATATTTCAATCTACCCAAGAAAGTGGCTTTAAAACTAATTCTGTGGATTCCACAAAGCTGGAAATGTCTCCCCATTCCTTGACAATGTTTCCCTCAACGTGTCACCCCAGGGCCTCCATCATGGTGCTCCATGCAGTTTGCAAACTGCCTGCCTCTGTGCTTGGAAAGCTGGAGTCCTGCTAATTGTGACTTAGGGGCCTATTCACTGCACACTTCCCTTTATGTCAGTTCTTATCATGTGATCCAGTTTGTCCTACCAAGTATTTCAGATGAGATGTCCACCCCCCCCCACCACCAAAATAAAACTGAAGTCTTGGGAGACTTATTCAATAATATAAGTAAGACTGGAAGCCTGCTGTGGAGGTACACACCACTAACCCCAGCACTCAGGAACCAGAGGCAGGCAGATCTCTGATGGGATGTCATTCTGTATATGTTTCTCATACTGGTTAATGAATAAAGCACTGTTGGCCAATAGGAAAGGAAGATAGGAGGGACTAGGAGACAAGGAGGAAAGAGGAAGAGTAAGGAGGAGTCAAGATGGAGAGACTGGGGAGACGAGATGCCTGCCGTATTCCCCAGTAAGATGAGACCACGTGGAAATACACATATCAACAGAAATGGGTTAATACTAGACAGAGCTAGCCGATAAGAAACTAGTACCTGGCCAACAGCATTATATCTAATACAGAGTCTTTGTGTGTTAATTGGGGCTGTCGCAGCGGTGGGACAGACCAGCGGTGGGCGGAAAAACCATACTCCTTACAGATCTCTGTGACTTTGAGGCCAGCCTGGTCTACATAGAGTTCCAGGACAGTCAGGACTATATAGTGAGACCCCATCAAAAGAAAAACGGAGAGGGAGGGAGGGGGATTATCTGGGAAAACATCACATCAAATATCATCATAAAGGCTCAGAGTGCTGGGGGCTCTGCTAAGCACCTTACATTCATCACCTTCAATCCTGCTAGGCCAGTATTGCAAGGAGATGCTTACACTGCATTTAAAAGTTCAAAGTTAGCAAGCTTTATTAAGCCTTCAGCTACATTATTACCAAGTTTGAATCAGTATAGTTTAGGTGAGGTTCTACTACTAACACCAACAGGTGGGCCAGAGCATCACTGCTCGTACTCTGGGTAGAGAACTCACCAGCAGCTACGAAGAAACTGTAGGCAGAACACTGCCCTAGTGTGCCCATATCCAATGCACCAATACACTGGAGACTAATGACTACACCTGCTCCCTCCTGGGCCGCTCAGAGGGATAAGCGTGCAGACAGGACCTGGTGTACACTAAGTGCTCAATAAACAAGTATGTTGAGGCCTGTGTTCTGATCACGGAAGTGATTTCTACTTTTAACCCTCACACACTTCATGCCTCTGCCACTTTGTCTTTTCATTTACTATACTCATTTTGTGGGGGACATCAAGGGGCCATACCAAAATTCCTATTGTGATAAGGAGCACAGCGCTAACAGAACTAAGGAATTTACTAAGCTGGGGCACGCGGTGAAGCAGGCTTCTGTGCCCAGCGTAGTTCAGGGAGATGAGAGGCAGAGGGAAGGCCAGGCAGCAGTGGTTAACTCCAGGCAACCCTGAAGCAAGGGGGCAGAGAGCTCAGGTTAAAACGCCCAGTGCAACCAAAACCTATCTTATCTCAATTTTATCAGGTACCCGGCAGCCTGGAGATGGAAGGCCTCCCCCTTAGGGAGATTATAATTAGCAATTAGGAAAGTATACACAAACAATTCAGATAGTTGGCAGAGAGGCTAAGGCCAGAAACACTAACATGAGCCTGGCCATAAGAAAGTTCAGTTAGTACTTGCTTTTCCAGCTTACACGTTTGCTATCTACTATGGATCTACTGGGGCAAGGTAAGAAGGGGAGCCCTGAAAATATTCAGCTGGGGTAACAACTGCATGGAAAAGCCCCGGGAAAGGCATGCTGGGAGAGGATTAGAGGGAGGACTGTTAAGTAAAGAATGGGATCTGCCTCTAGCTGGAGACATGCCCTTGTCTCCTCCCATAAAGATTAATCGACTGGGGCAGGTGGGGGCTTGGGTATGGGGTCATCTCTAGTAAGGCAGTTTTACCTTATGATAACGTACTTTCCTTTCCAGAATTCCCACCTCCAATGTTCTCCTTGTGGATCTAGCCACCACAAGGTTCAGCTGGACCTGCAAGCCTTTCTGAAGCCTGACAGAGAAAGGTGTAACTATTTTTGTTTTTTCTTCTCTTTTGTCTTTTTCTGTCAGCTGCTGGCCAGAACTTAAGTCTGCGTTTAAACTCCCTCACACTTTGGGTGTCCTTCCTTTTTCAAAAGCTCCTCTGCTGACCACGTGGCTGCCTGCTGCCAGGTGGCTGACCTGTAAGGGCCTATCTCAAGCAGCATGGCTTTTGTCTCTTCTTGGTCCTTCTTCCTTCCAGGCAGCTAGGGATTGATGCTCTGGGGTTCTCTTTTTAAATTCTAATGAGCTGTCCTCAGACTTCTGTCTGGGGTCAGGACAGTGGCTCACTCTCTTGCTTCCGGTGGGGTCACAGAGGACAGCCTGGGTGGATCCTTCCTTGAAGAGGGAACTTGTGGAGGTCACCTGTTTCTCATGTAAGTGCATTCTCCCAGAATGCACCTCACTTAACCTGTACTGAGTCTAGTGAATCGTGATTCCATGCATCCATAGTACCCTAATCTCTCAGGTATATGGTAGCCTTCTGGAACGTCCCAAGATTTCCATTTCTTTCCTGCCTTTCAATTAGTTGTCAGAGAAAAGCCCATTCCTTTACCCTTAAATATCAGTTACTCCATGAAGAAGATATGTGCATTGTGCAGTCAAAATCTTAATTGTCAGAAGGGGAAAAATCCATATCCATATGAAAATGTAGGCCCTGACCTAAGGCCCTAATCTCACTGCCTGCCCCTCTGTCTTTATTCCAGGTCTGGTACATCCTAGCTATACTCCCTCCCCTCAAGGACACACTGAGGACAATTTCGATTCAAATGTAGACGAATAGGCCAATAAGAAGACTAAGCAGATAGAAAGAGGCACCTACTGTTTAAGCCTGATGACTGACCCAGTTAGATTCCCAGAGCTCACAGTGAAGAGAACTGACTCCCAAAGCTTGTCCTCTAACCTCCGCAGCCACACCCCACGTTTAAACACACAAACACACACGCACTCTCTGACACACTCGTGCATGCAAAAGAAATAAAATAAATGTAGACAAATAACTTCACATTCCAAAGGTAAAGACACCAACCTGGAGAAAAGCTAATGGAAGGTTACATGAATCGTTGTAACGTTCAACTACTGGAAGACAAAGCCCAAAGCCTGGGACAGCCCACTGCCCTGAGCCCTCCTGGGCACCAAAGCCCTTGCCACCCACCACCAGACACCAGGCCGACCCAGATGAAGACACTGGGCCTTTCTCACCTTAGTCTAGCCTGTGATACACTGGCCCCTGAAAACACCGAGTGGCTACTTACTATCCAGGAGGCTCTGATGTAAAATCCGGGGTTGGGCTGATCGCTGAGCTCTGGAAAAGAGAAAAGGGATAAAAGGAATAGTGATTGGTGTGGATTACAGGTTGCAGAGCAAGGGAAAGGAGACAAGCCACATCAGTATGGTCATGTAGACAACGCCCCTGGGGTACAAGAAGCTTGGACACAAAGACTTTGGGGGGTGCCAGGCTCTCATCTTTTGCCTCACAGGAGATGAAGCCTCAACACAGGTGGGACCTGATGGAGGTGGAGTTCAGCCCACATTTATCCTCAGCAGCAACCCCAGGGAGCAGAAGCCCCTTCACCTGTGCCTCCCCACCCCTCAGAGACCCTTCAAGCCCACTGTAGATCCCTCCATGCACCCCAAATGACACATTCAGGAGGGCCACACAACACTCTAGGTAGAAAGTGCCTTTTAAAGATGCATTTTAAGATGATCACACCACGTTTACACAATCCATTTATGCCTGTAGATGAGCAGTATGAGAATGAGACACAATTTCACAAAATCTAGTAACACCGCTGTCAGGGCAGGTTGGGAGATGCTTCGTAAGATTACAGGCCACTAATGAAAGGAAGAAGTCAGTCAAGAGCCACTAAAAAGCGAAAGCAACATAATTCTGGAACTTAGCGGTATTAGAGAAAAAAACACCGCCAAGGGCTCAACATATTTGTGTTAAGTAAATCAACGTAGAAGTTAACTTTTACAGATATTCCTATTTAATAATGACTACCATCTCTCCCAATAGCCATTTTAAGGAAAACAAACTACCTGGAGAAGAGGCACTTAAGGAAAAGGGCACTGAAAATGGAGGGAGAGACTGTGGATTAGGGAAGAGAAGACGACAGGGAGGAGGGGTGACTTCACTGGTGGCTCCTCACTTAGCCTTCAGCTCCAACCTGTCAGTCTGGGTCCTTTTCCCTAGGGTGACAGGCACTGGTGTCCCAGGGTGACAGGCACTGGTGTCCCAGGGTGACATTTGCCTCCCCCCCCCCCAGCCATGGCCTCTCGAGGCTCTACTTATCCCCAGCCCCACCCCATCATCCTCTGTCCCTTCTGCTACATTGGCGCCACCTGTCCACCCCAGCCATGAGGTGCCTACCTCTTGGCACTTGCCCCATTCCGGGATTTTGAAGACCTTGCCAGAACTCCATAGTGAAAAACTTTGACCTGGCCGTGTTAAGTCCTTCTGGGTCACCACTACCCCTTCCTGTCTCCTTCCCTCCATGCGTGTGTCTCTAACCCACATGTCCTCAATAATGCTACACCCAGCAGGACAGATTCCTTTTCATAAGCTAACACCAAGAAACCAGAGTCTATATAAATTTCCACAACCCATTCGCTGGACCTGTCCTTGGAGTTTATCTTTTTAAAATTGTTTATTGGTTTATTACTGTGTCGGGGACGGTACCTGTGCATTGGCGCCCATGCGCAGAGAATAACTTTGTCAGTCCCCTCCTTCCACCTAACTTTATCCAGTTCCAGGGATGGGACCCAGGTAGTCAGGCTTGGACAGCAAGCACCTTCACTCACTGAGTCATCTTCCTACCCCAAATCCCTTTCTTTGATCTCTCTCTGGAGCTAGCTGGGGAGTTCTATTTCTCCTCATGCTCCACATCATGCCTCCCTCCATCTCTCTGAGCATCCTTCCTGTGCCTCACCTTGTCTTGTTAACACCATCTAACATCCGAATGGGTACTGTTGCTCCCTACATCTCAATTTTTTATTTGATGACAGGTGGATGGATTCATTGACTCCCAAGACCCCCACAATCATCTCCCCTGCAGGCAACTCTGATGGGTTTTTAAGCCCTTGACCGCTTCCTACGATCTTAAGTCCAACCAACGCCTTAATCACTCGGCCATCCCAGTTCCCGCTTCCTAAAATCTAGTCTTACTGTTCCTACTGTCTTCTAGATATCCCTACCTGGTCTCCGGCAAGCAACCTCAGAGCCAAATAACTGAAACCAACTCCATGACTTTATCTCTGCATTGATTCTTTCTAGCTTCCTCAACATACTGATATCCATACTCTTCTAGCTGTTTGATCCAAACCCTAAAGTTATCCATCTCCTTCCCTTTCCCCAGCTAATCATTCCTCATGCCAACTACGTAAACTAACCCAATAAGACTCCCTTAGCAGCCTCTCCATCTGTCCTTCCTCCCCATCCTGTTGGTGCCTCCAGAGTGGACTCCCACCATGGTCTGCTTGAACTACTGCAGCGGCCTCCTTACCCTCTGACAGTCCTGCCTTCTGCCTCCAATGCAGCTTCTCTAAGGGAATGGTGCTCTCTCACTCAAAAATACCCAAGGTCTCCTTAGTCACACTCCTGAGTCTACAGTCATTCCCAAACCCGCCCATTCCCTCATTCCCAGCTTTTGAACGTTTATTCTATGTTTCCCTAGTTCCTCAAAATGGGCATCATCCCCAATAAGTGTGGTCTCAACTGTCATGTCCTGAAGGCAGGCAGTCTCTTTTGTGTGTGTATGTCTCACATGCGGTCAAGACTAAGAGCACCAGTCCAGTAACGACGGAAAATGGTTTGTGGATGCATCGGACACTTCCTTGTACCACGGTGTCCCTGGCAGGGTTTGGGCCCCTACAGAGGTAGCTGTCAGCTCTGCTGTGCCCCCATCTCTGCATGAGTCAGAGGTTCCCTTGTTACATCTGACTACTTTGAAAGCATCTCTTGATTCATTTTAGCCAGCCTACTACTACAGACCTCTCATGCAACATTACAGCCATTGTTACCAGGCCCTCCCCATAGCCAGAACTCAGTCCAGAACAGGCTGGGATGGATAGCTTCTTCCTTGAATCTTCAGTCCCACAGTAATTACACTAGGTCCCAGTATCCATGCTGTTAGAAACCCCACTCTACCTCTCTCCACCCTGACAACCTGTCTGCCTCAACTGAGTGTGTGACAACTTACCTCTTTGCCTCCTTTCAGTTCTGATGGAGGAGAAGGGCCTAACCCCTGCTGACTTCATCCACTGGTTCCTCTATGGACTCCAAGGAGACAGCCATGACTCCTTGGCTTCCCACCCTTTTATCCCAGACCCATAAGGAGGCTACCATAAAACAGTGGTTTCTCTGCCTCCTCCTGGGTTTGAGTCTGGAGCCACACACCTGACTTTTGTGCTCAACTTCCTTGCACAGTGGTCTGACCCTGTCTCAATAATGCTTACATACAGCCCAGATCCAACATCAACTGCACACTTTCTCTCAGTTTGTGGCCCTTCCTGGCCACTGCAGCAGTGTTCACATTACAGTTTTTACTTCTCCAAAGCCATTCTTTTCTCGTAAGAATCTCTTCAGGAAGCATTCAGCTTCTTCCTAGAAGTCTGCGTATCGTGGACTGGCTCTCTCCTCATCCCTTCCTACATTTTAACACCTGCATTTTAACACAGGCCCAGTTCCAAATGCGTGTTTCCAGGCTACTTGCTATCCGGAGTATGTTTTCTCCTGAGAACTTTCTGACCTCTACAATGACAAATACCATTTCTATTTCTGTTGCCTTGAGCCCAGCTACCGCTGCTGTGTCTCTCAAAGAGACCTCTGAGGCTGGCTTCTCCCAGGGCTACAAAGAAGATAAGAAAAACTGCGCCCCCCTCTCCGCCCCGCCCCAAATAGCACTCTTGAAACTCAAAGAAGGCAAAGGACAGAACTTTAAAAGGTCACCAGAGAAAAAGTACAGGGCATGGAGGGTAGGGGAGAATCCAAATTATCAGCTATCCTGTATGTATTGGAAAAACCCATTTAAGGAAGATACCAAGCTTGAAAGGACCGAGTGTGCATGTGTGCGTGTGCATGTGTGTCTGCACCAACACATGTGCATGCATATATGAGTGTGTGCACACATATGTGTATGTGTGCAAACAGGATTCAGAAAGCCATGCATCTTAAAGCTAGCAGCATCACCCTCTGTCATCTCTACAACAGAAAGCCAAAGGACAGAGAAGGAAACAAAGCAGGGCTTGAAAAGGAACAGACACGGAGAGGAAAAACTGGGAAATACCTGTGGCGAGTTTGCACTGGGTGACTTATTAACCGTCTCCACTTTCTCTAAATCTGCCTCTAACTCTGCTTGGCAGAAGTTGAGATCTTTTTCTAGATTAGTCTGGTTCAAGAAAGAAAAGATGAGAAAGAATGTTTTAGTTTAGAGAAAAGGAGAAGGAATGGAAGGTTAAGTTTGAAAATGAGTGTTTTTTTTTCTTTTTTCTTAGACTCATATTTTAATGAAGGACTGACTCAATCATAAGAGCTCACTAAAAATTAGTCTACAGACATGAAAACAGAGAGAGCAATAGTAGTCAGGTTCAATGAAACCCTGGGTGTCAGAACTTCAGACATCTATTCTACTTCTAATGAGAACTAAAATGCCACACAAACCTACCTGTGCGGACAGGCCTGCCTCCTCTGTGTCAGAGTATAGTGACTGTGACAAGAATTGTTTTTTTTTTTTTTTTAAACAAAACAAAACAAAGCAAAAAACCTCTAAACATTAGTATATGTCTCACAGAATTTGTTAAATATACTTTCATCACCAGGCCAAACAAGTTACTAAGTTAAAAAAAAAAAAAAGTAAGAAAAGAACACAAAGCCACAACACACTCACGGCACCCAAAGCTAGAGGTCTATCACACAGTCCGCGGAGGAGGCACGGGATTACCTTCCTATCCTCTCTAGGAAGGATAGAGCAGTCTCCAGGAGTATAGTCCCATATCTTTTTGGGAGGCTGACGGGGAAGCAGAGGAGGAAATGAAGAAATGAGCATAAAGACATAAAGACAAACATGGGGGGGGGCTTTCAAACAAAGAGGGGCACACTGGGAACCAGACCAACACAGAAAGGTGAACTCAAAGCAAAGGGCTGCCTGAGGATACAAAGCTGTCTGCACCCGGGGAGGGGGACCTGAAAGCACTAACTAGGAAATGTAGTTAATTAAGTCTCAAGACTAAATCAACCCCAGATCCTCAATATTGGGAATTTAAAATTAAAGGGGGGGGGGGGAGAAGCATCAATACAAATCTGAACAAATTTGAAACTCTAATTCCTTAATGATCTTTCCACACAAAGACTGACACTGGAGAGTTTACATTTTTGAAATAGTCTCGCCTACTGTTTAAAAAAAAAAATCACTGCATGTCAATAGATGTGTAAATCTACAGATCTGGCCGATGGAGGATGACTGGAATGAACCTAAGGTGACTCTGGTTTGTAGCAACAGCATCCAGAGTGGGAGTTCAAAGAGAGCATGTGACCATTTCATACCAGCAGCTTAACTGGCAAATAAGCAGAGTTCAGTAATTACACTATCTCTAGAGACACACCCCATCCTCCTTAGCAGATCAGAGTCGTGGTGCTTGCTCTTGGCCCCTTAATGGGGAATCAGAGAGATGGGAATCTGCCAGGAGAATGTGGTAGGGTTAACAAGAGTGTGTGTGGAGTGAAAGCTATGCAAGCTACCAGAGACTTCTAACTCTGAACTTCTCTCACAGAAGGGATTTTCTGACCGTGACTGTGTACCCTCCAGATCTCTCAAACTGTGACTTCTGGGAAATCAGAAACAGGAGATCATTAAGACCTCCTCAGATGTCACATAATTTTCATGTCAACTAACTCTACAGAAGCATTTGAAGGACTTAATATTTGAGAAACATCGTCTTGAGTTTGTGGCTAGAAATGGAATCAATTTCTGTAGAAACTGGAGGGGAAGGGAGACTAAAAGAAGGGCCCTCAATCCCTGAAACACCTCTCCAAAAGAAAGGCAAATGGACTCTGGCTGTGTTTTCTGACAGCTCCGTGCATGTGAGTTCTGTGATAAGGTCAGCTACTCTTAGCAATTAACACATTCTGGTTGTCTAGGAAGTGGAATTTTTTTCCATGTGTGATCCCTATTCCTTCCTTCCTTCCTTTGTCACAAAATTCCATAAGCAATTGTCTACAAACTCAATTTGCTTTGAATAAATCACCCACCTCCCCCCAATGCTCCCTGGACTCTTGAATTATGTGTTACTTTGTGGCAACCATCCGGATCTTGTTGTAATTTTCATACTTTCTGAGTGACTTCAGGAGAGGAGGTTGGGAAAGAAAAGGCAGCTTAGCAACTGTACCAAAGTTCTAGGAGCAATGGCCCTAAGATGGTGTGAGAACAACAAAAACAAAGTAGAGATGATGACCCGTGTGGGTCTGCAGATGCCTTCTTGTCACGAATGGCTAACACGTCTTCCAAAGCAGCTTCCATGGCTTATGCCTGTTTCATATCGGTACCCTCTGTGCTTCATTATAACAGGGAGAGAAGGACAAAGTTCTCACTCTCCTGCTCCTTCCTCAACTCAGTTGGTTCAAATAGATAGCAAGCCCACTCTGGGGAGTCTCAAACCATATGTAAATGTTCCTACAGATACGGCCCATGATCTTTTGGCAAGTCTTCAAAAGTTAAGGCTATACAAAAAGAAACAGCCTCCAACTCCGGCCCAAAGAGAAGGCATTATTTGACAAATGGCTTGTATCCTCCATGTTTATATGAGGTAACTTACATAGTTTTTGCAGAACTGTTAATTTATCAAGTTATTCTCAGGACCTGTTTACTAAAGGCTGGGGGTGAACTACTGTCTAATGTCAACAAAAATTGTTTGCAGTGACAGATGTATGAAAACATATTACTAGTAATAATTTAAAACAAAGTTCTCAGGCTTTTGCAAAAAGGTAGTATTTCAGATTAAACTAGTTTAGTTATTTGGTAGATGAGGGGATGGCTAACAATCAATCTGTATATCCTGAAAGGGATTTCAAAAATCATTGGCATGGATTCTGGAGAAAGCAATCCAAAACAAATACTTCTTGCTTTCTGTGAGTACAGTATGACATCACTGTGCTTTGGAGGGGACTACACCTATCAATATGTTCAATAATTGAGCAGGTTTTAAGGAAAAGGATTGGGATACTGTTCGGTTTTTGCAAGTGTGAAAGACTGGGTCTGTTAAACTTAGTGTCTAAATGGCGAACAGCAGAAAAGGGTAGAGAGAAATGAGCTGTGCATTGAGAAGAGCAGTTGGGCTAGATGCTTCCTTTCCATTGTCTCTAGGTGGCGCTCTTCGTCAATAACAGATGGGGTGGGGGCGGGGAGGCTATGCATGGAGGAAGGCCCAGAAGGGAGGACTATCTGTTCCTACAAGTCGAATGCAGGAAACTGGGCCCTCCTAACTCAGAAGACACCTGAACTTACAAGCTCAGTATCTTTAAACCAATTCAGCAACAGCCTGACTTTCCATTGTCTCCTTAATGAAAAATACAAAGCATGGAATTTAATGTTTTAGTTAGCTATGAAATCAATTCCTATCTGCAAACAAAATAGCATCCAAACCCCAATGGTCAGAGTCTCGCACACTTGTCTGTTTCCTTTTGCTGTGCTTAACTCTCGCACCTATAGATTACTTTCCCAGTTATCATTGGGAATTCAAAGTAACTACAGGTTAAAAGTCCATCACCGTGGGTGGAAGGATGAGTTCAGTTTATCCTCAAGCTTGAAACTCATCTGGGCACAGGACTAAGGAGCTCCCTCCTTAAGGGCCAAAGTCAATTTGTGCTGCCAATTCAGAAATACCTCAGAGAAACTGCCAAACACTAAATACTTTAGAATTCTACCCTCCATTCCAAATCCTGGAAAATACTAGCGCAACTCAGAGAAACCACTCCCTAAGAGCTGGATTGGAGCTGCAGCTGCCCAGAGAAGCACCTTTTCTGGCCTGCTCGGACACCTGCCTTGCACGCATGCTTTAAAAACATGATTTGAAGCACTGCAATGCTGGCCTTCTGAGTGACGCGTTCCCATGCCTGTCTTCAGTATACCTTCAAGACTGGTTCAAATAGTGACTGGATGGCAGGGAGAAAAAAAAAAAAAAAAGCACTATTTGTGGCTTAGGGAGGTCATAGGACAAGTGATACCTTGGGCATGCTCTCTGGATGTTCTAGGAAGATGTATCCCTTCTTGTGGGAAAGCCTATAGATTGTAGTAAGATAAGACAATCTGACTACTGACAACTATCATGGCTGATGGCTGCTTCCCTCACACACACCTGACTGTGCATCAGCAACAACGCACCAACAGCATTATTTCACAAGGTGTATATCCACTGAAGCTATCACACTTACCGGTTTCCCAAACTCCAATTCCGAAAAGAATTTATACCAAGGTTCATTCTTTAAATCTATCTCTTCTGGGCTTATATCCCGACTCTATAAGGGTTGGTGAAAGGGAAATGGAGGGAAGAGAAGGATAACATTATGCAAAGGATTACACAGGAGCAGGCCAGTAGAGATGCAGTGGCGTCGGGTTACACAGCACCTGCTTCAACAGCGGTGACCGTCCAGTCTCACCGACTCCGGCAAAAACAGGAGAAAGGGGATGTGTTCATGAGAACGGGGAGACTGAGGCAGGGAGCCACGAGGGATTCGTTTTCAGCCCCACAGCAGAGGCAGATGGACCACACTGCGATTCTTCACCACAAAGCAACATGTGGGCTGAACGGTAACCCTCAATCATTTCAGCATTGGGAAAAGAACACCCCTATCTCCTTGTAAAGAAATATTAGCTGTGAGCATATAAACTGGTGAGTACACCGAACATTCAGCATCTATGTCAGAATAAGACGCACAGTGTTTATGGGCTAGGTCAGCTTTAGTACTTATTTGCAAGGCTGCTTTAAGGTCTTCAAAAATAAATGCAAATAACGACACTTTAGAAAAGCCAATTGGTTAATACTGCATCTTTAATGGCACATGAGCAGGTGAGAATACCATGTGTCACACACGGCAAAGTGGAAAACGATGTGAGTCAAAATAGAGGACACAAGTGAGAAACATTTTAAACAAGCATCTGTGGGGACGAGTACAGAGTATACTCCATGTTCTAACAAAGAAATGTTAAAGGGTTGAGAAAAATAATTAAGTGACAGGAAAGCTTCACAAGACAGAGAACAGAACGGGGGGGGGGGGAGAAAACTTCTGGGTTATGTGCATTCCAAAGTTAGATTCCTCCATTTACATGACACTAAGAAGTGCCACATGGACTGGTCATTTGATTCTGTGGTTAAATATTTCACCAAATGTGTATCACAGTTCTGGCACTTTATCTAGGTAGCATCAACTACTTTTGAAAAACACAAAAAATGGAAGATTAGAAATCAAACCAAGCGTCCCAATACGAGGAGTTATACTCATATGAGGCTGAAGTGTTTAATGTTCAAGGTTTGCTTAAGTTCTTATGTTCTTAATCACTCTGAAAATTACAAAAGATTGAGATGTGATTTTTTTTCTTTTTAATAACAATCTGAAATATAAAAAAGTACACTTTCTGAGACTGAAGATATCACACAAGAAACTAAGGGGCCTCCTGGCCATAATGCGGATGGCACCAGAGAGCGTACAGCCAGCCCCACCTACAGGTAGTCGGTGTTACTGCACTCCACAGTGGTCCTCCCTAGGTGCACCACACTACTGTCTAGCCCTTTGCTGCTTGCAGACAAGTCTGGAAACTGTCGGTGAGTTTTTACCAAGCCCCTGAAAATATCTATACCATTCGTTCATTCTTGCTGTTACAGGTGGAAGATATGGGCACCTGTCAGAGATGTTCTTTAACTGAAATATGATTTGAAACTAGAGGAGAATATATGCTAAACTCCATCCTCTTGCATAAACTCCATCCTCTTGCATCTAGATCAGCTTCCTCTAAAGTTTCCATCTCAAAAGAGAAGGCCTGCCCATTCAGATATTAATAGTGCCTGCTGTGCGTGCATGCGTGCATGTATGTGTATACTCGTGTGTGTGGCCACATGTGTGTTTATATATCTATGCACATGTATGTAAATACCAGAGGGTAACTTAAGGCGCTGTTCCTTAGGGGCCAGTTACCTTGTTTCCTGAACCAGGGGCTCTCATTGGCTTAGGGCTTGCCAATTGGGCTAGGTTGGCTGGCGAGCAAGTTCTAAGGGATTTGCCTGGCTCTGCCTCTCCAGTGCTAGGACTTTAAGTACAAGTCACCAAGCCTGATTCTTTTTCTCTTTTTCTTGGAACTGAACTCAAGTCCTCTAGCAGTTTACCAACTGAGCCATCTTCCCATCCCAGCTTCTGCCTTTGTTTGGTGAAATGAAGCACAATGTCCAAAAAGACCAAAAAAAAAAAAAAAAAAAAAATCAACAAATGATGGCTTAAAAACATTGGTACATGGTACAACCTGCAGTGATGGCTCTCCATGCAACCTACTTCATATTTGTTACTTTTACAAAGACTATTTATAAACTGTTCCCAGAGAATAGGTTAGGTTTTGTTTTTTTCATAAAATGTACAAACATACCAACTCTTTTGGGAAGCTGCCTAAGAGTTATGATAGTTACAGCCCTGAAAGAATGAACTCATTTTACTCTTGAATGCTCTGTGCAGAAGAGTTGACTGCCAAGGTTAATGCTGAGTGAAGAACAGGTTTTGTTAAATAACTTGGGTCCAGAGTGTCAGTTCTTCAAGCTGCCCAGACACAAAGGTAAAAAGGTACAGCACTCATACCCACAATAGTTAGCCAGGTGTAAATGAGCAGTACATACAACCAAGGACAGACTGACAGGGAACAGCCTTCTGGAAGCAGAGGAGCCATGTTCCCATAGCCACAGCTCTTCCACAATGCCAGGCTCTAGTCTTCCCTGCTGTGAGCTGCTCTTTTTCCAGCTTGATAAAATCCATGGAAAGGGCAAGAAGCTTGCCAGGAAAATGTCATCTTCTCAAAGACAATGTTATTGCTTGAATAGGAGCCAAAGACCAGCTTCAGATTTCAATTAAGTAAGTCATCTGAACATGGTGCATTCACTTACACCACGATCAACAGTTTTTGCGACTCTTAGACTTATATTATCCATCTTGGCCATATCACCTGGCACACCAGCAGGCTGGAGGGCCAGATAATTTTTCTATTCACAAATGAAAACCTTGAGATTCAAGAAGGTTAACTGCCTTGCCTGAAGGCATATAGCAGAGTCAGGACTGGAGGTCAGATGCCCCAAACTCGTCCAGTCAGCACTCTGAAAATACACCACATCCCCGCTCATCCTTCTAATGAGAGTGCAGGTGACAGCAAACCAAAGCCAGCTTGAAATGCCAGAGAAAGAGCTCAAGTGAGGCAGGGCTGGGCAAACCCACTTGTTCACACTTCTACGTTCATTCTGTGCCTGTCATTACCATCTCAGTGTCTGTCCCTGGCTGCTAGACACCCACGGAATAGAAACTCCAACATCTGTCCCAAAGCCTGGCATGGAAAAAGTTATTTCCTCCTAAGTTCATGTCCTATAGGAGATTTCATATATATATATATATATATATATATATATATATATATATATATATATGTAAAGCCTAGACATTCCTGACGAAGCAGGGACCAACCACCACCACCACACCTCTAAGTCCAAGGCCAGGGAGAAAAGGTTCACTTATACTTTGATAGGGAGGCAAGAAGTATGTAGACCTTTGTGAATTTGACAAACAGGGGAACAAGTCATCAAGGATGCGAGTCACCTGAGGATTCGTAAGGTAGTAGTGTTTCATGGGTCTGGGTGGTGTGAGCATGCTCCAAGGCGAGAGGCAGGCCCACAGCCCATAAACATTCTTCTGATGTTAACAGTTGGCTGTGCCTGGGCCTAGTCTTTGAATTGGCAGAATTAAGCAGCTATGTGCAACTCAAATGGAAGAAAAAGTATTTTTCTCCCCATTTCTTCATGAAGAGACAAAGCAAACTAAAATAAAGTCTAATTTAGATTCTGCATCTATCTGTCACCAGTTTCCACATTTAATAGTTAACGAAATGATTCTTTAGTTTTCTTCAAAAACCATATGAATGAGGGTGCCGCTCAAATCCTAGCCAGCCAGATGCTTCATACCAAGAGGCAAGGCTCACATAGAAACTCACATAGCAGCTTTTCTGTTCACGTGATAAAAATAGCAGCGCTAAAAAAGATCAAACATAATGGGCCAATTCAAGCCCTGTCAAAAAATTAAGATTCAAATGAAATTCCTCTCTAAAATCAACAACATCTCTTTGGAAGGGCAGAGCTAGCTGGGGTCAAGGGCACTGAACGAAACTGTTGGGCAGGTGCCCACATGCTGCTATGGATGGGCCTCAGGCCTGGAACACACAGAGGAGCGCCTGTACTGAAACACCAGATGGTGTTTTGCTATCCATGGGGACAGTCCCCACCACTCCCTAGAAGGATCCCCCATTAACACTGTGAGGTACTTCCTAGCATTTGTGAAAATAATGCCAACCATCCCGAGAACCGTGACACCAACGAGGAAAACAGAATAATGTTGTTTTCCTAGTTCTGAACAGAGGTAAAAATCACTGAGACCAAGGGGAAAAAGTGGAAACAAAGACAAAATTAAGAAAAAGGGTGTGTCTTCAGTAAAAGCAAGGACAATCTATGAATGGCCACTGCCCAAATAAAAGCAGCCAGGGGCCTCCAGAATCCCTGAAATCACTTGGCTGTATTAAAGCACAATGGAAGCCAGCATGCTAATTACTAAGGAGTATGGCCTTCTTTCCACACCTTGGGTTGAAGGTTGCCGTGTACATTTACTATGTATGGGGTACTTCCTGCAGGCAGAGAACTTCCCAGCATGGGAAGGAAGTCACTCAGCTAGTCTCTCACTTTCTGCTTAAAATACCTGGGGTGCCAAGCAAACATTGAAGAATGACAACTCTAAAAGCATTTCTGTGAACTGATGACCTTTTTCCTAATTAAAACTATGCCAGCACTTCCAAAGGCATCACATTTTCATTTCAGTAAAAGTCAAATCAATTACCCCTTAAAAACACATAGAACAGCAGGCTGACAGCTCCTCTGAATGAAGCCAGCCTCCAGTGTAACCTCTGCATCCTGTGGTCCAGCCACAGGGCTTCAAACAGATGCAGCTTTGGAGAATCTCTTCAACTATTTACCAAAATATGAACCAGCTTTTTCTAATGAAGTGTGAATGAAAGGAAACATGATCGGCAGATATGGAACTAATCAATTTGTAAAGCCTTCCTATTCCACAGAAGTGGCTACTTTTCCACCTTGGCCTGAAATTTCCACACTATTTTCCCACTCAATGTTCCAGAGATGCAAATTTGTGTAATGGACAAGAATGCAAGCTGATTTGATAAATTACTTCTCAACACCATGACAATCAAAGACAGAAGACCTGAAACATAAAACATAACAACTGAGGGCTTTACCCCAAATTACAACATTCTATTGGTCATTTATCTTTGAAAGATTGTAATGCTAAACTGGTCATTTCTGTAAATCCTATCCATTTCAAACAAAAGTTGTGTACAAAAGAGAAAGACCTTTAATCAATGAGCCTGACAAAGTAATAGATGTTTTTCCCTAAAAAACCAGAAGTAGGATCAAACTTAGTTAGTAGAAAATTAAAATGAGTTAAAACCATAAACCATGCACAAATGGAACAACAGGGCCACAAAAACAAAACAAAACAAAACAAAAAAAACACAGTTGTTTAAAAGCAGACTCGGAACTCATTTCAAGAAGACCTGAAAAATGCAGAGGGTGAAAATACTTCAATTTTTTCACACTGTTCTAAACAAAACAAGCCTATCTCAAGTAGGGGAAGAATATGCTCCAGATACATAATGTATGCAAACTAGACAGCATGGGCAGAGAAAAACAAAAGAATTTTCATATGCACATTACCATCTTCTCATTGGTCAGAACGGAAGACTTGCCCGGCTGATATTCGTAAATGCTTTTGGGCTCTGCTCGATATTTTCTCGTATCCACTTTCTTATCTGGGGGCTCCCAGTCGTTTCTGTAGAAGGAAAATGCCATTTTCATGAGGGCGGTATCAGCTTTCCATACAGTCTGAACCTGGTTGTCTGTAGTCTTAACCAAAGAATTTTTATATCCAAGGCATAAAACTGGAATCAAGGCTAGCAATTTAGCTATGTTAGTCTGCTTCTCCAAACAATACGATTAAATCTCCATCTTAGCTTTACACAGGGCATGAGGTACCTTGTGCTCAAAACCTGGCACCAGGAGGCGGAGACTGGAAGGGAGAGGAGGGAGGGAGGAAAATGAAGCCAGGCTTGCCCTGGAAAAAGTCATTCACCCTGCTCTGCTCTTCTGGCTATAACATTCCCCAAACACGCCCGAACTCCCACACAATGTATGCAAAGCACAAATACAGGTCCTCGAGCTGGATGTGAATTTAAGAAAAAATAGTAAGTTTCATCTGCACAGACCTCTCAGTTTGTGAAAACTGACAGAAACTGGGGTCAGAAGATACATGGGACACCGTCCAGCTGACAAGAGATTACTACTCATAGGAACATTTGTCTCAACAATACATGTTATATCAGTAAATAGACATTTCTGAACATAGCTGGCTTTAGTGTTATAGTCTTAACTATGAATATTTAAATGATGTTAGTTCCAATTTTAGATTTTTCCCATAGTAGCGCCTGGTGGCATAGGCCTGTAATCCCAACCACTTATAGACTGAGGTAGGAGGGTTGACAGTTAAAGCCCTGCTTGGGCTACAGGGCAAGTTCAAGGTCAGCCTGGATAACTAACTGTCTGAAAATAAAAGCTTTGTGGCTGAGCACTTGCCTAGCATTCAGGAAGACTCTGGGTCCAATACCTAATACTACAAACTTCTCTTGACTAGGTAAAAGGTTATAATAATTATAGTCGACAGTAATTACACCCTTGCTATGAGCCAGGCCCTTAAAGGAAGGTCAAGTGCAATCACCTATTTTATCCTTGCAACACTCTCATGGAGGAGTCATGTTATTTTTATCCTTATTTCACGGATAAGGATGTGGAGACTCAGACTAAGTCACTGCTGACAGGTGACAGTGTGCAGATTCGAGTGTCTTGTTCCTAATAAAGGCTCCTGGGATGCAGATTCTGGGGAGGCATGGATGAGCATCTAATGGACCACTTACCTCTCTGGGCTGGACTTAAGTGAAGACGAGCGGGTTGGGAGGGGGAGTGTGGCTGACCTCTTCACTACTTTCTCCCCGTCAATGTAGTTCATCTCACTTTTTGAGCGAGGCACAAAAAGGGGAGACTTTGCTGGAGAGAAAGTACATATAAAATACTTTAAGCTCAAATGAAAACTAACCGTGAAGATGTCTCGTCTACGATCTTCCCTTCCTCCCCACAAGCAGGGGCTCCAGTCACTTACCGTCTTCAGAGAAGGAATATCTAGGAGTGTGCAGGTCAGAATCATCATCTAGTGAACAAAACAGAAAAAATCAGGGGGAAGAGACTCAAGCCACAGGTCCAGGGTGTACACCAAGCCCCATTTCCACAGTCCTGCATGACATCCAGCCACACCAGGGACCCAACAGGAGGAGACTCAGGCCTGGGGACACATCACACAGACTATCCTGCAGAGCAGTGAGGCTTGCCAGAGTCCATAGATCCAACATGGCCCAGCAGAAACTGCTTTCAGACATCAGGGAATGTACAGAGGCAAGACTCCTCACAAGGAGAAGGCCCATCACCAAAGCTGGGATGCAGGGCTCTGTATCTCTCCCCGAGTGGGAAGTGGGGGCTGAAATGGATCCGGCCACTCAGTGCTCAGTCTTGCCTTTTGAGTGCCATGGCCTCTTTCCAAGGCCCATGGCTACGACTGGATAGGAAAAAGAGTTCAAAGAACGTGATTGCTAGCTCCCCATTGTAGCTTTGACCTGTTTTATACATTCTTCAGACAACACAAAAGGCAAAGAGGTTGTACATCTAACAAGAGTTGGAGAAAACCCACATTAGAATCTGTTTTAATTACATCTTGGCTTTTCTCGGTGATTAGATTTCTCAGGACCCAACACTGCCATGACTGATATAAGGGCTGCTCTATGCAGGGTACCACTCAGGGTGAGCATCTAAACTGAGTCTGCAACAAGTCAAACTCACACAAATTCCTATGGTATATGATGGGCTCTGCAGGTGTGTGTGTGTGTGTGTGTGTGTGTGTGTGTGTGTACACCTCTAGATAAACTGAATACTGGGCTCTAGGATGACCAAGAAAAGATCTGAACCCCTATGAGAAGGGGTGTAATTTTCAAAGTAAAAATCAAATCAAAAGCCCATTTACAGGGACAGATCTGTCCCAAGTACAAGCTATGACATCCTAAACATTTCTTCTCTGGAGTACCTGAGAGTCTATATCTTGCTCATTTGAATTCAGGGTACATGGATCTAGAATGAAGACACAGTTCCCTCCCTTAAGGTCCATAATACATTTTCAGTAAAGCACACGACCTAAGCAGCAAAGTCAAGTCAAGGGATTTGATATGCTGTGTTAATGACAATGTTAATTAAGCCCATGTTTCTGGGCAAATTAAGTATCAGAGCGAGAATGGACAGGATGTTTTTGTTTTGTTTTATTTTGTTTTGTTTTTGTTTTTTGAGACGGAGTCTCTCCGTGAAACAGCTCTGGCTGTCCTAGGACTGTAGACCAGGCTGGCCTTGAACTCAATGGAGATCCACCTACCCCTGCCTCCTGAGTGATGAAACCACTCAGGCGTGCGCCACCACTGTGCAGCTCAGAATGTTTTGTGAAACGTAAACAAAGCTAACATTACTACTATTTTGAGTGCAGCGGTGTGTAAAGACAGCTTCTACCTGTACTTCTCCCAGTTTTGTCTGTCCCAGGTGTCCTTAGCCAGAAAACCAGACAGGGATCCATCACAAGGTACCTTTGTTCCCTCCAGCTCCCACTGCCTTCATAAGAACTGCTCTACACCAACGTTCCACACGGACTATGATTCTTTACCAACACTGCCAACCCTTTCTTCTTTAGGGTAGGGTGGGATGGGGTGGGGCGGGGTGGGGAGGGTCTTATTATGTTGCTCAGGCTGACTGATCTCTAGCATACAATCCTCCTGCCTCAGTCTCCTGAGTCCTGGGGTTACAGGCATGCATCACCACAATCCACTACGCTTTCATTATTATGAACTGAGTATCTTAAGTTTATTTATGTTACCTCCTGAAAATAGGGCAGTGGAAAGATGGAATGGAATCAGAGATGTATTTTTGGAAAAAGTGTTCTGAAGAATTTTGTGTTACTGGCCTTTTGCTTGTTTGTTTGGGAGTTTTTTTTTTTTTAAGGATTTAATTATGTATTCATATAGTTCTATGATATCAAAGAACATAAAAAATCAGCTTTAGAACGCCTTTGATTTCCATCACTCGGGAGGCAGAGGCAGGTGGATTTCTGTGAGTTCAAGGCCAGCTGGTCTACAGAGCAAGTTCCAGGACAGCAAGGGTTACACAGAGAAACACTGTCTTGAAAAATCAATAAACAAACAAACAAATAAATAAATTCAGCTTTAGCTGAGGACACTTGGCTGGAAAAAACAGTGCCTGCCCCAACCCAAGCTAACTCAGAAAACAATACACTGCTTTAAACCAAGCCTAATGCTTTAGCTCAAAACTCTACACCTCTTTGAATCACAGAAGGTGGCAGCCTTGTAGCAGGTGGTGGGAAGGTCAGTTCCAATTATCCCATGGCCACTAAAACTCGAAGCAACCTATGGGTGCTGGGACAGCATTAAATATGGTTTAATGTTAAGATTAAGTTTTAAAAACACTGTTTCCTCTAGACATTTCTAATGTCAAATTCTAGAAGGCTTATTATAAGGCTGTGAGAAATCATTCTTATGTGGTGGAGAAAAACAGCCTAAGGAGCCTGACTTAGGGATGTTGAAAAGTAGAGGAAAGCAAGATGTGGGCGGGGCAAGAGCAGTAACTAAGTGGCTGATTCTCTCTCTCTCTCTCTCTCTCTCTCTCTCTCTCACACACACACACACACACACACACACACACACACACACACTCCTTCTCCCTCTGAGACAAGGTCTCACTACCTGGAACTCCCTCTGTAGACCAGGTTGGCTTTGAACTCAGGCATCCATCTACCTCTGCCTCTTGAGTGCTGAGAGTATAGGTGTGCCATCATGCCAGGCTGTGGTTGATAATATTAATCCTATTATTGGGTACAGATGGGAAAAGGAGTCTCATGGCCAGGGTGTCTTTGTGAGTGGACTTCACTTCTCCAGTGTCCACAGGACTTTAACATGGACATAGATCTAGGAACCGTATGAAAGCATACCTATGTCAAATGGATTAATCTGAACAACTCTACCACACTCACTTGCCCCCATTGGTCTCCAGGGATAACATTGCTACATCCTGCACTTGTTTGAAACTTTCTCCTGGTAAGCAAGCCCACAATGAGGAAGTTGGATACAGTTAGAATAACCAAGGACTAGAAGCCTGCCTTCAACCTGTCTGGCTAGAGCTAGCCAAACAGAGTAGTAAACAGGTGCATGTGTTTAACCATAGCTACACAAAGAAAAATCGTTCTCAAGTCTCCTATGAACTAGCTACACAAAGCCCGCTGTCACATCCTCCAAGGGTTCCTGACAATAATGCCACGGGGGACTCAGCTGAACTGGGATCTTGTGATTCCTGCTTTGTAATGGAACCACATGCTATCTTTGACCCTTGGGACACCAAGCAAACTGACATCAAACCTTGGCACCAACACTCAGAAGTTCCCATGCCAACCATTCCAGGAAGCCTGAACATTACGCAGCACACCTTCACTCTGGTGCCTTGAAGGCCCCTGAGGACTCTGGTGTTGACACACCAACCGTTCCTCTTGGGCTTTGGCAGCCTGGCCTCAGTAGCACAGCAGCTAGCCCAGGAGCTGCCAGGAGCCGCATAATTCCCTTTTCAAACCCAAGGACGACATTACATGAATTTCTAGAAGCTTCCTTCCAGGGTTGATTTTACGGTTGCTGTTTAGAATTTATACAACCCTGAAAGCCAACTAGAGAGATTGCTGGACCAAACCATTCAAAGCTCTACATAACAATCAAAATGGGATGCTTAGTCAAAAGCAGCATTCACAGAACCACAAGCTGTGTGTCATTAAATCTCTGGTTAGCACTTCATAGGTCTTTAACCCTAAAATTATTTTTGTGATAATAACAATTCACTTGAACACGATCTTATTCCGTCATTCAACACAATTTCTTCTGAAGCTTCATTCACCCCCACGTGCTTACCAAGAGCAAGAATACAAGATGGAAGTACATGGACACCCCACAGAAAACAGCCAAGGAAAAGGAGACAGCGTCTGTGGGACAAGGAAGCCAAGTCTAGGGGCCTTATGGGACAAGGAAGCCAAGTCTGGGGGCTTGTGAGAAGTCACAGATTATGTTTTGGTTAAAGACCGTCAACTATTAAGGGATGGAAAGCAGGAGAGTGGAGAGCAGCTGCAGAAGACATACTCCTGAGAAAGAATTCTGAGAAGTGATTCAAAAATGGGAAAGAAACAAACTAAGGGAGGGATCCATGGACTAGTGGGACCCACCGTCTGTAGGGGCCCATGGGCTAGAGAAGGCTCACCATTCCCATCTTCATCCGGCCTTCTGGGTCCCGAGGTGGGAAGGGGATGACTGCTTCAGTTCTTAACTATGCTGCAGAGCAAAGACTTCTGTACATGCTGGCCAGAGAACTTCTGGGCAGCCACAGAAGGAGAACAAAGGTGGCTGCTGCAAAGCCGCCTGGCCCCTCCCATGGGCAGGACTAGAAAAAGTTTGGGGCAGGAGGCATAAGTCAGCCAAGCATCCTCACAACAGAACAACTTACTCAAAACACAAGTAACATAAGGCTATTCTTAGAAATCCTGCACAGCTAGGAAAGCTATTTTCACTCAACTATATCTGTGCCTGAGAAAACCGCCCTCTGCAAGCCTTGCCTCAGGGCAAGCTGGAGCAGGAATGAGGAAAAACACAAGACAGACCCCTGTGACACCACAGCCTAGAGATGCTTGGAAGTGGCACCATGAGTCACAGCAACAGAGTGTGGCAGTCTCATCCACCAACCAGAAGGGGTGCTAGTGCAATTCACGAACCAGGAGGGAAGCTGCTCTCTGACTTCACCCCTGTGGCTCAATGGGTCCTCACAAGCCATGGATCACGAAGTAAACTATACTCTACTTGGCTCTGCTGTAGATTCTGGAACACTGTGTAAAAATAATCTTGTTTTCTTGACATCGAATGTGCCAAGTCAGCTGTCCTTACCAGGCCAGAGTTTTGAATCTGCATTCCTCATTCCAGTCCTGTATTCAAACTCTCAAATCTCATCTTGGCAAGTATCTTGGTCCTTTGGGGCGGTAGACAGCTTTGTGGAAGGTATCTTGACATTTCAGTAGGTCTGTCATGGTCCCATCGCTTGGGGAGCTTTCCTAATCTCATGTTCCCAGAGACACTAGTTTGACAGCCCAAGATTGAATCTAGAGAAGCTGCCATCAGAGAGCTCTTGGCAAGGAAGGGGCAACCAAGTGCACGGGGCTATCAGGAGGGTAAGGATCAGCAGAGCAAAAACCGGTGTTTGGAGTCTCACAGACCTTCCTACCACTTCCCGTGTAACTTTGTACATGCTACCCTACCTCCCCAAGCTTCTTTCGGCTCACATGGTGGGCTGCTGGGGGGATGAAAATGAGGTCAACGGTGGCAATGTGCTCAACACAGAGCCTCATACTGTACGCCACAGCTTCTAATACTGTGTCTGGGGACCACTTAACCGAGCGTGGGGGGTTGTGAAGAATTTGGAATCAGTAAAATGTTTTAAAATATGGAATGACTAAAAACCAATTCAAAATCAAAGGTAACACATTCAGGGCATTTCTGGCACCCACTCGTGCAGCAGGCAGGTCCACTGCAAGTTTGATTCTGAACATACAATATGTTCACTGAACAGTTCACTGGCATCACACTACACAACCCCAAGGTTGCCCGAAACACTCTAGCTCAGACTGAAATGCAGCGTTGTGACTATACAGAGAAAGGTCTCTGTTCTTACAGACTCACAATGGTCTAATTGCACTTTATTTTCCCGTCATCATTCTTCAGTATCTGAGTGTCAAATACGTCTATGCTGGGATTGTATTATATGAGAATATTTGATTTTAAAACTTGATTTGCTGACTTGCATTTCATTTAAAAAAAATTGTTAACTGACTTGAGTTTATGACAGAATTTCCTCCAATTCCTGAAATGGTTACAAACACATTCTGCTATTTTTGAACTACTTACTTATGTAAGTGATGTGACATTCTCAGCATTGATTACTATAAAATCAAAATGCTCATCAACTATGGAAGACAGTAAGGATGATTTATGTTCTTTAGCATCGAATGTTCAACTAAGATTTAACTTTTTGTGACAAAATAAACCAATGCTGGGCATGGTGGTACACTCCTTTACCCCCAACACTTGAGAATTAGAGGCAGACAGACCTTTATGAGTTTGGGACCAACCTGATCTATATAATGAGTTCCAGACCAGTCATGGCTACATGAAGAAGAAATTTTGTCTTTAAACAAACAAATAAATAAATAAACAGCAAACAAACAAGCATCTTTCTCATTAGTATGCAAATAAATGGTAAAAGTACATGTATACTGAAGGATTATTTTAGAATAAATTTCTTTATGATTTATTATCATAAATCATATGTATATGATTTGTATATACCTGAAGCAGAGTTTCTCAGGTGAAGGGAACACAATGGAAATGTTTAAGCAGTCTCAGGTGGAAGTTCAGTAAGGGCATGACAGTCATCACACTGCTGTCCCTTAATGAGAACTTTGGGGAGGGACAAAGGTTGCTTTTCAGAGGGAAGTAGGCAGTGTAGGTTAGCACCAGCTGCCTTAAGTATTATAAAAGGCCCAGGCTGTTCCTTGCTGTAATAAACAGAGTTTGTTTTTTTAAAGTACATTTGAGCCTCATTAAAACATGGCCATCCTGTTTATCTTCCAGCATCTGCCCGGTTTACATGCTCACTCAGGGAGAAGGAAGGTTTTCAAGCTGGTATAAACACATGCTCACAGGCCCCACTGTTTAGGACAATCAGCTTGGAGAAACTTACAAGTGTCTTCTTAAAAAAAAAAAAAAAAAAACTACAGTGTAGACAGACAGACATACCAGCCCTCAGATAGGCTGTCATAGATTTCTTACAGATAATCCTACTTCCAAATTCTCAATTACAAGACGACAAAACAACAGTGGCATCAATAAGAGACTACCCCTCCCCCCCCCATGAGACCTATAACTCCAACCTCTAGGTTCTTGCTCAGCTGAATTCCCCTCCCTCCCTCTCCCTCCCTTCCTTTTAAAAGGTGTCACTATGTGGCCCTGGCTAATCTGGAACTTACTATGCAGCCCAATTCAGCATTGAATTCATAGTACTCCTCCTTCCTCGACCCCCTGAGCACTGGAATTACAGGCATGCATCTCTACCGTCTCTACTTCTCAGTGCATATTAACAGCTACGGCAGAGCCTGCACTCGGTGCTGGTCTGGCTGCAGTGTGCTACCTGTGTGGAGTGGTACCAAGGACAGAGCTAAGGTGGGCTGGCACTCACAGGCATGGGCTGGTAGTACTCATAAAAAACCACGGACTCAGAAAGTCAGAAAGCCTCTTGAACATAAAAATAAAAAAATAAAATAAAAAAATTAAGCCCAGAACATTTTTGAAATGCTCTATCTCATGTGTTTTTCACATTTGTAAAAAGCCTTTATCTAACTGAATACATCAGCAATATGCTAGACATGTCATCTAGGCAGGGTGGGGGGCGTGAGACAGAATCTACCCTATTTTTAAAAGATCCCTAGGGAAGACAAAGCCCTCAAAGCGTGAGTTAAAGTGTAATTATCTTCATTATGAATTTTTTATGTTCAACTTAATTTTTTTAACCTTTTAATTCGTTGAGGCTTTTCTTCCTTTTTCGGTCTCTGAAAATATTGTGTGTATATACACAGACACACATATGCATATCCACTTGTAAATATGCGTGACAAACTGTCTTGCCTTCTCTTACTGTTTATGTCTCTAGGTAAAACAGCCCTACTTCCTACTGGGCCAAACTTCACATGTAACAAAAAAAAAAAAAAAAAAAAAAAAAAAAAAAAAAAAAAAAAAACAGACCCTACTGTTGTCAGCCAGGGTCGCAAGGTGTAGTGATCAGTGGCAAAAGAACTTGACATCAGGCTGTGAAATCCTGCCTTGAGATCACAGCCAAGAAGATGGAGAAGGAAGCCAAGGGCCCTGCCTATGACAGGCTTCAGGCCATCTTCCGATCCCATGGGTGTAGCAGGATTTCTCCAAGATGCTTTCCTTCACTCACTTTTTCCAACCTTCTTTGACACCTGCTCTGCTCCACACTGTACCCCCAACATAAAAGAATAACTCCAGGATACAGGCAAAGCTGTAGTCCATATCAGGTCATATTCCCATCCAGCTCTTCCATGAAATGTTTCCCAGCTTGGTCCAAATCTTCAAAGGTTACCATATCTCACCAAAACTGACACTTAGACTTACATACCTCTTCAGGAATTCCCAATCAAAAAGAGACACCCCAAGGACCCATGGCCAGAGGGGCCCAGTGGCCACTGGGGGCAGTGTGGGAAACTGGTAAGCTTCTATTGTTGAAAGCTGGCAGGACTCCATCCTCAGCTTAGTCACTGCCCAGCCATCAGAATACACTAAGTGACAACCCAGATACCAGGCCTCCAGTAGTTGGTACAAGTAGCGTTCCTCAGGGCCCCACACATCCAGAGCATTATAAGTAAGCTATGAAAGCTACCCCTTAAGCCATGGAAACCCTATAGGGGTGGGGATTAAAATACCACTTGGAGAGAGCCAGAAAGGACTGAGGCAACCTCACAAAACAAAAGGTTAGAGGGACCTTTCCTAGGCTCCTAGCAAAAACCCCAAGGTGGGCAGTGGCGGCAGCAGCTCACAGCCAGGCACACATCTCCTGTAATTACCTTCAGACTCAGGGCTAGGAGTAGACGCAGGAAACTGGTAGGTAGGAGTGTAAGGGTTGTCCTCTGCAGCAGAGAAAAGCGGTGTGTGTGAAGCTATCTACCATGAAGTGGAGGAAACCATTAACCCCCGCTTGACGCTTCCCAATGATTATCTATTTTAGTGTTATTAAAGCACGCAGGCATCACACTTAGGTTAAGGAATTAGAAAGGACTTAGTTATTTTAATACAGCACACCATGCAAATGAGCGAAACGAAATGCTTACGGGCTGAAAATGACTACTAAAAACAAAATCTAAAAGCCAAATTGTACACCTACAATGGAACTCTAAGAACTAATTTAAAGCTATAGTAACAGATGCACTGTCTAAACTTATGGTACCTTCAGAATTTTGCAGGATTTCAGGAAGTTCAGGGAATTTGTACGTAGGGAAATAAGGGTTTTCTTCAGGAGTGTCTAGGCAGTGGGAGCAGGTTTGAGAGACAGAGAACAGAGAAAGATACAAATGGAGAGAGTGAATGAGTAGAAATCTACACACAATGTATATTCCTTGAATTGAGGAACACAATAAACTTCACTACTGATATGAAAGATTTAAAATCCAGTCTTTTTGCCCAAATTAAGACACCTAAAAAAAGAATTATATGGAAACTAGCTCCAATGGGCAAGAAGCACTTAACACAAAGTTTCAAATTTCACATTTCTTTTAGGTTAGAGATATGAAATATGATAAATGAAAAGGCTATCCTAAAGCGTAGTTTTGTTGCTGTTTCAAACCAAAGGCCGTTTTGTGCAAGCGAGGCTTAAGCTTTTTGGGTGCCTCTGCCTCCACTAGGACAGGGAGTTTTGTTCAGAATCTGTAATTGTTGAGTTAATAACTAGAGCACAAGAAGACCACTGGTGTCTTAGAGCAGAAACACACATTCTGTGCATATGTGTGCATTCATCTGTACGTTTAGCCTTCCAAATCCAGATCTGAGTGTGGGCCAGTCACAGACGGCTGGAAGAAAAGGACAGTGACTACCATGGAGACCCGGTCTTTAGCACCACCATGATGGCGCTTATCCATTTGACTCAGAGAAGGTAAACACTCAACATTTAGAAATAGTGTGGACCACTCTGCACCCAGCAGAAGCTAACAGTGATGTTTAGCATATACAGCTAGGCACCAAGACTGGACATTTGTGACCAGTCTCATTTTTGGGGAACAATGACCAGAACACTATTTCTTTGGTGCATTTCATGGCAGGCGGCCAGACTGGATTTGGATACAAAGAAAGACAGGATGCTCTGCTCCCAGGAAGAGTGGCTCCCTTCCCACAATGCAGTTCACTGGCAGCACAGGCAGCAATGGGGGCTGAGCTGGTAGGGTTGCGATCTGCCAAAGCACTAGCCTGGGGTTCTGCCATCATGCTGGCTCGCTCACTGAAAGCCCAGGGGGCCTCTAGATCCGTGAGCACCTCTTTCAACCTGAGCGGCTCTAGTGTGTCAGCTCACGACTGATTTCTCTACCTGCCAAGCTCTGGCTCCCAGTTGGGAAAGCTGACTTCGCACACTAGCACAGCCTCAGAGATGCATAATGCATCGGCTTCACAAGGCCAAGCGTGTTCCCAATTGAATGCCTACAACATCCTTCAGAGGACTGGAAACAGGACAGACGCAGAAAGACACAAGGGACACCTAAGAGCACAAAAGTGTCCAGAGACCCCGGGGAAGAACAGTTTTCTTAACTCCCAGAGCAGGGCTTTTGCTCAACTTGATTTTCTCACAAAGCTGACACAAGGTATACCCAAAGCTTGAAGCAGGTGGGAGATGGAGCTGTCTGTTCCCCAGGCAGATAGGTGTGGGAGCATAAGTGGAGGGCTCGGCTCGGCCTCCTGCACTACACAGCAGCTGCGAGGGAGGACTTGCAAGCTGACCTCAAGCTCCAAAGCTGGGGTGGGGCAAACACGGGTACCACCCTCCCACTTATGCTCTGAGGGCACACGGCTACAGCCAGGCAGGCCAGTACCTAGTGTCATCCAACAACAGGAGCCCACCTCCCAGAGTCAAAGTGAACCGTGAACAGGCCCACAACCAACAGTCAACCAATTCCCACAGCATCACACAACTTCTACAAATGAAAACCGGTACCTCTGTTCAGCTTGTGGATCTGTTTAAACATGGTTTTGTACCAGTCTTTCGATCTTTCGGTATTCTGGAGAAAAACATAAGCAAAGGATGAAAACAATGGAAAGCTGAGCACATTTTAGAAGATCTATGATCACAAAATAAAAATCAAACAGGGAGGTACTGAAATAGATCCCAGGGCCTTGCTCATGACAGGCAAGTGCTCTACCACACGCATCCCTAGCTACAGCATTAAGGACTTTTTTTTTTTTTTTCAAAGCCAAAAACTTTTGAGAAAGCTGAGCCATAATAAGAGATTCAGATATGATTTTGAAAAATGAGATCTGGCCTAAGGATGTAACAGACAAAGGCAGATTTGAAATATGGCCATGCTTTCTTTCTTTTAAAAAGATGTATTTATTTTTAATTTATGTATTTGGATGCTTTGCTTGAATTAATTTATGTGCACCATGTACACCCAGTGTCAGGGGACACCAGCAGAGGGCGTCAGAGCCAGCCATGTGTGTGCCCAGTCTTCTGCAAGAGCAGAATGTGCTCTTAACCACTGAACCATCTCCCTGGCCCTGTGCCCAATCTTTCTTAAAATTGCATTTTTTAGAGACAATCTCTCTCCACACACAGGCTTCAAGAAACTGATGTTAAGCCCTCCCAGAATCACAAGTCAGTAAGACATTGCTTACCACGCACAATCTATCTGTGCCCCTTCGGATTATTCTGTACAAATGTATGTAAGTCACCTTGCACAAAGCCACATCTAGAACACATAGATTAAAATGGAACCCAAAATGGCATCCAATTTCAGGGCTTGCATGCTCACCTGGAGCTAAGCCTTCCTTCAAAGATGAAAAGCAAAGCAAGGTAGCTAGATATGATAGTATCACTCCCATTTTATAGATGAGGGAATTAAAAACAGAGAAGGTCAAAGTGCAGTCTCCAAGGCAGAGAGGTGTTAAAAAAGTAGGAGGGCCAACTAAAGCAACAGCTGTAGACACTCTGCCACCCACACATCGTGAGATCTTGGGAGAGTGATACGATCCTGCAGTCCATGCCTTTCTGATGCTGTGTTTTGATGTGTGTCGTCCCTAGTTAATGACTTGTCTTCCAGGGTGGTGGCCCTGGGAGGTGCTGAGGTATTTTATGAGGTGGGGCCTAATGAGAGGTCCTTAGCGTTCTGGCGATGACTTCCCCCACGGGATTTGGGGTGCCAGCCAGCCATTCTCTCTGCTCCCCGGCACACAGCATGTGCACTGGCTTTGATGTACATACACTTTTGCCATGTGTGCTAGCCTTGCCAGAGGTCCCTGCAAAACGGGCGGCTCAGTTTTTGACTCAGACCTCCATAACCATGAGCCCATCCTTACTCCAGAAGCAGCCTGTGCTGAGTGCTCATAACAGCACAGCTAGGCTGACAGCAGCACCAATCTATGGAAATGAAGACTGCTCCCATCGCTCACGTGGTGGTGTAAGACAATGTCCAGCAGAGGTAGCTGCAAAGCACTCTTAGTAACTGCTCTCTTTCTCTGTTATTACACATGACCAATGTAGAGTCCTTCAAAGGCTTTACAATGCTGCTGTTTTTATCTACCTTCTGCAAGGGCAAAAGGAAGTCCCGTTTTCTAAATGGGACACCTACTGCAGCCAGCAGTCTGGTGGACACCTAAGGAGGAGGATTACCCTGATTCTAGCCACAAAGGGCAGGCTTCCCTGAGCCCCTAGGGGCCTTGGGGAGCATTGGCACACCTGGCCTCGGGAAGAGGCCTGGTGGTCTTGAAGGCCTTGAAGGGTCGCCTTTGCCTGGCTGCCTTGTCCTGTTCACCTTGCTTGATGGGGCAACTCTCATCCAAGGATCTTCTTCCTGAACCCGGATACACAGCCTCACTTTGCCAGGGATGCCCCTAACCCTGGAGCAAGAATTGCTAGTGGGTCCCACAGCAATGACGGCCTTGCCCGTGGAGGATGTGCAACCCAAGCCCATCAGCTGCAGAAAAGTTCCTCAACTTTGCTCCGCCCAGATGTTCCTTCTCTTTTGAGACTTAATATCCTACACCCACTTTGGAGAAGTCTGGAAATACTCATTGGGGTGTGGTCCTGTGCTGGTGTCAAAGAGAAAAACCCTCCTCCTCCAAGCCACTGTGACCCCCCTCCAAGCCTTGAGTCTCGCCAGCCCTTGTTGAAGCTGAAGCCCAAGGGGACCCAAAGGTTCACATTCGTACCCGGAGTGGGATGCCCACTTCATCCATAGACACATTGCGTAGGTCCTGTGCACTCTTCACCACCCTCCTGTCATCCTTTGCTCTCCTTTCGGCAGCCCTGCTGGGCGAGGTGAGTTCTGTCGGGGTTGGCACTGAGTCCTGCTCACCCACTCTTCTCTCGGAGGCAGGATCTGGAAATGAAAAGCAATCACGAGCTTAAACTCCAAAGCAAAAAAAAAAAAAAACTCTTCCACAATCCAGCTAGGGGAAAGGGATGTTTGCTGACTTCCAACTAGAACTAGCCCCATGTAGGCCAGGGGTCAGTGAAGTTCAGCCCACTGCCGGCCACCTGCTTTTGTAAGTAAAATTTGACTGGAACATAGCCACGAAGGTTTGTTCACCCATGATTTATGAGTGCTTTTGCGTTACCATAGTTGAGCTGAGTAAGCTGTGATCACATGGCCTGCAAAGCATCAAAATACTTGTTACCTGGCTCTTTAAGAGAGGCCTGCAGAGGTATGAAATGGTTCTGAAGATATCTGGGAAGATAAGGGGGCAGGGAAGGCACATTACTGGAGAGTTAACTTTTTGGTATTGGGAGGCACTTAACTCTCCTCACTTAACTTTCTCATGCCTCAGTTTTCTCATTCAAAAAATATGGGAATGACATTTCCATTGGCAAGCTCACAAAGATGCTGTAAGCCAAAGTGCTCAGAAAGCTAGACATTGCTGGCTGCTCGTTACAGTTTATTTAACCTGGTTCACGATTGGCACTTACAGAGAGCCAACAAACACCCCAGGTGTGGTCTATAGATTACAGGGTCACTAGCTACTGTCTGCTTTTCCAAGTCAGACCATGCAGTCACTGAAGAGGTGTTCCCTAAGCACCTGCCAGGTGCTATGCCTAGTATTCTGCATGTAGACATGAAGGCAACCAACCTCTCAGATTCTTAGTCTTCAGGGGGGCCTATCCTCTAGTGGGCCAGCAAGAAGAATGCAGAGTAGCGAGGGCCGACAGAGGAGTCAGCACCCAGCTTAGTTGCAGGATTTAGTTTCAGAGCCAACTTGTCTAAGAGGAGCCAACCAGATGAAAAGAAAGTGGAGGATGTTCCTGGCAGAAGGAAGAGCATCATCCACTATGTGCCTCCTTGAACTATTCTGACTTAATTAAGTGCCTGGCATTGCACTAAACTCTTCAATAAGACAAGAAGACCATATGGGGTTTTTTATTGTTGTTGTTTTTGTTTTGTTTTGTTTTGATTTTTAAAGGCCTTAGAGGCATCCAGGAGATGCTGCAGGACCCAGCTGATATGTCTTGCCACGAAGGAGTTTTACGGCCACCAGCACAAGAATAATGACAGATCTCTATGGTAGAAGGAAGTGAGAGCAGAGCCAAGGGCTGAAATCACACACTGAAAAATACCAAAGAAGCAGGCAGAGAAGCAGAGAATCCCCAAGCCTACGTGGGCGTCATCTGAGCAAAAGGAAAGGGACAAAAACACAGAGCAATTTCAGGAGGTCAACAACAACAGGTATCAGATTGCAGAGAAAGGGATGAAATGTGGATGAAAAAGAACGAAGGGGTGAACTCAGCACAGAGGACGGAGTGTGTCAGATGGTAAAAGGCGGATGGCACAGGGGCTTAAGCCAAGTGAGCCCAAAGTCTTATCAGCGAAGAATAAAGCATGTCTTTCTCCCGACCCTCCATCAATTAGTAAGTACTCCCTGATTGAGCAGAAGTGCAAAGTGCTGGTAAGGGACTGAATGTACTCTGGCAGGAAGGTGGGGTTTGGGATTCCATGCAAAGCTGCCACAAAGCCAGAGGTGTCAATGTATGAAGGCTGAGGGGCTGGGAGCAGTGAAGTCCGCATGCTCAGCTTTCTAACATTCAGTCTGCTCAGCAGAGTCACTCTCCCCTGACTTCAGACATGCTTCTAAGAGCCTTGCTCTGTCTATGAGTGCAGAATGATTGCTAAATACCCTTGTCAACCTGATCCCCATATCATTACCACACATCTCCAAAGATGTCAGGCCAGACTGAATGTCTAGGACCAAAGATCTACCAGAAAACTCAGATGCAAGAGGATTCTGAGTTACCAGTCTCCTTGGTCTTGGGTCTCCAAACATTCTCCTCCCACCTGGAAAGGCCTTCTTCAAGTGAAATAAAAAAGGGGCCAGTGAGCTGATTCCAAACTCTCCCTTACTTCATATGCAGACACTATGAGATGATGACCTCAGACACTTGGCCAAGGTTCCAAGTAAATCTTTAAAAAAAAAGACTAGGGCAAGTGATTCTAACAATTGCAACACTCTGTTCATGGATTTTTCCAGTTACTTTGATCTATAAAATCAGTGTTGCCTTTTTATTTAAACTTTAGAAGCTTTAAGATCATGGAATTCTAGTACATGGAGGGCTCAGGTCCCAAAAGAAAAATGTTACTTGATATGGTAAAACCCTAAACATGTCCCACAGCAGTCAGAGCAACCTCTGAATTCACAGCACACCTTCTGACCCTTTACAGCATATTCTGGCTGCTTCCTTCTGGTTTTACAGTGTGCTTCAGAAGGTCCTGACTTGGGGGCCAGAGAGATGGCTCAGTGGTTAAGAGCATGTGCTGGAATTTCAGGGCCCAGGTATTGTTTTCAGTACCCACATAGTAGCTTACAATCGTCTTTAACTTCAGTTCCAAGAGATTCATTGCCCTCTCTGAGACTCCATGTGCCCTAGGCACACACATGGTACTCATACATTCATGCAAGCAAACACTCACACACATAAAATAAAAATGAATCTTTTCTCTAAGTTTTGAATCAGTAAACAAATGATACTGACAACTTCAAATGGAGTCTCTCTCAGGAGGAGGTGGGACAGATTATCTGTATACCCAAAGCTATGTGACAGTCTAAAGTAATTCTTATATTCCCTGGGGGAATGGCAGTGGCCTCCCTACCCCTGTGTCAGTCCCTGCAGTCTTTAATCAAGGGGACCACAAACCACACAAGGCCAAATATCACAAAGGCTCTATCCCCAGATAACTCTCCACAATGGCTCCTCTTGACCATCAAGTTGACCGGAGTAACAAATACCTAGGATATTAGTGTAGCACATCTCTGGATATGCCAATGAGGGCATTTTTAAAGATGACTAAATTGGGAGGACTCTGCCCTATCGATGGTTTAATCCATCCACGAATTTAAGATTGGGAGGCTTTGAAGCTGAAGCCCGGTTGAGGGAGATACATCACTAGAGCCATCATCTTGTCCTGGCGCCTTCCTGTTGCTGTTTCTCTCTGCTTGCTGTTCATCAGGGTACGGGCAGATCCACCAGGCCCTCTTGGCCATGACAGACTGAATACCCTAAAACCACGAGCAACCAACTTTCCTTCCTTAAGCTATTCTACCAGACACAGGTAATAGAAATGCAAAGCCCAATACTCCTTCATTGCTGAGCTCCACAGACTAAGGGAAGAAGGCTGGCAGTCCTGAGCCTCAAATATATAGGTGTGGGGTAGACACTCATGTGCTCTAGAGAATTCTCTACAGGGTAGAGAATGCCACTCTCGGAAGCTCCTGGAGACTAGTGGAGACCTAGGGCATTGTGTGCTAAGCCTGCCAGCATAGAGGATGAGCCTGTCCATGAACAAGGCTCTTTCTAGTGTGCACAGATTTTCACTTCAACAATATACGTCAGCACCTGGAAGCAGAACCAAGAATTAGCACCCCGTTTCCCACACAAGGAAACTGTGGTGTGAGAAGTGAAGTCACTTACCCAGGGACAAACAGTTCCATGAGGGAAGAAAAATAAAAGCAAACAGAAAACCTCTGGGTCTCCCAACATGTAGAGAGAGTTTTTCCATCGATTTCGCCAATCCTTTAAAGCTACTAGAGGGAGGAGAAGATGCCTCCTTCTCTCCTGCCCACCTCCACATGTGCTTGCTTGCTTGTGTATGTGTGTGCGCGTGCGTACGTGCGTGCGTGTGTGTTTTCCACCCACGGTCACCTGGGCTGGCCAGGGGAATGAAGTGCACTGAAGGTTTAAAAGGGCTGTGAAGGGCACCTTGAAATTAACCACAGCCTGTTCTGGTCCTGTAGCCAAGTCCTGATAAAGTTGAGAGGGTGTGAGAACCTCATGTCCTCCCGACTCAGGCTCTGCCCAAATCACAAGAGCAGCGGTATGCTTAAGTCATGCAGAAACCACACAGCAGCTGCTCAAAAACTGGTGGCTTCGGTTACTCACTGGATCAGAGGTTCTTAGTGCTAGAGCACACGGGCCTTTGCTCCATGTGCCCTGTGTACACACCGGCTTTGTCTGGAGAGTGAACCAACTGCCTACATTAGCTCCTCCAAACAGTAAGACATCATACCACACCATCAGCTGCTGATGGGCAGCCCCAGAGACTGACTCTGCACCAAGGACAAAAGTAGAACTCAATAACAGACCAGAGTCAATGCTAGTACACAACAGTGCTTTGTGTCTACTAAGCGCTTAGCACAGAGCTTGGGGCATAGCCACCCATTAGTAGAATGTCCCAGGAGTTTCACAACAATCTGGGAGACATGGCTACTTTGTTCCTTCACTGAAGAGAACTAGAGTATGAAAACCAGGGCTGGAAGCAGCAAGGAATGAATGAATACCTCTATCCCTGGGTTCCCCCAGGATCTCAAGCCCCCCCTAGCCCAGCACTGTCGCATCCTGCATATCCTCTTAGGAGTGAGCCCCGACTACTGATTATATTTGTGGTCACTCCACAATCAGGGACCTTGGCGACTGATTACTCTCTACCTAAGGAAGGAAGCATCAGCTGCTTGGTATCCAAATTGTCATCCTTGTCCATTAAATCTGACCCTTTTGAAGTGAGTCTCAATAAGCTTTTCAGGGGTTACTGACACTAGCTCAAGTTCAAGTGGCAGCTTCAAGCACTGTGTGGGTCTGGGGTTCTCATTTAGACCTGTCACCCAGAGTCATCTATCTATTGACAGTCTGTTTTTTGTTTGTTTTTCATACCCAAAGGGAAGAACTTCCCACACATTCCAACCCTTGATTCATTTAATCAGAGAGAGACAGCAACACAGTGCTCTCTGGAGACCTTCCATTGGTCTGTGCACAGACAGTCTGGTCTGGCTGCTTGGGTGCACATACTAGTTCCACAAGGCATGCTCACTACTGTGGTTCATGGGTCTGTCTGCTCCAGGGTATAGGAACTATTCTTGTGATATAGGCTGTGCATGTGTTCCTTTTATTGGTTGATAAATTGAGCAGATTTGTCCAAATGGCCAGGCAGAATAGAGCTAGGAGGGAAATCCAAACAAAGATAGGGAGAGAAAGAAGGAAGAGTAAAGAAGATGCCATGTAGCTGCCAGAGAAGCAAGATGTGAGGTAACAAGCCATGAGCCTCATGGTAAAATATAAACTAAGAGAAATGCATTAATTTAACTGTGAGAGTTAGTCAGTAATATGCCTGAACAACTGGCCAGACAGTTATAATTAATAATAAACCTCTGACTGTGTATGCGGGAACTGGTGGGCAGGAGACAAACCTCCATTTACAATTCTGATTTGCATTATCTCTGAGGTCCATCAATCAGCACACAGAGACATTCAGAAGATTGTGCCGAATGGACACCAGCTTGAACAAGATCTGAAGTTAGCAAGCAAATAAACAGATGGCTCACCTACCTGAAAGACTACTGAGTCGTTTTTGCTGTTCTGTGACAAGAGAAAAGAACACAACGTAAGTGATATTTATACAGCACCTGGCAAGACAGAGAAGTCCCAGTATAACTAATGAGGACATCATACTCTGGCCTTTGCTGTTTTCTGGGCTTGGATGCTAAAATGCATAGCCCAGCTGAGGCAGTGGTCATGATGTAGCTCCTATTATCCCAAAAATAGGAGCAAGAGGTCCCCAAGCTCCCTGACCTAGAGATCTGCACCAGGACTTGGGCCCGCCAAAGTGTTCTAGCAGTTCCCTCTTGTTTCAAGGTGACTTATCACTCATGACCCTTCCAACCCCTCTGGGCTCACAAAGATCTCATAACATCTCAGACTCTGCAACTTTTAGTAGTCACATTAAGAATCAGACTTGACAACTGCCATCTCCTAGCTTGCCAAGTGACAGTCCTGTTGTAAGAACTTTTCATCTAGCATTTGAAATCTTAGCAATAGCTTTGGCTGTTAGGGTACAGCTATTTTCCTCAATGAACATCCTTACCCTGTAGCTTAGTCACTGAACATCTGCCCACACCAGGGTAATAGAGAAATTCTAAAAATTATCAGTATTAGCTAAGGCATAAGGGCCTTAGATTACTCAAGATAACACCAACACCCATCTGGTTCTAGAACCAAAATCTCCAGCTTAGAGTCCCCAGCATTTTTCCAGTCCTGGTGACCTAGTCCCCGCTGTCCTTAATGCAGTTGCTCACCCTCCTAGGTAATCATATGCAGGGGAGGCCTGGGTCTTGTTGGCAGCATTCTGTGTGCGCTCACTATTCGATAAGCACAGATGTAACCTTTACCTTCTACAGCTGCCGAGTATCAAGCCGAGAGATAAAAATAGACCGTGCTGGCCCATGCGCACTGTCACCCATGGCCAAATTCCTACCCTGATGCTAGCATTGGTGTGGGGGAGAAGTAAACAGAGCAGTGTAGGAGCTCCAGTCCAGGGGACTGGCAGCTGTCCATCAAAGCTTTATGCATGGGACTCGCACCACCTGCACTAGACGCCTAGTGGAGTTCCAAGCTCAGCTAGGCAGACAGCTCGCCATATGAAATGACCTCAGTTTCCTCATCTGTATGCAATGTCACAGTTCTATGGCATCTAAAGGGATTTATGGGTGCCACATTCTATTCTGCAAGGTACAGCAGGGTCCTCCTTTTCCAGCAGAAATAAATGAAGTAATTAACAAAGTCCTGTTGCTCCTATATCGAAGGTGTGCAATGGCCGTTCATTCACAGGACATCACCCAGACAGTGGCGCCGGCACTGGAGTGATGCTCGGACTGTCCGTGTCCACAGACACACACACAGTGGCGCCGACACCGGAGTGATGCTTGGACTGTCCGTGTCCACAGACAGGTCTTGCTTTCCAAGGTGGTACATAGCCAACCACAATGGCCTGGCAAACTTTCTGAACTCTGGAAGTTTGTTCTTCTATCCTATCCCCAGAGCTCCTGAATCTGCAAGTTAACTAGACTCTCATAATCTAACACATAGAAGAGGCAGAAAGATCCTGAATAGGGGACCATGTGCCTCCTTCAGTCCTGATTCCCTGACTGCGGGTAAGCGATGCCATGAACACACTGGCATCAAAGTTCAAGGAAGGGTGGAAAAGGGACAAGGGTCAGTGCTGCCCACGACCACCAGAGCTGGGCCAGAGGCTCAGTGCCTGTCTGTCCCTCGTGTCAGGAGGCTGGCTGGGGGAGACAGGATCACTGCCAAACTGTGCCCTGTGACAGTCTAGACAGAAAGAAAAAAAAAAAAAAAAATGGAACTTTTTTTTTAAGGATGACTAAACTAGAATTTCAGATATAGAACAAAGTTATCACCACTTAGGAAACTTTGCAATAGTTAAGAAACTGTTCTTCTGTGAGGAGAAGCAGAGACGCCAGGCTGGGTACATTCCAAAACAGTATCAAAAGTATTTGATGTAAACCCCAGTAATGGACAGCCTCCTTCTTCACCCTTCCCTACCTTCCCTGACCTACCTAGGACGAGCCCTCAGTTTTCCGCTTTACAGGAAACCACGGCTAATTTTTAAAAAGCCCCTTTGGATCATTACTCACATGCTTTTCTGAAGGACGGTTCTAATTTCTGAACCCAGAAGCAGGCCTAGCTCAAGAGAAAAGCAAGAACCAAAAGTCCTTTCTGATGAATACGAAAATTTCACTTATTCAAGGAAGAAACAAAGAGGGAACTCAGGCATTTTGGTGCCTGAAAACATCCCTGTAGGTGTTGTCAGAGGGACTTGGCAAAAGCAACTGACATTACGCTTGGCATTTCCCAAAAACCAAGTTGCCTTGGGAATAAATCCCATTTTTTTTTTTTTTTAAAAGAAACTGCCTTTCTTTCTGGGAACCAACTTGCTTTTTAGAATAATGAGGCATGAAGGAGTTCACAGAGAGGCTTTTACTTTTTGCTGCATTTTTCTTTGTTCTACATGACAGACACTGGCAGGGAGAGCTGCTGCCAGGGAGGGTGGCAGAGCTAGAAGGGACACTTAGATGTAGGGCCCTTCTGTTCTTTGGAAGAACACTGGGGCATACAGTACGAAACAACAAAACCCGAAACCACTAAACCTACATGTTTTAAGTGAGAGAAAATGTTTTATGTACTGACTTTTCCAGTTAGAAGCAGGAAAGAGAAAGCTCTCCTCAGTGTGGAAAGTGATGGAAATTAGGTTTTAGGCCCACCTTCTCTAAGGGAGGGGCAGGAAGGGGAGGAGACTATGAAGTGGGTGAGGGAGGTGACAAGAAAAGATTTAGAACCAAGCTTTGAGCTATAGACAGTACACGGTCCTGCACTGTTCCCAGAGTTTAACGTAGGGAGAGATGGCCTGAAAATGTCCCATTTCATCTTGAAAAAGGACTTTTATAAACACAAACTTTATGCCTCTATGCAACTCCAAAATGGAAAAGTTGGGATTTAGAACCATTGCCTGAATTTTAAAGCAGAAAGGTAAAAATATATAATGAATACTTCAAAGGTCTTGGGTTTTAAAGACCCTGAGGCCCCTTTAGAGATGCAGCAGGACCAACTAGAACAGCCAGAGGAACTATTGGAATCCATCAGAACCCCTACGCAGAGCTGTCTGGGCCATGTGGATGCAGTGCAAACAGACATACAAGTCTCTGCCACAGAGACTGCCACTGGATGACCACTTACCACAGAATCTGTTGGGGGAAGAGGACTAACCAATAACTAGGAGAAAATCTAGAAGCCTCTGTTACAGAGGTACAGTTAAAAAAAAATGCTTTACATTGTAGACAATCATCTACTCAGTGTTTCCTTTTCTGAATTCTTGTATTCAAAACTGCACTTTCTAGAAACTTACTACTTTGAACAAGTCAGTCATTTATGACTGCACCTAGAGGACAAATTGTAGCCACATGTTTGAGGCAAAGCACCATTACAAACCATACAATGAAGAGCCAGGAGGCACAAACTTTCACTTTTGTACACTAACTGTCTGAAGGTAAACACAAAAGAGAAGGTATAAGCAACGAACTTGAAGTAGCCCAGCTTTATAGAGACCTGACATCATTGCAGATCAGATCTCCCTGCTAGGGCTGACAGACTTGTGGGTCCTACAAGGAAGCTGGGGCAGATGGCCTGGAGCAGGGTTGGGGGGAGTTGCTGACTACAGCACCCTGCAAGAGGCCGCCTTACCTCGATTGTGCTGCAAAAGCACGATGGTGGGGTTGACAATTGTGGTGGAGGGGTAGGCAGATGACGGTTTGCTTGTTGGAAGGAAGGCTTGGGAATCGGTTTCAACATGGGAAGAAGAAACTTCGTTTATTAAAGGACTGCCCTGAAAAACAAAGCGTTAGAAAGAAGTGTGAACACAAGACATCTAGAATTAAGGCTCTGTAAGAAAAAGGAATGAAACTCTCTACAAAGACGTTATTTATAAACAAAAATGTAACCAATGAGTCAATTCCAGTTAAATTGGAAATGTATTCTCCTTGTTGGTATTAGTAAGGGGAAAGAGAAGACAGGGAAGTAAATGTTGCTCAAAGTCTCAGAATCGCCCATTATTTTTACCTAGTAATAGTTGTGTATCAATCTGGTTACTAAAAAGCAAATCCAAATCAAAATAGAATAGCATGCAAAGTCATGCAATTCCAAATGCCATCCAAGAATGAGAGCTGGTTAAGTGGGAAAAGCCAGGGAAGTTTAGGCACCTTGTAGAGAGTTGTCAGACAAGTCACTGAGATACGAACAAAGAGGAGCCCCTTTGTGAAGGCTCTCAGAGAAGTAAGTTACTGTGACTTCAGAATCACTGTGCAAATTCAGCAGCTGTGGCTTCTGAGATCTGAGCAGGACCCTTCCCTTCTTCTCTCCAGCTCAGAACAACTGAGGTCCTTCGAATCAAGACATGGGAGAACTCTGACTTAAAAAAAACCCAGACTGCCACTGGAAATATCAACAAATGACTAACACTTTTAAAATACGATGTTTCCTCCACCATACTTATAGGTTCTGCAAAGTTTTTACTTGATGTCACTCAAATCTTAAAGCAAAGATGGTAATCCCCCATGCCCCAGTTCTGGGGACTGAACTTAGGGTTGGGCTAGGTAAACACTATATCCTCAGGGTAGCAATTCTTTTTTCTTTCTTTTTTTTTTTTTTTTTGTTTGTTTTTTGTTTTTGTTTTCCTTTGTTAAAGACAGTGTTTCACTATTTAGCCCAGGATAGCCTGAAATTCCCTATGTAGATCAGGCTGGCCTCAAACTCAGTGATCCACTTGCCTCTAGGCATGCACCACTATGCTTGGCAAGATGGCATTCTTAAAGGGCTTTAAGAACAAGATTTTTGGTAGCTATTTTTGAAACAATTACACTCAGAGGCAGCCATTGCATCACCTACAAGACAAGGACCACATGTCTCCCTCTTCTGCCACCACACAACACAACACCCTGCAAATAGCAGGTGCTCAGAGAAATACTATATAAGTGACAGAAGCTATCTACAAGCAAGGGAGTGTGTGGGCTAAGCTTTGTGGCAACAGAATGCTCATCAGGAGAGGTGCGGATTCAGCACCACAGACAGCTCTTGACACACAGTAGGGACTTTGCTGCTGATGTCTTGGATGGGCTTTGTTTTAGATGGTTCCTGGATAGCCACTTCTATGAGCTCAATTTTGTGAGTAAGATATTTTTCCAAGGCTTGAGGGGTTTGTATCAACTTATGGCCTGGATGCCACCCATGGGGCATCTAGAAGGGGAATCAAGCTGTCTGCTTTTAATCTCTTACTCTGTTACCTAAAGCCAAAAATAAATGTTACTAAGCCAACTTCTGGAGAGTCTACTGCAGAACAATTAGGCCAGTTGGACCAATTGCGTACGCTGTCCCAACTAATCTGCCCTGGCACACAAACAAACGCAATACACAAACCTAGAGCTAAACAAATGCTCAACAGCAAGATGGCTTACAGTAACATCTGAGTGCTCTCTGGTAAGACTCACTATATTCGCTTGCACAGAGAAACACACTGGAGAGATACCAGTACACCCTAAAGCAGAAATGCCTTCAAATTTCCCTAGAGGTTCAGCTAAAGAGGATGGGTATACATCAGTCTACTGCAGCAGAGATGAGATCCAAAGTTCAAGTAGAAGAGTCGAACTCGTGGTTTTATCTGCCCTGGTCCTGGTCTAACTGCCCTGGGCTGTGTCTGGAGATTTGAGAAGAGGTCCAGCCCATGATGTAATAGTTCCCAAGCTTCTGTGTGCACCATTTCCCTACAGAGCCAAATAAAGTTTCCTTCCTGTTCTCCGATTCAGCTTAACAAGCCATTTAAGACAGTTTCTTGTGCATACTTCTTCCAACTGAGGACGCTAATAAAGGTTTAGTTCGGTCAGTAAATACATGATACTCAGCTCACTGTATACATTGATAGCAGTGTTTCCGGCCCCAACATCAAAACCCCTTGGATTCTTATGATCAAGTGAGAGGCCCGAGCCCTAGCCCCTTCTCAGACCCACTCAATCAAAATTGTGATATATAAACTAGACTTCTCTAGGTTGAGAGCAAATGTACTCTTTGACTCCTCCAGATCATTTAAGACCAGGAGCCCTGGCTTGCTGCAAGTAAACCTGTGAAACCTAGCTGCTTAGAAGATGATAGGGATGAAGCCATCACTAACTAATCAGTTACTTTAAGTTCTTCATTCACTAGGCAAAGTCCTCAGCAATGTAGCTAACATTAGCCAGAGATTTCACCTATGTTGAGCTAAGCCATGAGTTCCTATCACGGGAAGAGTTACTACTCAACACCACTGAACCCTATGGCCTCTGAGGGTCCTCATATTATGACTTATGATGACATTCATTCAGATTCTCTCATCCTGGGCTCACAGGAAAGGAGACGTATTGTGCCAGAAGCAACTGGACTGTCTGTGAAGAGACTTATACTGAACAGGCAAGACCTTTTGACTTCCCACAATTATTAACATACAAGTTTGCTACCAAAACCATAGTGGCCTCCTCCTCAGGGGCCCTAGCAATTGTCTGTCTTGTGAGAAGGCAGTAACACAGAGATCTGTGCATCCATTTACTCAGCTCACATTCCCCTCTCCCTCCCACCCCCCTCTGCGCCTCCCTACCCCATTCTCTGAGCCCACTTCTGAAATCCGCCAAAAGTCAAACTTTTCCTCCCCATAATCTCTCTGCTCCCTCATTTCTTAGCATCACACCTGCCTGTGGCTCTCCACAGGACCCTATACCTTTTCTCAGCCTCCTTTGCTTTATCTGCTAGGCCTTGGAAGACCAGGACCAGGCAACAGGTGCTTCTCAAAGGGAAGACAAAGTTCCATCAGTAAGACATGCATTCCCAATAGAGCAGAGAAGAGAAGGTTCTTGAAAGTCAAGAGCAGCCACAGGTGGGCCCACAGGATGCACGTGGGACGCATGCACTTGGAGACAGCAAATACAGGTCCAGCCATCGCGCAAGCACAGTGGCCAAGGCCCCCTCAGAACTTAGTACTTCAGTGAGAAAGGGAGGGTTTTACTGCCAGGAGCAGGCATTCAGGGAGGCTGCAGGGAAGGGGGTCCAGCAAGCTTACGGTACTTGAGACAGCTCCCGGGAGGTCAGGCTCCAAGGCTCTGTGGAGGTCCTCCGGTATGGGAGGGACCAGCGGAGGTGGTGGTGAGGGTGGTGGCCTCTGGCTAGCAGGGGGAAGGGAGCCACAAGCACTGGCTGGCTGGCTGTGCTGGGGGCGCCTCTGCAGATGAGGGGGAATGAAATCATCTAATGTCGGGAAGGTCAGAGGTGAGGCAGCAGGGGTAGTCGCCTGGACAGTGTGGACGCAGCCAAGTGGCCCCAGAGATGCTGGAGTTGTGGCAGTGCCTTCTTGCCCTCTGTCAGTATTAACCAGGTAGAGAGGGACAACTATTACCTCAGACGGGGCTGGGCTGGAGGAGGTGGCATCCTGTGGGAAATAATGGGTGGTTATGCAAAGGGGACTGCAGAGAGGCAGGAATTCCACATTAAAACAGTTGCGCACCGACATGCAGTGATGCACTTTGAGAAATATTTAATCAGTGCCCTTTCCTCAGAGTACATGAGACAGTCAGTACTAGCCAGTGGTAGCCAGCTGGCCTCCTGACACTCTATGACACAGAGGGAGCCCCATCCAAGTTCACTTTCCATCCATCTATTTTTGAATCCTTTGAACGCTTTATGAGAGAGAAAGAGCAAACCAACAGAATATGCAGGCAGGCAAGCAGGCAGTGTCTCACGCCACTAAACCACCACAGAGCCTGCAAGCTTGGGAGTAAATACAATTTCTCTGGCACCTTGTCATAGGATAGAAACACTCTCTCTCACCACAGTATTAGTCGAAGAATTCCGCGCTCTGGCATACTGAGATATTTACAGAGAGAGACAGGGAGACAGAAGAGGCTATGCTGGGAGGTTTAGAGATTCAAGCACCGTAGCCCTAATGAGGAAAGGAGTAATAGGAAAGCCCAGAGAACAAGTGAGCCACTTGGAAGAGACAGCGTAGAAGACACACAAATATTCCTAGTTTCTTGCCTTGGCTGGATAACTCGGCTGCAAAAGGTAAGTTTCTTTGTTCTTCTGGTTTTCGGGATCAGAGGTAACCTGGGGGCTTAGCACGGGAGGCCTCACTGCATCTGGGAATGAGGCCCATGTGCCCAGTGTGGGATTCTCACCAAGGTTACCAGCATCTTTGCGGTGGTCAGAGAGTAGCTTGGGAGGGTCAGGAGGAGGAGCAGGGGGTGGTTTTCCTGTGCTGGCTGTGGCTGTGCCAGGGAAAAGGCCGGGAGCTGGTGCCTGGGTGCCTGCAGCCTCCGAGGGAGTGTCTTTGGCTAAGTCACGTGCAACAGGAGAATAGTTTTCCAATGTTGCCCGGCAAATGTTATTGGGTAAACACGGGACATATAAGCTGCTGACCTTTTTATTCCCTGTGGCCTCATGACGTGGGTTAGAGCTCCCATTCTTACTGTACACTAATCTGGAGGCTACATAGTGTTGCTGGGGTTGAGAGGAAGCATCAAGGACCATGGACCCCAAAAGCAATGGACCAGGACACACCGCACCTTTGGGAGCCAATCTAGCTGCCAGGGGGACAGAGGTGGGCAGAGGCAGTGAGGCGTTCTGCTGGATGAGGGTGCTGGAAGGGATGTAAGGCTTTGGTGAGCTCATGTAGAGGGAGTCCTTGTAGTTGCAGTGGATGGTGGGGGACTGCCATGCAAAGCGGTCCTTTTGAGGGAAAGGAAGGCGTGGGGGAGACAGACCCTTCAGTAGTGGTTTCAAGACATGACATCGGAACAGGGAGAAAGAGAGAGGAGGGGAGATGGAGAGAAGGGTCGTTAGAAACAGCAGCACAGCATGATAAAAGACAAAACAACTCTTGACAGACTTGGCAGCAAACTCTTCCGGTGCCCACAGCTGTCGTCTGGGCAGCTCTCAGGACTGACTCACTTACCTGCAGGGCTGGCCTGACTCACAAGCCAGGGAGGCCAGCTCCAACACCAGTGTTTGTTTGGCTGTACCTCTACTGACTCCCTGACTCAAGGACATGCTCAAGAGGCAATCTGCAAGTGGATGAAGCCCCAGAGTTGGGTCCCTGAGTCCTTGTTCCCACACAACCCCCCTCTTATTGAAGCCCTTGGTTTTAAAGGTTTAAGTTCATCAGACGCGAGGCCCTCCTATATGTGTGTTCACAGAAGGCAGATGTCTTCTTTTAGCCCCCCGGGTTCAGCTCTCAAGTCTACAAGCACACAGAGTTCACTAAGGGGAGGAGGACATTCAAGACTGTGGATCAGACGGCCATCCAGAAACAATAAATAGCCTACGCCTTAAATGCAAGTTTGAAATGACAGATGATAGATAGTGTGGGTGACAGGTGACCGTTTAGGTACTCCCGGTTAACCAGATCCGTACCTTGTCCCACTGTACCGCAACAGTGCTAATGGAGCTTGGCCATTTATACCAGCCCTGAATCCACAACAAAGAGAGAGCCCCTTTGGTGTAGAGCCCCTCTGGAGCAGAAACTGTCACATTAGCTATTGGGTTTGATGAACTTGGACTGAGTGCTAGAACACTTTGCATTAATCTTACAATTTCTAGAAACGACTGAACTAGCTCCCACCATGGGGACTATCAAGTAGGGATAGGGCTGATGAGAAGCACACAGAAAATCATTCTGATCTGGGCTCAGATTTACTTTGACTTCACACTAGAGTATCTTATTTCTTTTGTCCAAAGATAGAAATCTGTTTCTGAGTTTTAAACTTAATTCAGTCACGGCCATGTATGGGTACCAGGGCTGCATGACATCAGGCACAAGCCCTCCGAGGGTTGTGACCCTGCAGAGAGGACACTTCCCCAGAGGGTCCCCAATACACATAGAGTCAAAGGACTTCCTGTCTTGGGGCTTCTTCTAACTCTAGAGAAGGAGGAGTTAGGCTGAGCAAGAACACAGAGGAGCAGCTTTTTGCTTCATTCTCAGTACTGCAGCCCAACCTGCCTACTGACACTAATGAAATTTACTTCTCTTTTTAGAATGTGGGTCTACAGGAGAGGGGGGCTATTTGGAAAAAGTGTGTTCATAGCACATAGCTTCCAGAAACTACCAAGCCTCGTCTACTGGGACTATCATGCTGATGATGACATCACAGAAAGGGACACTGAGGTTCCTACCCTAGGAAAAGAGAGAGGCAAACCTGAACACAGAATTTCCACCTAGCCCATCCGTCTTCTAAACCTCAACTCAGTCCTTAAGGGAAGATGTTCTGCCAACAGATCCATAAACTCCACGGGGCTGGAATAGAGCCAAGTAGTTAGCCAGCCTGCCTCACCTTTATTGAAGGCAGCGTGTAATTATAGCAAGTACTATACAGATAAGGAGTTATGTTTACTTTCAGAAAATAAATCTCTGCAAAGTAACACAGGACATAAAGTTCTTGACATTCAAATGGAAAATCTTACATTGAATGTACAGAATAAAATTCTTGCATCAGCTGTTTGCCAGTCTCCCTAAAGACAGCACAGAAAACTTGAAGTTGAGTCACAAACAGATCAAAATAAGCTGGTGCGGATATCACAGGATGCTCAACCTTACAAAACAGCTTCCCTTGTGAACTCCTTGAGGGCAATGTTTAGCATACTGGTCTGAGTACAAGTACCTAATAAATTTGTGTTAAATACATGTATTTTCAAAGGATTCATCTTTAACTCACATGTGATATATTGACTTATATAGTGCTGGAAAATGAGTCCTGCCTGGGTCTTGTACATACTAGGCAAGTTTTTCACCCATGAAATACAATCCTACCCTGGACCACGCTGTTTCTGTGTTCACAGAAACAAGAGGCAGAGGAGGGTTAGCCTTTGGGCTAAGTCACTGATGCTGGAAGACAGTGTACTTCAATGTTTGCTTTGACTTGATCCTGACCGTGTTCTAAAATGGGTAGAACAACAGTATCCATCCTTGAGATGGCTAGGAAGGAGGAAGTGCGGCTGCCACAGATGGCACATTACATACTCAGAAAGCTTCAGAAGTGGGAAAATTCCCGCAAGATATTTAACAGACAAGTGACCTCTGGGAAGCCAGGCATCTCCACAGCTCCTGGTTCCAACCAGGGCCTAGATGTGCCAGGTTCAAAGTGTGTGTGGGGGAGGGGAGGGTAAGTCATGGCAGTTGGCAGAAAGGCTTTACTGTGCAGCTCATCAACAAGACAGATGAGGGGCCAACTATAGACCCTGGGAGACAGGTCTGCACAGAGGGATGATACCACCTGACGTCCTTGTGTGTTCTAGGACCACTAGAAGCACAGGCGCTTGTACCACCCAGGGATCTTTGGAGCAGAAGCATCTCCTGTAAGGAAGATGGCTCCATCCCACGTAAGTAGTTCCTCCTCACACAGCATCCTTCACACACCACTGCAATGACAGGCCCTATTCCTTTTAACAAAATAACAAAGTATGGGGTGGGGAGGAAGAGAGGGTAGAAAACCATCCAGCACAACCAAAGTCATCCCCATTCCAAATTGTAATAGCTGCAGAGGGCTGTCGTCCATGCAAGTACTAGCCATGATAATCCTGCTTAGCTTTCAAAAATCACACCAGACTGTGCCTGTCCGGGTGGTATGGCTGTAGATGGGGGGTTTTATATTGCAGAGCAGAGTTGGCCTGGCAAGCCAGCCTGTGCTGCCATTGTGAAAATTTTGTCCTCAGGCCTTTGGGCTACTTGGTTTATGGTGTGGCCACAAATAGGTGCTGTTAAGCTGTGAGGACAGTGTTCAGAGTCTCAGCTTAGGAAAGCTAATGGAGTCAACACCAGAGGTATTCCTCTAATGTTGCTCAGAAGAATTCCTTAAGAGTAAGGTCAGACTTCCTCCTACCTGTCCAATGCTAAACCAACTCCTTCTTTTAGAACCCTCCCACATGTATACAAGCCTAGGAAACAGCAGGCCTATTTCCAACACGCACATAGACCAATCTCATCCCATACTCCTGTTCCCTTTGATCCCAACTCTTTTTCTAAGAAAGCTACTTCAAAGATGACCAAAGACTAAACCCCCACACCAAAATCTAGCTGGGCTAGCAGGAAGTCATGAGTTTGGGAACAGGTATCACTAACAAGTTCCCACCCATCTGTGGGCACACACCTACCTGGGGCTTGTCAGTAGAAAGGCTGGGGTGCACGCTTCTATAGCCCTTGGCAGCAAGTGGGGAGGGCTGGGCATTGCCATTGGCATCACCCCGGGAAGAAAGTCTCCACTCATCTGAGAAAAGAAAACAAAAACCCTCATCACTCACAGGTAACACCCGCTGGCTTTCCTCCAATTCCCTGGTGCCCCGAGACACAGACGGTAAGAAAGCAAGAAAAGCCATACCTGCTGAAGGGTCCTCCTCTGGCTCCAGGCCTGTGCAAGGAGCAAGAAGGATGAAAACAAAAAGGGAAAAGCAGAAATGGGTTACGTTTGCGGGAAGCAAGCATGAAACATACTGGCCGACGAAGATCAGCAGCCCTAGTCTGACAAAACGCCCTCAGTCACGACGGCCCCATTACCATAGGAACCCACTTGAAACCATGATGTGTTCACAGGCGCTGACCTTTGAGAACACAAGGCGACATTCACAGGAATGAAGAAACAATTGTTCCTTGACATTCTTACTTTACAGACTGAAAGGCAACAAGCAGAACTCTCTGCTGTCCAGTCCTTCTCCGTCTCATTCCCCATCCCAGAGCCTGCTGCAGGCTCAGCATGGGTGCACCTTAGCAGGCTAGGTTAAATGGGCCCCAGTAGTAGAATATGACTAAAGCCTCAGTAGCATGGTTTTGTTTGGGGTGGGGGGGCGTTGTTTGCTTGTTGATCCCGGTCTCCATTCCATTAAACAAGGTACAAAAACATTAACAATATGGGCCGGAGAGGGCTCTGCTACATAATCGTTGAGGACAAGAGTTCAAATTCCAGTACCCACAGAGTAAGCCAGAAATCCCACAAATGCCTGCAACTCAAGCTCCAAGAGATCTGAAGCCTTTTTCTGGCTTCCACCAGGGGGATGGAGTTATGGGGGAAGGAGAGCACACACAAATCTAATAAAAAAAAAAAAAAAAATTAAACATCCACATCTGAATTGACTTCACATGACAGATCAGAGTCAAAATGCAGGTGTGCTAAAAATAGGCTACATGTATGAAGTTATATGAAACACAAATGAATCTCATGTTTCGGCTTGGGTTCCTTCCATAGTGATCTCCGTTATTTATAATGCAAATGCCCTAAGATCTAAAAGAAAAAGATAGGAAATACTAAGCACCTCAAATAAGACCCCGTGACTCTGTGACTGTGTTAACAAGGAACAGCCATAGATAACCCATAAATGAATGAGCTGTGTCCCAAATACCTTATTTATGAACATTAAATTCAGTATTTCAAAGGCTTTCACACGGTATATAATATCATTCTTCTTTGCATTTTTCTATCAGCCAATTTAAATATAAAAGTCATTCTTAGCGAACTAGCGGGGTTTTGCTCTTGGCCAGTTTGGCCACCCCTACTCTTGCAATTCTTTCACAACCTGTCCCTGTTTCCTGAGGAGCCTCCTTTTCTCACTCCCGTAGACACGAGCAGGGGACTCACTGTCCTTGTGGTCCAAGCCTCCACTGTGAGTCTCTCAGACCAACTGTAGACTGCTCAGATGACAAGTTGAGATGTGCAAACATTTATTGAGATGTGCAAACCACGTGTCAGACATGGTTACACTTTACACCTATTTAGTACTTAATTTAATTTAATGCTTAATGTACTTCATGGATGAGCAAAGAGAGAGGCCAAATGCTTTGCCCTGTAGACAACTTCACACAGGAAGGGACAAAGCAGTACAGTGCCCCAGCTACCACCCACAGCTGCCAACTATACCAGTAGCCAGGGAGATGCTGGAGGCCAGCAAAAGGCAAGGCGGGTGGCTTATGTCCCACAAATAGCATGGTCTAGCCGCATCAGTCAAGGAGAAGTCTTGGTAAATCCAGATTGATGAGACTTACTCCAGTATTTATGATCCAGCAAGAGAGATGGGGGCCTAAGAGTTTGCATTTCTAACAGTTCCCAGTGATGCTGACAGCGGCGGTTCATAGCCTAACTCTAACAACTACTAGATGGCACACTAAAAAAATATCCTTATTTTGGGACACCTCTCAAGGCTCAAGGGTCATCGCAAAAGAAGAAGCAGAAAGACTATAAAAGCCAGAGGTAATGGAAGTTACGATGCAACCTTTTCCCGACTAACAGGGAAAATGCACATATGAACTCACAGCAATTCTAACAGCACTGAGAAGACCTCCTGCTACCCAGAGACAGAGGAAATTTGAGTTCAGAGTAGGGGAGTTGAGGTGCTAGTTAGCTGTCTTTGAGAGTGGGTAGGGAGGTGGGAGCAGGTCTGCAAGGGGCTGGAAAGGTAAATATGATCAAAATACATTGCATGATATTCTCAAAGAATTAATACAACTATTTCTAAAATATCCTTACTTACGGAAAGACAACTTATTGCTATGCCCCCAAAGACCAGAATTGTAAGGTGACTCAGTTATATATACTCTTGTATAGATAGGTTGCCTATTACATCTTTGGCACTCCCTTATAGACAGTTCATAGCTGTCTTCTCCAACCGCGGCCATGTTAAACACTCATATGGTATGCGCATCACACATACTACTATGTACTGGCTGTGTAACCTTTTTCAAGTTGGTATTTCTAGACACTCTTGTTGGACCACTTCTCAAATGTATTAAGTTTATATATACACCAAATGACATCAGGCTTCAAATGAGGAGTTATTTGATGGTGAAGGTAAACGCAGCACATAGACTTAGGGACACATTATTTTGCCTACTTTTTGGCTTCCCATTGGGTTGGTTCTAGTCAAGTCACACTGGCAGTCATGTCAGTGACTGTTTTTCTAAACCTATGGGCATCAGAAGAAAGCCATCCTCATGCAATCAGATCACTTCCTGTGAGCTCAATCGTCTGCCTTGTTGACTGTATATCCTCATTTGCAAAACAGTCACACGCCTAAAAGTATATAGCACAGGGTTGGCAGAGATGGCTCGTGAGAACATTGTTGCTCTTGCAGAGGACCCAGACTCCAGTCCTAGCTAGTCAGTCCTGACACATCAACTTGGTGATTGAAAATCAACCCTAACTCCAGTTCTAGGGAATTTGATGCCCTTTGCTGACCTCTGCAGGCAAAACATTCAAACACATAAAATTAAAATAAAATATATGGCTTTATAAAATTGGAGTCTAAAACACACTGAGAGAAATCCCCACAGGGTATATGTGTGTTATTTATTACACTTTTGGTTTTTGTGTGCTTTATGTCAATGTGTGGAATATCCATATACATCTTATATATGTTTGCATGTGGAGGTCAGAGGTCAACAAATGAGATTCCTTCAGTCTCTATCATCTTGCTTTTTACAACAAGGTCTCTCACTAAACTCAGCACTCACTGATTCAATTAGACTGCTCACCAGGAAGCCCATAGGACCCTCCTGTCTCTCTCTACTCCAGCACTGCGGTTACAGACATGAACAACTATGTTGAGCTTTTACATGAGTACTGGGGATGCAAGCTCAGGTCCTCAAACTTGCACAGGAAGTCCTGAGCCATCGCCACAGCCCCATCTGTTTTAGAAACAGGATCTTACTGCACAGTATTTGGTGTGTAGCCCAGGTTGGCCTCAGACTCTCAGCAATCCTCCAGCTTCTGCCTCCCTAGTGTTGACATTATAAGTGTGCACCACCACATCCAGCCTAAAACACCAGAAAATCCCCAAACATATATAAATTACAGTATACGATCCCTCCATTTAGTAAATTCAAAGTCATACTGTCCTTGGAAAATGACTTGGATTTCCCCCCCCCCCCTTCTCATTTCAAATCTTCAAAACCATTTCCTTCACTGTGCCCAAGAAGGTAGTTCCCAGGATTTCAATAAGCAGCTTGGTTACTTACTGAAGGACAGCAAATCTCTGGCATTTTGTCAGCCCTCATCCATTATCTTTTCTTCTGAACCTGGAAGGTTGGTAGCAGCCCAGGGCCAATTATATTTGAGAACACAAGGTGAAGTTTTACATACATAGTCATCAATTACGGGCTGCTGATGGAAGAGACTGTCAAAATGCTTCCTCCAATAAAATGGCTTGTAGATGGATTTGCAGTCTGAAGATCCTCAACCTTCTGGTAAAAAAAACATAATCTATTTTGCCTTGTATGCTATCTGCTCTTTATGTAATTTTTCCCCCCCGTGGCTAAAAGCCTCCAGATACTTGCTTTTATCTTATTCACTTTTAATTCCATTTCTGGTTTCTTACTTATTTTTTTTTTTAAAGCAATCAGTTCTTCTTAGGGTCTTAGGATACTTTTCACTAAGGCAGACTCACCATGGTCTGGAAAGAACTCACAAGGTAGATGATATGTGCTAAAGGCAGGTCTACTCGTGTTCCAGCTATCACTTATACTCTCCTTTTATTTATGTGTCATAGTGGAGGAAGTCATACCATGAATTAAAAAGTCTGGCCTTTACCCTAGGTAGGTAACTGCCAAGTCCCTGGAATGCTACACTGAATAGGAATGACTTGTTTACCTGAAGACTTGAACCACACCAATGTGATCTGGAGCCAGGGCTTTGAGCCAGTAAGAGCTTTACTGCTTACTAGAGTCGATAGGAGTCTTCAAGGAAGACAATGGTGCACACCTATGTTCAGAGCCCCAACTTTAGATAAAGGCTTACACACTGATGCTGGGAAATAATGTGTGTGGGATGCTCTGGTATTTTCCCAGAGCCTATACCATGCATATCTCTGAGCTGATTTTACTCTCTACCCTTCCCCTGTAATAAACAAACAGGCCCCTTGTAGCATTAGCACTGAGCCTGATGTGGTTTGAGGAGTCCCCTAAATTTGCAGCTGGCTGTCAGAAGGAATAGTGCTGTCTTGTGAGGGTCTTTCCTTTAACTTTTCAGTTGGCCCTGATTCTCACATGTGCACTTAAAATAAAGACTGATTTAGTGGGTAAAGAGGGTCTAATTTATGAGACATTTGCTACTGCCAATCAGAAGAGTGCTGCCGGATATTTGTACACTATGTGAAGGTGTATTGCTGTGGCTTAATAAAAAAAAAAAAAAAAAAACTTAATGGCCAACAGCTAGACAGGAGAGATTAGACAGGACTTTTGGGTAGAGAAATGAACTCAGGGGTTTAGAATCTAGGGGTATAAGGGACACAAACATACTGGACATTTAAAACAGAAATGAAGTACATGCCATGAGCTACATGGCAGGACACAGATTAATAGAATTAATAGAAACAGATTAATTTAAGTAACAAGATCTAGTTGGAAACAAGCCTACGCTAAAGGCCAAGCTTTTATAACTAATAAGTCTCTGTGTCATTACTGGGGAGCTGGTGGTCCCAAAGAAAGTCTGGCTGCAGAACAGAAAATGTGAGAACCACGCAAGAGGAAATGAGTTCATTGTGGCTGCAAGTCATTCTGTCCTAGGACAACTTTGCAGCAAATGTTGGGGCCAACTAGCACAGCGCCAAGAATGCAAGGAAATGTTAACATAGAGCATGGTGTATGAGTCTGGGGACAGCCTCTAAGGTAACAAGCTACACTGCCACCAGACTACACCAGAAAGACACTAGGAATTGCACCCACTACCAGTGCAGTCTCCTTCACTGCTCTCCCAAGCAGTGAAAACAAAATCACTGGCCTAAGACACTGATGAGTTCGCTCTGAATTGACACAGCAAATACCCAGACATGGCTGGGTTATAAGATCATGAAACAAGGATAAACATAATAAGGCTTCTCTCGGGCTTGGGAAGTCAGTACTAAAATTATTTCCACTCTTCTCAGGTGGTTCTAATGGTCCAAGGTCCATAATCAGGGACCTGGGGTCCAGTTACCACTCAAAAACAGGACTCCGGAACTACAGAAATGGTTCCCTGGTTAAGGGCCCTTACTGTTCTTTCAAAAAACCCTGGTCCAGTTTTCAGCACCCATGGGGCAAGGACCTATAATTGCAAGTCCAATGGCATACACACACCCACACAGAGACACAGACATACACATAGTCAGAAATAACATTTAAAATTTTAAATGTGTATATTTTAAATCAGGAGTCTGAATAGTGGATCTAACCGGGCCATCTCTAAGGGCCCCAGCTTCTTTCTCCCTAGGCTGATGCTCACACCTGCATTCCATCTTGGTAGTAGCAATCTCCTACAGAAGATTTCCCGACGCTCCTGGAGTTCATGTGGCTGTGTGGGACTCCTATATCCTGCCTGCGGACTTTCATTTCCAAATGCCGTCTAGAAATCCTCCTGGAAGCCCTTCTCTTGTCAGGAAATCCAGCACATTCCCTCCCAACATCCTTCACAAACCAATTCTCCATCTCCATGAGCAATATAATCTAGAAAGCCACCCTGTGGCCTGGAGTCCTTGAGTCTCGCATCAAGCCCTGTCACTTTATTCTTCAATGACCCTTTGTCTTGTCCTCCATCTCCACTGCTCTCACTCCTAGCCTAGAACATCAACCTTCAAGCTCAGAGGATTCAACCTTTAGCAGACCTCCTGACCCACGGCAACTACAAGGTGATTATGATAGGCCTGTACTGAGTGCTTGTTTTGAAAGAGTTCATTTAATGCCAATTCCAATATGATAGTACCCAATGTAGAGATGAGAAACTGAAGCCACCTAAGGTTGATGAGACAGCAAACGCCAAAGCCAAAGACAAGAGATTCTGGGACCATCTGTCTAGCTATACTTCCTCTCTCAAGAGAGGGAGTTAGGGCATTGGCTGAAAATGGGTGGTATCTCTGTAATTAAAGACTGAAGCGTCTAGACCAGGCTAACAGCCAGCAACATGGAAACCTACAGGGATGGATGGAGGTGGCAAAGATAAAGAGCACACGTGATGCAAATGGATCCAACAACCTCAGTTTACCAGGAGGAAAACACTTACTTGCGCTAAGATATGTTATCACTTTACTAACCCAGCATAATCCCTAACTACACTGAAGTATTTATCCTTACACCCGCAGGCAAGTGTGGTCCTCGCCCCTCATCGAGGAAACTGCTCTCTGCAACAGACAAAGACCATTACAGAAAAACCACAATCTGTTAAATGCCTAACTGTGAAGTCCAGTCCCAACTGATTCAAATACAACACATCTCCTGTACCTACGGCTCAGAGATCACTGTGGGGGCAGGGGCAGGGGCAGGGGCATGGCAGGGACGCAGAAAGATTCTAAGAGCCAGAGGAACAGTAAGTTTGCTGTGAGATTGGGTTGCCTAGTATCATCAGAGATGCTATAATCTATGAAATCTTACCAAGATGGCTGCCTCAACATGACCTGTACAAGGATGAGACCAACAGATATGACAAGGAGGAAGGGGGAAAGCTCACAAAGTCTTACCCTTAGACGGAGAACTACAGGCAACTAAGGAAAGCTGCAGCAGAAGTAGTCTTATCCAAGGAAGAGCTCATCGACTGGTTATCCAATACCAAAGGGTCAACCCAGAAAGCATATACATACAAGTAGCATTATACAGACAGAGCAGACTGTATTCATATATTTAGAAATGCACACACGCACGTACACACACACACACACACACACACACACACACACACACACTACCACCACCGCTGCCACCACCACCAATAACAACAAAGGAAGAGAGGCCATGATTTTAGTGAGAGTAAAGACTTGGGGTTCGTGAGTGAGGCTGGAGGGAGAAAAAGGAAGGGGTAAAGTGAAATTATACTATAATTTTTGTTGTTGTTTTGTTTTTCAAGACTGAGTTTTTTCTATGTAGCCTTGGCTGTCCTGGTACTCACTTTGTAGATAAGGTTGGCCTAGAATTTACTGAGATCCACCTGTCTCTGTCTCCCAAATACTGGGATTAAAGACATGTACCACCACCCCCTGGCTACCATAATCTTTTTTTTTTTTATAAAAATAAAATTATTTTTTTTAAAAAAACATTTGCATCAAGCAAAAGAATGTCTGTGTGCAAGAAATAAAATCAGACCCTCAAAAGGGAAAAACAAATGTGCATTCTTCCAAGTATTTGTATTGTAATAAATTTTAAAGACTTGCTGAAAAAGATTAATTTCTTTCCCATCGTATTTACTGGAATAAATTTATAGGACTTACCATAGGACAAAAGATGGTGCTTCCTAGACCACTTCAACCGCACACATAATTCTGTAGCACAGTAGTGCCATACCATGCACCATAGTTGAGAGCACGTGTTCTGAATTAGTGCCAGCTACAACCACTAGAGGGAGCCTTGAGCCTTGCGCAAGCCCTCTCTACTGCCTAAGGATTGGTCAGCTAAGGTTCTTTCCCTGGCTTTCCTCTTTGGATCATCTCTCTTCCCCGACACACCTTTCTAAAGAAATCATTTTGCCTTTCTTCTCATCAGCATCTTTCCCAGAGAAGAGAAAAATCGCAGACTGCAACAGGTCAGGAATGGAGAGTGGGCTTAGAAGACCAAGAAGCCCTACGTCATATTTTGGTGCTGAGGGCTGCTCAGGCCTTCCCTATGCCTAGGAACAAAGATGACCTCCCCAGGGTTCCATATCACCTCTAAGGAGCTCGTGATCGAATCCTAGCCTGGCCTCGTTCTCAAGCATCTATCTTCGTACCCATTATAGGTGGCTGGCTCAGGAAGTCAGCAGAAGCGAGCATTACTCATTTGCATCCTACATAATTCCACCATGTCACAACACACGCCTACCACTGGATCAAAAGTTGCAAGCCCTGTTTCCTTTACACTCTGATTCCAAGAGTGTGCTAAGTTTCCCAGTTTCCAGAGAAAAGAAAACCCATTTCCTGTAGCCATTTTCAAATGTGGTCCTTGGGCCAGCTCCACAGCATGATCTCAAAACTTGTCAGAAATATAAAATCCAAGACTCTGGGCTGGACAGGTGGCTCAGAGGTTAAGAGCACTGGCTGCTCTTTCCAGAGGTCCTGAGTTCAATTCCCAGAATCCACATGATGGCTCACAGCCAAATGAGATCTGGTGCCCTCTTTTGGCATGCAGGAATATATGCAGGCAGACCATTATATACATAATAAACACATAAACAAACAAATAATGGCTTTTAAAAATAAATAAATAAAATCAAAGACCCCCCACCTCAGACTTATAACACAAGTCTCAAACTCCAGGCCTGTCTACTTCTGATGACTGTGATGCAGAGAGAATGACATTCCTTAGAGACTAAACCACCCCAAACTATAGTAAGGATCATTAGGCTGGGCCATTCACTCAAAGCACATGACTACCTCTCAGTCCAGGGCCTGACCCACTAATAATCACAGAAGGGACAGAAGTCACGGTCCTAGGGAACCTGGAGAAGGACGTGGCTAATGAACTCCCTGCAGAACCATGGGGACATCTGCCGTCCCTTCTGAGCATGTCCCCTCCCGGTCTGCAGGGCAGCACACCCACCTGACTTGCTTTCATGTTTCGGAGATTCCTGAGGGCTCACAGGGTTACTGCTTGGGGTTTCCCTGTAGGAAGATGAGGCCCGAAGAGTCACTGTGCCTTTTCCAGTGCAGATTTTTGTAGGGTCCATGTCTGCAATGAAAAGATCCAAGGGAGAGGGTTAGATAAAACAAAATTCCTGAGGGAGTTGCATGACAGTCCGTTATCAGATGGTTACAGCAGAGGCATGAGATGAACCTGGTATGTCTATACCTACTTTCCAACCATTTATGGCCAATCTATGACCAGTGAAAATTAATCTGTGGCAGCATCATGAGATTAGGGAGAAGAGGCAAGGTATATGCTGAGTCAATGCATGAGTTAGGATGTCAGTTGAAAAGATTTCCCGATGGTAGCTGGCTCATTCCTTCTATGAAATGAAGTTCAAGTTAAGCAGATTTCTGGCCAGTTAGTAAGGCTCAGGGGAGAGTTTGTGAAAAGCTCTCTCAAGCTCACAGACCACCCTTCTCACAAAAGAGCCAGCAGACAATGAGGCGCGTCGGGACATCCTGAAGAGATGGTTGCTGCTTGCGTCTCTCGCTGGTCAAGACCCCTGAACTCTAAGAGAGCAGGAGGAGCTGTTCACACTCCAACATGCAGCCAAGAAGATGGCCAGACAGGCTCAGTCCCCATACAGCACAACAGCGTCCTCTGAACCTCTGCTTAATCTACACAGACTCCCAACCACCCACCTTCAAAAGCACCAGGGTCCATAACAGACCCTGGGCATCTTTAAGAAGACTCTCAAAGCAGTCATCCATATCCAGGGCTGTGTCCCCTGTCTGTCCCTATCTGTCTTATACCACAGACGATACTACATGAGCAATACCTTTTTCTACCCAATTTAAATCTTGCGAGGAGTTTCCATAAAGTTTCATTTAATCTGTTTGACTGTGGTTCACCATAACTAACTGACACCATGGTTAATAGAGAGGACTGCTTGCTTTAATAGGCCTGGTGCCCATCCTTCAGGAAAATCAGTGATGAGGCAGGAAACTGGTACAAAACACGCAATTTCACCGAGCACATGTGCCAAGTGTTTCCTTATGTGCAGCTGAGCTAAGCCCAACTTCACACTCGCTTCCCAGACCCCCTAAACTGCCCAGAATCCAGCTTCTACCCTCAACCCCACACTCACTTCCCAAACCCCCAAACTCCTCAAAATTCCTGATCTAAAATTTCTACAGTGAGGATGAGAGAATGAAACTCCAGAGTGTGTCTCTGGGCAGGACTCTGCATGCTACCCATGTCTGTCCGTGAGTGAGGGTAGTGTACAGCCAAGCCTCCTTCCTCCCTGCTCTCAGTCCCTGCCCAGCAGCCCTCTTCCATGGCAAGGAAAGCGTGTGGAAAACTCACAGCACCTAACCCCATCAAGAGAGTAGTTAAGTATTGGGAAAACCAGACCAAGGTTAATTCTAAGGGGTGAGAGGCAAACTGGCAAATCCACAGCCCATCTGTACAGTCCTGGACACACAGCCAGATCTCCACAATCCACTTGTCCCTCTTTGTCTCCAGGAAACTTGGAGTCAGAGCCTCAAATGAACCATTCACCCTGCCTCTTGGAGAGGAGAGGCAGGAAGTAACTGCAGGTGAAGCTCAGAGGGGCTGGATTGCTCTGGGGAATGGCTGGGGAAGCAACATTCAGACATCTATAGGAGCCTGACTCAGAAGTTCTCTGGGAGGCCAGGTTAACTCTCCCAGAAACTTGTGTTTGCACAGTCTCGGGAGTTGCAAAGTCCTTAGGAAAGACCCATCCTAGAGTGAATGCTCAGCCTCTGCCCTAACTAACCCTTCTAAAGCAAGGAGGGAAAGACTGCATGAGGCCTCAGACTCTTCCCTACTCCCTGGCTTACATGTCTACACACACACACACACACACACAGGGGGGGGGGGCGGGGGAAACAATTTAAGGGGAAGGAAATGCCTTCCATACATGCAAGGATTAGGGCTCACGGCATGGTGTTAGAAGCGAAGAAACCATGCAGGCTCTGCCACTGAAAAGAAACAGCCCCAAAGAGAGATACCTGGAGGAAGTACTAGGCCTGAAGGGCTTTTCACTGTCTTCACAGGAATTATTTTAACAGCAGAGATAGAACGAACACGTAAAGGGTCGGCAGTTGCTGAAAACACAAGAGGGTAAACGGTGCATCTACATACAACATTTGGGAGACGCTCACACAGTCGAGGAACCGGGCAGAGACAATAGAAGGAAGTTGCCCGTGCTAAAAGAACAATGCAAAGAGCAGTAGATGCAGTCATTAAAAATAGCCCGCTCTCTTTCTTTAGGGTTCTGGGCCAAGACAGCAGAAGCCTTTCTCCAACCATCATTCAGATAGAGTTGGTCGGTGTTTATTGGCGCCTCCTGGCACACCAGGAGCTTGCCAAGGTTCTGGACAAAGAGATGTACAGAGACACAGATGGTCTGGCAAGTAGAGAAAGGGGGACGCAATCAGAGTACAAGGTGTCCCCTGGTAACAGTGGGTCATCTGCTATGTAATTTGGGCTTTGGGGACAGGGTCGAGGGTGCAGGTGAGTACAGCGACAGGAGGAACATTCTCGGACGTCCCTTCAGTCCTCATAGTTGCTTCTCCCAAATCACACCTTTTAGGATCCTGTGCCTGCTCTGACAGTCATCACCCTCTGACCTCAAGCAACTCAAAACCCCCCATCTGTTGGGAAACAGATGGTCTCTCTCAAGCCCACCCTTTCCTGGAAAAGAGGTGTCAAGTGTCCAAGTGAATGATTAAGGCTCTGGGCAGCATCACAGTACACGGTGCTGGATGCTGAGACCCCGCCCCTTGCCTGCCTAGACCCCCATCTCAACGGCAGCAAAGAAAGAAAGGAGGCTACGGTGCCAAAGTGACTCGAATGGACTGTGCCCAAGGAGTAGGACTGCTTGGAAATTAGAGACCGTTGACTCAACATCGCATGACCGAGTTGTCAAGGAGGCAGGAAGGAGGATGGGAGGCCCCTTCAAAGTGGACAGTGATACCCCTGCCCACTGGGCTGCTGCTTTGCAAAGCATATAGCCGGCACAGAGTATAACGTCTGCAATAACTAAGTCACAAGTGATCATTCTGCGTGTGTCTAGTTAGAGTGAACTTTCCCAGGAGTCCTGTTAACTAACAACCTTACAATCATTTGGGAGGCTGTGTTGGGTTGGTGGCAAACTTGGGGTGCCATTTTCAGAGGAAGAACACCACACTGTGTTCTTAAGGAGCTTGGTTATCCTAGCTCCGTGACCTTAGCAAGCCACTCTGATGACCTTTGGGTTATCCCTGCCTCCTTGTTTCCTACCAAAGGTGAGTCTTACTGTGTCCTCCCTCTGCCCCCCAAAACAAACAAACAAACAACAAAAACCTCTCAAGTTTCTTCTATAAACAGATTTACAGAGTGGATCTAGTAGTCCCAAGATTTCAAAAGCCCCTCCCATGTTCCTGGTTTAAATACTCCTTTGCAGCCTTTCCACAGCCCTGCCCCTCCATATTCCTGAAGTGCGAGGTAGCCGAGATGGGCCAGACCTCCAGAACACAGCCCATTGGACTGACACAGTGAATGCAGGCGGGACCAAGACAGCACTGTCTCCAAAGAGCTCAACCTCAACCCACCCAGATCCCTGCTCTCCATTTTCTACCCTCTGCTTTCTCTCTCCAGGGGTTTCTTTTGGGTGAACATCTTGCCTTCTCAAAAGGATGATTTGGATGCATCCGATGAAAATTACAAAGGCTAAACATGACAAACCCTGAAATTACACTTTGGGAAATGTTGCTTTTTTTTTTTTTAAACATCAATGCCCCCATGCTGGGATTTTAGCCTCTCCTCACTGATACTCTGCACACAGACAGATGAGAGTCTATGGCGTCAGTGGAGCCCAGGATAGGATGCAGAAATAAACACTGAGCTCAAACTCCCTTCTTCTGTAGATAAGAGAACTGGCACCTAAGAGATAAAAGGGGCCCCTGCATGTCTGTTTGTCATGGGCTGATCTGGATTTACGTTTATCTAATCACTCCAACTTACTTCCTGCCACCTCATACTACAATTCTGATGTCAGGCTGGGGTGAGAACATCCTGGGCAAACAGGACCTCAAGAGTCTTTTTTTGTTGTTGTTGTTGTTTTGTTTTGTTTTGTTTTGTTTTTAAAGCAAAAGGGATTTATTAAGCAGAAGAGAGAAGTAAAAGTCCTCGGTAGCTAAGAGGGAGCAGCAGAGAGAGCCCAGAAGTGGGCTGCGGTTCTCAGACACCTTCTTACCACATTGTGCAGCTCTCGTTTCCGTCCCCTATTTGGGAGACTTTCTAAAGGGAAAATGGAGGGCCAACAAGGCAGCTTTTCCACATGTGCAAATTCTTTGTTGACCGAATCTCCAGCATGGGGTAAGGTGGTGGTGGGGATGTTAAAATTTTAAGAGGACAGACACACATAAAACTAATGACACTGAAATAACTTTTCCACAGGACTGTGGATGTGTCCCTCCCTATTCATGCCATGTACAGGTAATTGCAGGCCAATGAGTGGCATGTGCACCACCATTGTACCAGGCATAGTCTATCTACTCTGATGTCCCAGCATCCTTGTGAGCATATCCCTCACAGCTGGGAAAGACAGCTTCAGATCCACGAAGAGGAGGACCATCGCTCAGGACTCAGAAAGCCACCGTGGGAACGAGGCCTCCTAAGATGAGGCCAATGACGTCTTCCCAGAAGGGTGGGAATGGCCCCTGCCCAGTGCGCTCTGCATCTTGTAGAAACGCTTTCCCATACCAAGCCAGGCTTCTCTTCAACAGCCTTACCTTTGTCTTGCCCATGGCTGCCAGGTGCCAAGCCATTCACAACAGCTTTAGAGCTTCCAACATCACACTCTGAAAGAAGAAGATGAACAGATTTTCAGAGTTCTGCTCAGCAGCAGACAACACTGAGCCCCTCCTGCCTAGCACGTGCTCCCCCCCTCCACACACACACATACCCCCATCAATCCGTCTGGGAAACAATTCAGGGAAGACCTGAGACAGGAAGACCAAGTTGCCCCGGGGTATGTGGCCAGTGTGCTTGGAAGAGCGTACCCAGCAGAATGCCAACGGAGCTAAAAACATAATCATAACTACAGTTCTTTAAACATGTTTTTGCCAAGATTGCTAGTCTCTGTTGCATATTCCACAATTACTACTTCATTGTCTCTTCAGGTCCAGTCCTTGGGAGCTGGAGTTAGGAACTGCAATTCTGTTGATAAGATAATTGAGGCTCAGTGGGGCACGCCTACCAAAGATCACTAAGCTGAGATTGATCCACCCCACTCACAGCCCATCTTCTTCCCCAAATAACTGACTTGTTATATAGTTCCTCAAATGCTGGACCTACAACCCACTTCACATCGTTCTAGAGAACCTGTCTAAAACTATGTCACCCCGAGGCTTTTAATAACCAGCCTCGCCAAAGGCTGGGCAACTGATAAACACCAGTCACAGGACGGCCCAGCTGCCTCCTCTACAGGGCCTGAGCAGCCCCTCCCCTCCCCCACAATGGCCAGGACAGCCCCCCCACCCCCCATCCCGTACACGGGGTCGGGGCTCACAACCACCTGCAGACACAGGCTCGCTCACTCTCTTAGACAGTAAGTCTCTCTTGACCCCTCATTTCAGAAATGGGTGGGAGAAGGGGAGTACTAAGAGAAGGAACCGAAGCTCCGCATCCCATTGCATAGGTTTTTACTGTCCTGTCCTCCTGCCCCTAACCAAGGCCCAATGATCACATCCTTCTGACTGCTGGCCTTGCCTTGGGCCCCTTTGGTTTGTTGTTGTGTTGTTGTTGTTATGTTGCATTGTTGTTGTTATTGTTGTTTTCTTTGGGGGGGGGATAACTGTGAGCTACTGCCAGGCCCACATTCCTTCTTTTTCCTTTTTAAATTAAACATAACAACCAAACTAGAATAAGCATTTGGTATTCACTAATTAACACTCAAATAAAGCTCAGCTTTTGCAGCAATTATGTTGCTGCACAGCAGCCCATGTCTGACTCCCACGCAGGTGATTAATTCCTTGAAGCTCAGTTTCCCCATCTGTATCTCAGAGGCAGCAAGCCAGGCCCAGGCCCCAGGGAGGGGAGGGGTGTGAGGGGGTGGAGTGGTGATATACTATTTATGATTTATTAATACTTGCCTGAGGATTCAGAAAGCAAAGCCAGCCACCAGCTATAGAGGTCAGTCAGTGGTGGTGCACATCTTTAACCCCAGCAGCCACACTAGCTAGCCAGACAGTGGTGGCACACACCTTTAATCCCAGGACTCGGGAGAGGCAGATGGATCTCTCTGGGTTCAAGGCCACTCTGGCCTACACAAGAGTGAAGAGTAGCAGGGCACATGCCCTTGATCCCAGTACCTGGGATCACAGGCCTTTAATCCCAGCACTAGGGAGGCATAAAAAGCAAAGGGTCTCATGTGAAGGTAGATTCTCCAGCCACGCTGAGGAGAGGTAGCAGTCTCAGGTTTCGTGGAGAGCTCGTGGAGACACAACCAGTCCTTTGAGCCTGAGGTAGAGGTTAGAGCTGGTGGCTTGGCTGCTTTGATTTTCTGATCTTCAGCAGTCTCTGGGTTTTTATTTGTTGTGTTACAGAGTGGGGACAGCTTTCCAGGAGAATGAAACAAGACCCTGCAAGGACAGGGACCCCTTCACAGTGGCAGCCCAAGAGCAACTGAAATAATAGCAATATATTGTTTCACTGCCATTCTTTCTGCTAAGGATGCAACCAAATATTTTTCCGTGTAGCTACGCCCCTCCTCATGATCACTTTCAATAGCATGTAAGCACACAGTGTGCTGCTTCTCTCTCCCACCTTCGTGGTAGCATTTCTGTGTTCCTGGAATCAATATAGAAATTCCCAAGACAGGGTTATCAGGTCAAAGGGTCTAAGATTGTAGATTCCTGGGTAAAGTTTCCTTCCAGCATCTGTCTGAGAGACTCGGGGGAGGAAGGGCATCCTGGTACACCTTGGGCCTTGGCACAACCTCACCTAGCCTCCTCCTTGTCCTGACTCTCAAGCTGTCAGGGGTAGCAAAGCAGGCTTAGAAGAGCAAGTGACTTCAGGCTGCAGAGCAAAGTTTGTTTGTTTTTAAAAGGAAACAGGAAAGAGGGCCCAGCCTGTTACAAATGACAACAAAAGCCAAAGGCAGGACATGGCTCATCTGTCAAAACCACTGCTCATCTGTCAAAACCACTGCTAACACATGCGAGGCCCTGGGTTCCATCTCCAGCACCACATACATGTGGAGTGGGGGCACACACACGTAACTTCGGCACTCAGGACACAGAGGCAGAACAAATGGGGCTTCCAGGTCATCCTTGCTTACATAGAGAGTTCAAGGCCAGCCAGGGCTATATGACACTGTGTCTAAAAACAAAGGACTAACTAAAAGGCAAATCAACACTAGAAACTGAAAACTGAGTCAGTAAGCAGCAACTGTGTCTACTTTGGCACCCAAAAAAAAAAAAAAAAAAAAAAAAAAAAAATCAACGGGGCCCAAAGCAAACCACAAACCTCACTTTGTAAGGAGGAACTCTGGGCTAAGAACAGCCAGATAGCACTCATGGAGGCATAGTGCTCAATACATTAAGAGCTCTGTTACACTCAGTCTCAAAAAAAAAAAAAAAAAAAAAAAAAAAAACCCAATTGATCAATGCTAATACAATGTCCGTTTTACAGAGGAAAATCAAAGGCACATCTAGACCCAAACTGCACAAGAAGTCTATGAGGAAGGGTACAGTCTTAAGACGTTGATACTCTCGTGGTCCCCTGCTTCCCATTACCACCTGGAAGTCTAGGAAGCCAAGGTGGGACCAATTCCCAGAAGGAAACATTTCCAGGCTGGACACTGACAAGTCTCAGCTGTAAAAGGCACAGGGTTCTATCTGTCCCAATTCTCTCTTCCCTGCTCCAAGCTTTTAATCCCAATTTAGTCCAGCACTAAAAATATTTGAAACGGTAATTTATTTAGATCTTGATTCTTAAAAGCATAAGTTAGCTGTTCTGCAAGCCGGATAAAGGAAGTGTTGGGTTAGCCCCCATCCGGGGGAGATTGTGATTATATTGTGTATTTTGCATCAATCATCTAGATTAAGAAATGCCACTAAGGTGTAGAAATATGACAAATCTTATCAACTGTCTACTTAAAATAACTGCAGCTTATTATATGTTGATTCTATCCTACTAAAAGGAAAGGGGGCTCTTGTAACGACAGACATGGCATACACAGTGTACGGTAGTGTTCTTCGTGGATGTGGGTAGAGAAATCATTTGCATTGTAAGTAGTGATGTTGCTGCTGAGGACCTTAAAGTATGTGGCAATCTCAGTAAACCACACAGTTTTGTAGAAATGACAAGAGAAAGAGGTTTGAAATGACTTACCAGAACTCATACTGGCTGTGGGGCAAGCGTTCTACAGCTGTGGTTCCGGATGGCTCTGCAGAAAAGCACACAATGGATCGGATGAATGGCAGCTGCCCGATAAATCCCCACAGTTAGTGTTAAAAATGCAAACACTGTAACCCTTGGTCAAACAGAGCTGAACTGGGAGCCATGTTGCCAGGCTTCCAGATCATGGCTATTCACAGATTTGGGGGGGTGCTTTGGGCATCTCACAAAACCTATTTGCTTCACTTTCGTCTCCCCGACTATGTTTAGATGCAATTCCAGATCTCTTCTAGCAGCAAGTCAAATAAAAATCTTTGAAATGTTAAAAAAAACAAAAACTATCATCAGAGGGTACTATGTAATTGTGGGTGTTTACAGGTAGCTCCTAATGTACCAGGAAACGTTCTAGGTGATTTAAATAATTCATTTGACTCATGACAGCAAGCACTAATGCAGTGTTAGTTCACAAATGAGACACAGGGAGGTGAAGAAGCATGCCCATCTGTGCTGGAATTGATCGTGGAAACTGGGTAGCCTGAATCAACAGCCAGGTTGTGAGCAGAAACCATTACCGATGCTCAAGTAAATAGCCCTCAGAGTCAGGAGGTCTCAAACCAAAGAAAGCTTACAATGTGTTGGCATTTTACTATCATTTGTCTCCAATGAAAGGTATCCATCTGTTTTGGTTTGCTTGGTTTTGATGGTGAAAATCAAACCCAAGGCTTCAAGGGTACACTAACCAAAGACTCAACTTCTAAGCTACACTGATGCTCAAAGCAAACAGTATTAATATGTTTTGACAAATAAATATAGTGATGGCACCTGTAACCCCAGGAATGTGCATGCAGGGGGAAATCAACAGTTCAAGGTCATCCTCGGTATATAATAAGTTTGAAGTCAGTCTTCACTATATGAGAGGGTATGCTGTCTACAACCATATCACCTTAAGCATGCCCAGTCTCATCTGAAGTTAAGTGGGGTTGGGCCTGATTTGTAGTCAGATGGGAAACTTTATGTAAACAAATACAACATATAATACTTTGACAAATAAACATACCCTATAATTACCACCAAAGTCACAACATAAAGCATTTCCATTGCACCCAGAAAAGGTGCCCGTGTCTCCTTACAGTCAAGTATGTCACACCAAGCTCCTAGGAACCTCTGACTACTTATCATCACTATGGTCCCACTATTTTCTACAGATGGTACCACATATATGCATCCTTTTGTGCCTGCCTCCTTGTATTTAATATAACCCTTTTTAAAAAATAAATGGCTACATATATGGAAGTTTCCTTCTGGACTCCACTCTAGCCAGTAAGCTATCTCTATCCAATAACCCACTTGCTTGATTACTATTTCCCACGTAATCTTGAAACCAGATAATACAAGTTTTCCTACTTCATCTTTTTGGTGCTTTGCACTCCCCATTTTGTTTTAGTTTATTTTAAAAACAGGATTTCACACTGTAACCCAGGCCAATTGAGAGCTCCTTTTGGAGTCTAGACCTTCCTCAAAACTGCTGAGGTCCTCCTATCTTGGCCTCTCAAGTGCTGATATACCCAGCTAGGTCCTTTGTGTTTTCTAGTGAGTGCTCTGGCTACTGAGAATGGCCTCTCCCTTCAGCCAGGTCTTCTTTGACTTCTCTCACCAATGCCTCACAGGCTTCAGAGTAAAGGCCTTGAGCATCCACTAGCTACTCCCACACAGGACACCTCATGTTTAATGCAGGTCTGTACTTCCTTCCTTCCTTCCTTCCTTCCTTCCTTCCTTCCTTCCTTCTTTCCTTCCTTCCTTCCTTCTTTCCATCCATCCTGGAAGCAGCATGTTTTCTCGTCCCCAGAGGGAAGTGGGAACTGAGCCCTAAAGAGAGGGCTGCTCACTAAGAACACTCCCATGTAAAAAAGAAAGACAGATCCATCCCACCAGATGCATAACAGCAACACAGAAATCTAACATGAGAAAGCAAGGTCACATAACTCCGCCAAACGTTTGCAACCTCAGTAACTGAGCCCAAGGATAATGAAATAGGTGAAATGCTCAACAAAGCACTCAGGTCTAGTTTTCAACATCACCAAAGATGGCTCAATCAAGTTAAGACAGGTAAAACACAGAAGTCAAACATGGATTTGTGTACAAAATTCAGCGACTTTAACTACAAATGCAGGGACAGATTCTGAAAGAAAAATGTCAAGCAAATGTTGGAAATGGGAAGCTTAAAGGAAAAGGAAACACCACAGTGGAAAACATCATCCACATACTAGACCATGTGTGGGAAGACTGTCAGAGACTGAAAATAACATTCAGGACCTATGGCATTCATAAACAATCTAAAAAGTAAATTGTAACTATGACCATAACAACTAAGGCCTCTGGGATACAATTAACAAACCAAATCCACAAATCTATAGTGTAGTCAAGGGAACTAACTAAGACACAGTCAAACACAGAGAAAATCTATTCAAGGAGGGACTGGAGAGATGGATGCATGGGTAAGAGTACTTGCTAATTTTCCAAAGGATCAGAATTTGGTTCCCAGCACCCATGTTAGGCAGTTCACAACCACCTATGACTGCAGCTCCAGGGGATCTGATGGCCATTTTTGGCCTTTGTGGGTGAACACGCACACATGCAAACACACAGACACAGCATTCAAAATACACATATGCATACATTTTTAAAAATCTTTTTTAAAATTATAGCAGAAACATTTATATCTGAGGATAAAAATGGCCAACTAAACCCAAAATGCATAATCAGAAGGGTTATGTATTTAATCATGCAGTTAAAATGCCAACACAGAAGAAAGCAATAATACTGAAATCTGCAGTTGAGAGATTTGAGGGATTCCAAGCTGTTTATAAACATAAACCCATTCAAACAACAGCAAACCTCTCCACAAAGATCATTAAGCCCAGCAGAGTATGAACTGGTAGCTTTTAATCCCCAAACACAGTAACTGTCAACCAAGATTACTTTACCCCCAAAAACTTATCCTTTAAAATTGAAAAACTAAAACAAGTCATAACTGCTGAGTCCATGTGTGTCACAAGTCACTGAAAGAAATATTACACAGAAAAGATGAAAATACACACGCATTAAGAGCTTATGAAGAACCATTCTCACAAGGACAGATTAGCAAACACAAATTAGGGTAGGTCCAAACATTGCTAACTCAGTTTAAAAAAAAAAGCAAACTTGAATAAGAATAAAATGAAGAAGAAATCAGTCCAACCTTTCAACAGTCACCTAAATCTAAACACCATAACTTGCCAATTAAAAAGACGCAAGAACTGGCTGGATGTTTTCCAAAATAAGATCAAGCTGTTTGCTTCCTGCCAGAAACTCACTCCGCTGGCAAAGACACACAACTGATAGGATGGGCAATGATATTCCAATAGAAAGGCTACCATCAAGAAAAAACCCAGATGCTGGTGGGAAAGGAAATTAGTGAGGCCCTGTGGAAACTACCGTGGAGGTTCTTCCAAAATCTAAGAAGAGGTCTCCCGACCCAGGTGTAAAAGTGCAATTGGGAGGAGTTAGGGAACCGGGTAAGGGGCAAAAAAGAACAAAAGCAGTAAACGAGACCAAAGGCCATATCACAAAAATGTCACCAGTGTGAGGGCTATAGTGAGTTGTCAACTTGACAGAACTGAGAATCACAGGCCTCTAGGCAAGCCTGTGAGATATTCTGTTAATTATGTTACCTGCAGTAAGAAGACTTGCCCTGTGGTAGATGACACCATTCCTAGACTGTAGTCTCCCTGACTGCATAAAATAGAGAAAGCCAGATGCGCACTAGGCATCAGTACTCTCTGCTGTGAAGTGAAATAATAAAGATACTGTATCGGATGTAGAACTCAAGTGTTTATTTTATATAATAAACTTCTGATACTAGCCCTGGGGAGATGGCTCAGTCAGCAATGCACACTCCCCTAAAGTGCGGCTCGCCATCACAGAATAAAATGTCAGGTGCCTGGGATGCCAGTGCTAGAGAGGCGGAGGCAGGAGGATCCCCAAGGCGTGCCGAACAACTAGACTAGCGAATTGGTTAGCACCAGAGTCAGTGAGGGGCCCCGTCTCAAAAGCAGGGTAGAGAAGTGATTGACAGAGGTGCCTTGTGCTGACCTCTCGCCTCCTCATATATGCTCATGCACACACTCAAACTCAGATACTTAACACGTTTAAGCCATGCTCTAAAACATGATGTGGTTGAACAAATGATGGCACAGCTTTACAATCTCCAATAAGGCCTCTCCTGGTCCAGGCACCTTTGGATAAAAGCCAAGAAGAATAAATGATTCCACCGAGTGGAATGGTCATTCATTTCCTTGTTGTTGCAGGAACCTAGAGTGTCCCAGAGTGGATGGGCCAGTGAGAGTCAAGTCACCATCCTACACCTGGAGCCGCAGTCCTAACCATACTTGGGCAAAGCACCACAGCATCAACACAGACATTCCACCCAAAAAAACAAGCTGTGAAAGCAGCCAGGGTTCAGAAAGATGATCCACATAGTCTAGGGTTCCGCTGGAGACCTCTTCACTTCTAAGGTCCTGTCTTTCTAAGACAAGCTTCCATGACTAAGAATGAATAATCTGCAAAACAGCAAAAGTCACACTCAGATAACTAAACATGAACTACTGACTACAAAGGGAAGGTCCATATGTGGACCGTCTGGGGATACGCAGCTAGAGAAACTGAGTTTGTAGAAACGAAGACCGGGCACAGATACTATCATAGAAGGCGCCTCCATTAGCCTCACACAGCACACCCCAGTTTCTCTTCAGTACCATGCTGTTTTGTCTTCCTAGTCCCCAAGGTTAGACAAGACTATAAATTGGAAGGGAAGGAATACATCCCTCCTCAGTACTGAGGATGCGGTCATGGGTTTTGTTCTTGTCCCCATTTAGCCAGGAGAACCTGCCTGTAGGATCTTTCCTTCAAATACACAAGACTCTCTTCCACTCTACTGCAGATGCTTAAAAGGGAGCCAGCTCCCTTCAGAACAAAATACCAGCTATGTTCAATCTTTGAAATCAAATCTGG